TATGGCCAGCATAAGACGCTAACCACACCAGTCGGAGACGCGCTGCAGGTGCCATAGTACTGCTCGTAAAAGTAGCTGTCACGTGCTTTGCTCCGCGACTGAGGGTTGCCAAATTACGGTGAAACGGAGTATAGACAAAACAGACTGGACGACATTTACCGGGCATCTTTAGAGCTGCGAAGCTCAAAATCGCGCGTACTCATAAGATTTTTTTTTTCTCGCGTGTTTGTGATTTTTATGATGTCCTGCAAGCAAGAAAAAAATATATATGGTGAAGTCACTCCGAGGGGGTACCGATAACTGCGAGCCACGAACATGAAGGACTCGCTTACATCCGTCAGGAGTGTGAACGGTAAATCGTCACGCAAACATATTCTCACAAGCTGCAAATATTTATTTGGCTTAGCAAGTAGAATACTAGTATACTAACGACATGTGATTATTGTACACAAGATACCATTTCTCGGTTCTTCAAAACCATTTCCCAAGTCTGAACGGTCGCGCTACGGGCCGCGGCTAGCCGTGCCCTCGATAGACTACGGAGCTGCGTTGTGTCGCCTGCTACTGTACCGCCAACAGGAGAGCGATAGCTCTGTGTGTTCCACAGATGCGTGTTGCGGTATAACTCTGTACGTCTGTCCTAGAGGAAGACAAAGAGATAGGCTCTGTGACCCCGTCCTAAGCTTACAAAAACAAACAGAAGTATACTCGTTTGGACTGAAAGGTTTACAAAATAGTGACCAGACATTGGAAAAGCATATGTCACAGAACTTGGTTTATGAAATGGCATCATTGTTTCGAGCAAGAAATCACCTGCTCACCACTGGGACGATGAAATCGTCACTATTTATTGCGTCAGGTATATTTGCGCTCATGAAGAAAAATCTGAACACACCCTTCTCCCAAAGTCCTATGTCGAATAATAAACACTTTTTTAAACATCTATGCACAAATAACTCATTTTTTTCTACACTTGTATATGCACGTTAATTGACGTCAAACCGCATTTTTGATTAGATCTTGATGTCTACACCAACTACATTCATATTTTTTAGGGCTTTATTGAACGATAACTTCAACTATAGTTAATGGAACACGATGGCTCGATCTCGACAAAAACCTCAACGTGCGAAGCTTCCACAGACGGTCGCTAGCGAGTATTCTCAATGTGAGACTTCAGAAGCTTTCGCTTGCCATAGGGAGCTTGCTTTCGACTACAGCACTGCACGGGCCCGGAAAGCGCTGCGGTGGGGAGAGGTTGACTTACAAGATGACGTGTTACGTGGTCACGTAAGATGGCGTCATTTCGTGCAGCGTGATCACGTAAGATGACGTCATTTCGTGTAACGAGATCATGTAAGATGACATGTTTGTGTCACGTCATCACGTAAGATGACGTCAGTTCGTATGAACTGACGTCATCTTACGACAACGCCAACAACATTAGTGCCGTCCGGAACCATTGACCTTAGAAACGCGCTTCTTCGCTTGAAGAGCTGATATGCGTTGATTGTTATTTGTTTCTTTTGCCTACTACAGACCATTCAAGAACTCGCCTTCTGGGTGCCACCAACTTCGTCTACTGGGCTGTGAAGCGCGTTCGAGCGTGCGCAATACCTCTCTAGGCCGAAAGATTGTACACTGAGTATGAGTTCACAGCTCAATGACTTTGGCATTTTTCGTCAGGATAGATGCTCCCACGAGAAGAGCGTAATGGATATGTGAATAGAATTGGAAATTTGAAATGTTCTTGTCCAATCGCATTTTTCTTTGGTTATCAACGCTTTTTAGCGTCATCACAAGACGTTCAACCCATAATACACTGGTGATTAAAAAATAAGCACCGAAAAACATGCACCGATTTTCGCTCAGAAATAAAAACCGGAAAAAAACATACCGTAATCATTACCCATGTCACCTTTTTGGGTGATATGTGAATTTCCAGAAGAACAGCGAGTTATCACCCTCCCCTAGGAATACCCAGTCTTGGGTAGTAACGCGTTACTAGTAACGCGTTACTGTAACTTCGTTACTTTTTTGGTAACTTGTAACTGTAACGAGTTACTTTTTAAAAATGTAACTTGTAACTGTAGTTCTATTACTTTTTCTGAGGTAACGATGAAAGTAACGACGTTACTTTTGTCGTTACTTTCCAGTGTTTTATGAATAATATATCACTGAACGAGGGTGCAATTAAGCCATTCCTTGCACTCTCCAAATCGTCTATTCCGAAATTTCGAGTGTCAAGTTGGCCTTGAACAAAGTTTTGAATACGTTCTCTCTCGCGAGTCACGACCCGAATATAGCCACGTGTAGATTTTACGAAAAAATATCTAGTTATCTTTACGCACACGCTTGTACTTCGTGCCTAAACACTTACATCTTAGTGTCTTGAAGCACTACCTACGCTGTGTTTTTTCTTTTTTCTGTGCAAACGCTTTTTAATCGGGTGAATCAACCGTAAAACAATAATACACGTGAAGGGCACTGCGCATGTCTCGTAGTTTGATTAGCGTCACTACTCCGCACTGCGCATGTTTCGTATTTTGATTTGCGCCACTACTCTGGCGTGGAAACTTTCAAACACTAACTTGGAGAAGCAACTGCTGCTAAGTTACAATATGAGGTAAAAAGCGTCCTTTTTTAATTTTATGCAATAAAACATTGTGAGGGGCGTTTTCTAGTTTTTGCTAAAAAATTTTTTGTGCTATAGAAAAGTAACTGAAAAGTAACGTCGTTACTTCTTAAAAGTAACTGTAACTGTAACGAGTTACTCTTTTGTTGCGGTAACTGTAACGGTAACTTCGCTACTTTTTTCTGAAAGTAACTGTAACTGTAACGAATTACTTTTTAAAAGTAACTTACCCATGACTGGGAATACCCTGACTACAGAGCAGGCGACCCGTTTTTCCCCGCGTTAGATTGTGGTGACCACGAACCGTACGGAGGTCACAGGACGTCCGTGAAAAATAAAAAGGAGGCAAACAACGATCTACTCTGTGCACGCTTCATCCCCAATTTCCACGACCCCAAGGCCGAAGGACGTTTGTGTGAAGGATAACGATAAAATAAAACTTTGCGTCAAAAAAAAAAGCCCGTTTTTAAAAGAAAAAAAAAAGTAGAAACAAGCACAACGCGTTGACGGACCGCGAGGTTGTGGAACACCTCGCGGTCCGCTTGCCACAGGACGGTTGTCTTCGACCCATAGCTCCAAGGTGAATTTGCCACTTGCGAAAACACGGAGACCTACCCAGCGAGAACTAGGAAAGCAAGACACGCACACTGACGCCTCGGCGTGCAGAATGAAACAGGATACGGGCGCGGAATACGGCCGCGGAAGAACACCTCGCACAGTGCCGATCCGGCCGATCTCCGAACGGACGATTTCGCATTTCGTGGACAGCGAGCGCCACCGCACGGGAGAGAGAGGTACCTTAAAAACGACGAAAACAAGCACCGACACCTTGGTTCTTTATATTTGCTGTAGTTACGGAACAAATCGACTTACATGAATAATTTGAATATTATTCGATTCCGTAATAAATTTAGAAGACATTAAGCGCAATTCTTCTTATGTTTGAATTTAGATAATTTTGTAAATTCGCTCCGAACGCAAGAGTGCCGAATTAGCCGATTTTGACCATTTTCATGATTTTTTAAAGAATATAATTAAATTTATGACGAAACATCTGTTGCGTTTAGTGTCTCGATAATGACTCAATGTCTTTAAAGCCGAAATTTTCAAGAAGATCCGCACAGCCGTTATTATGTGAGAATTTTTTTAATTTGGTGAAAAACCTCATGTATTCTCTATGGGGCTCTGAGGTGCGCCCCCTCTTAATATGATGCTGTGACATTTGGGTATCTTTTGCATTCGGTACATTACTTTGCGAAGCGCGAGGCCAGCACGACAAGCGTACCAGCCTCCCGCGTCGTCTGCTCCTCGTACTTCTAACAAGTATCGGCGCGCCTCGCCAGGGGGAGGAGTGGCGCTGCATATGCGCGGCGAAACTTCAGCCGCACAGCCCTATAGAGCCCCATGTGTTTGAAAACTCCGTCGGCCGCCATTTTCCCATTGAAATTTTCAGAAAATCCCATGTAACTTTTGATTAAGTTATTGGATAGGGCTGAAACCTTGGCATCTGGTTGTGACCTCTAATGCTACTTTTGGGTGGAGAATCAGGGTTCAACGATGCCTAGTTTATTTTTTGCGGTAAAAAAGACCGTGTAAATTTTCTTTTGCGACACCCTGTACTATTACAGTCTCATTTTCTATGTGATACTTTGTAGTATAACGCATGTGTTGTAAAATAGTTTTTCCGGGTGGCAAACGTCTTTTTAGTCAATATTCTAAGTATACAATATATTGATGAGAGTAGGTAGTTTGATTGTGTTTTTTTGTTTTATTGTGTTTATTTTAAGCTGCTTTCCCGCCAAAGTGTGTATGGGAGCTAGGGCCTCTTCAAGCTTTGCATTATTGTGTACGAGGGCTTTGGACTTCTGTGCTGTTTTATTACAACAGTGCCGGTACCGGGAACTTGTACTACTCGGCTCTCAATCACTAAAGATTAAAAAGTTATCAAATCATGCAACTTCCCTGCAAGTAACCCAATTATCAATCCAACCAATCTTAACTCTGAAAAATAATGAGATGACAGCGCTTGCAAGGACCGCAGGAGCAGCTAAAGTTCAGATCAAGTGTATGGTAATGATACTGATATGGCAGATTTATCTCAAAACCAAACAGGCTCGCCTTGGCATTCCCGTTTTATAGTAAAAATAAGAACAAAGCAAAGTTGCAATAATAATTCCACGCCTGCACACGCACATACGGTATCGATACAGTAAAGATTTAGCATCTGTACACTTGCTCGGTATATAGGAATGCTACTTCATCTGCGAGCAGGCAACCCTGTGCAAGTGTCCAAACGACGGCGGTGTTTTTGCTAGCCTGCCTGCTTTTTATTTTCTTGCTCACAACCACCCATTTCCTTTCGCAGGAAACGTCCGCAACGGAAAAGACGACCGCCTCGCCACTCAAGTCGGCCGCTGCTTCGTAACGGGCCATTGAAGTACTACGACGGCTGGCACCGCTTGGATTGAACTTGGCCGGGGGAGAGGGTCATGTACAAAAACGCACGGTCAAGAGAGCGTTGTTTTGTATGCATGCTAACATAATAGTAGTCTCTTTTGCACTGTATAAATGTCATTGTCTTGTACTTACATAATAAACCTTGCCCTACTTCAGTTTCGGAAATGGGGGGCCATCGTCTCCACCACGCTCATCTGACCGTGGGACGATCCAGCCTGGGTCTGGTGGATTTTTCGGACTGTAGAGTGGATTGCAGAGGTCTGTTATTCGAGATGTGCTGCACCTTGAAAACGGAGGCTAGGTGGGTTTTCTCCGTGAAAATGCTGAATCACGAACTTGTCATCTGGGTGTCGAACGAACATCTGCGAAGCCATGCAGACCTTGAAGGGAACTGATTAGAATTTTTGCACACTGTCGAAGGCACAGGTGCCAACCACCCTCCTTGCACATCACTCGAAGGGCCGTCGCCGAATCGTGCCGCAAATGCGACGGTCCGACGGAAATTCACCATTTTTGGAAGAACTGGTGCACCCTGTCGGAGACTCGGTTCGAGGATGTCTTGGTGGGAAACTCGAAAAAACAATGGGCATTGTTAAAAAAGAGAACGAAGATGCTTCTTTGTACGAGCTGAAGGGGATGAGTTGATCAGCATAGGTCTATGGAGCCAAAAAAAATCTAGCTTTGTTGCTGGAAGAAAAGTTTACGCTTGCTCATGCCACATTCGTGCCGCTTCCTACCAAAAAACTCTTCAATGGCATTCTGAAAATGCTGAATTGTGGATCTTGTGTTGCTGCCCAAGATATTGTGCTCTAGCGATGCTCTACCGACCTGCACACAACAAAATAAGTGTCTGATGCACGATCACAAAGAATGCCGAGACTCAGGCGAGGGGGACAGCACAGTCCTGGTGTTCTTAGTTATGTTCAACCTACACCAACTTGCTTGTGCCCCTACTTTTTATTTGATGCGGGTGAAAAGTTTCAGGACGTTGCAGGGACTCCAAGCTTACTTGGCATTTGCCTATTTCTTTTCTGCCCTCAGTCTAATCCCACTTGCCTCAAATGATGTTACAGTAGGCAAAGAAGGTGGTTATTGTGCTTCAGTTTTCTTTACCCGGCTGAAGTTTGTTTTAGTCGCCTCGCCACGTCAATGGCGTGGTAAAAAGACTGCTTTGTGGCAAGCAAAAGGGACATCCAGATGCTTGCAATATTCTTTTCGATTATGTAAAGACAATTCATTGTTCAAAATGTTCCTCTTCGTCGGTGGTTTGCTCAAGAAATGGCGACGGGCAGCCAGGGAAGCTGAAAGAAGGAAGCACCAGCCAATCACGGCATCAGGTGAGCACACATGACTTTGTGCGGAGTGAAAGTTTGTCTGCTTCTTTTGCAGGGGTTGTGGTGACGTCGGAACGCTGGACCTCGACTGAAGGATAGTGGGTAGATCTCCAAGCAAGCCGCCTTGAGGTCTACCCACTGCCCTTCAATCGGAGCCAATCGGAGCTCGGCGTTCTGACGTCGTCGCAACCCCTGCAAAAGAAGCAGACGAACTTGCACTCCGCATTGACTGGCGCCTTCGCTCAAAACATTAGCGTCGTGCAGCCAGAGAGAGAGACATGAAGAGGGAATAGCGTTTCTTTCCCATTTCCAGGATCTTTACGGTTATGCCTACAACAGGGACGCTGCCTGGCGATATCGCCAACTTTAAAATCCCGACAGATATTTGAACAAAATGGCCTGCCACCAGTGTAGCTGCATAGCAACCGACAGCAGAGCACGGTGAAGCATTTTCCACTGGAGTGTTTAGCGTCCTATGCAGCTCGTACATCAAAAGTGGGCCCCGATAATGTTGGTACCAAAGTGGCAACAGATTGCGTCTCAGACGCCGGAGTGTCATGGTCGTGCTGTCTGATGTTGCAATTCTGGCGGTTGGTCGTGGAAATGTTGACGAAACTCTCAAGCGAACCTGAGTAGCGCTGTTGTCATGGCATCCCAACTTCTGGCTGCTGGAGATTTTGTGGACTTGCACGTGGAGGTACGAAGCTTCTGGAACTGGCATGATGCCACCAGAGGTGAAGCTCGCAGCTTGGAGGGGCGCCCCCCCCAACTCTGGCCAAAACCAAAAGACGTACCTCCAGTTGGCTCCGATTGAAAGATAGCGGGCAGACCTCAAGGCAGCTTGCTTGAGGTACCCAGTACCCTTCAGTCGGAGCTCGGCATTCTGAATTTGCCACAACTCCTGGAAAAGAAGCCGACAAACTTGCGCTTTGCATTAGACGGACTTGGGCACTTCTGGGGGGTATTTCCTTTATTTCCGACCTCACTTGGGATTTTTCTCATTTGGCTGGTTTAAGCTGGTATGTCGCCTCCTCTTATTCCTACCTCCATGCTGGAGAGCGATCTGCAGCAGAACAGGCATACAGGATCGTGACTGGCAATAGGACACTTTGGTGGCATCGCCAGGCGAAAATCGAGGGACCATTTTTTCGGACGCAGTAAACGCCAATACAAGACGCGTTTAAGGCCCCCTGGACCGGCAGCTCAGTTTTTTTACGAAAGCGCAGTGTCGGAGGAAAAAGGCACAGCTCATCGAAAGCAAGTTTCGCCGGTCTCGCAGCATGTTCAAAGCTTCCTTGGACCCCTGAAGTGCTGTGTCTCTGCCTTCGCACGCTTGGATAACGAGCAAGAATTGACGCCGTGCGGATGTGTTTTGCAAGTCAAATGTGCGTAAAGCCGTATGTAAAGTAACAACTCTTTGAAAGGAAGTGTCGCCGGTCTCGCGGCGTGATCAAAGCTTCCTTGGTACGCCGAAGCGCTGAGTCTCTGCCTTTGCACGTTTGGATACCGATCAAGAACGGCGCTGCGGCACTAGTTTCGAAGGTATGTTGTAGATGTCCTTGCACAATATATCGGCCACGGGATTCTGGATCATCCAGCTCTTCCGGAGGGTTGCTATCAGTAAAGGGAGGGGAAATCTGTACATGCTCTCGTGCACTATTAACCAGAGCTATGTTCCAAATCTACCACAACGGATCACATGGCAGCACAAATAGAGCAACGCTGTAGAGCAAGGAGTGTTTTTAAAGGCAAAACTACAAGACAGCGAGAATAAAAAATTTTGAAGCGGGACCCATACGGTCGAGTGCAATCTGTTGACCAATGATAATTAGGCAAGCCGCATTCAAACATCCAGAGCAATAATGCTCATTGATAATGAGCCAACGCTGATCGGTGGTGCGGAGCTTTTGTGCACGGTATTCTGTAAACCGTCTAACGACGAAAAGAAGGCATACCCTCCTACTATCTTCCATAGCCACTGGACGCTGGATCGAGCTTACAAATGCAGTTATCAAGATACAAATACAGTCATCAGAGTAAAGTAAGACGTGATGCAGAGGCACATACGGCTTGACGCACATTGCACTCGCAAAACACATCCACGCAATGTCGATTCTTAATTGGTACTCATTATTCAAGCGTGCGAAGGCACAGATACGCAGCACTCGGCGTGATAAGGAAACTTCGAGCATGCCGCGATACCAGGGAAACCTCTGCGAGTTGCGCCGTTTTCGTGCGGCACTGCGATTCCGCAAATATTTTCACGTGTTCTCAACGGCAAGTCTCACGGCTTACACAGGATTTTAAAAAGCTTCTTTGGCGAATGACGACGAACCAGTAGAAAACTTAGCTTCAGCGTGCTGCCGCCGGCCTCTGCAACACTAGAAAAACGCGATTTCGCTACATGCAAGATGGCCGTCCGGTGGCTTCACTGGCTTCACCGCTTCACTCGCGCCGAGTGGTTTTGTTTGCCATTTTGCCCGTGATCCCAAAATATTACACTACATTGGCATAATACTTAAAATAATATTAGGAAAAGAAACTTTATCTTATTTGCTAGAGTTATTTTTTTTCTGAAATTATCTAATTTATTTGTCACTTACGGATGTCAACTGCGGCTGGCTGAAGCGCTGAACTGAACGGCCGACTTCAACCTTCGACCAAAACATTGTGAGGAATGGCGTCGACAAAGTCCTGAAGGGCCGTCGCTCGGAGACGATCTTTGCAGGACTATTATTTTTAAATTTAAGTTAACCATGGATTCCGTCACGGAGAGCCTCATCAGCTGGGTATGGTTGACATTCAACTTCAACCTCTTATATTTCTTTTTCATTCTATTTTTAAATGCGACCTTCTCTATGCATGGCCCTTTTCCGTAGTGACGTTGAATGGAAAATGCAAAACGACATAACCCACTTAGCGTGTTGCCCACCAAAATGGGACCTCTCCACGCCGCTCCGCTGTGAACGCGACCTAGTTTATGCGTGACTAACGTGGGGTCTTTAATCGTGACCGGGTGATCTAAGCGTGAGTCCGTTGCTTGTTCGTTTCTCGTTCGCAGCTACAGACTTTCAATGTCACAGCTCCGCACAGGAGCGTCGATCAGCTATCCGATGGAGTGGCGTTGGCGCAAGTTCTTCACCACATGTGAGTAACTCCACCACTACACGATTACTGAATCAGTGCTGGCTTGTCACCTTGTTAATTGGATTGTTTACCGACGCAGCGACCCCGATTTTTTCGACGCTTCCTGGTTGTCCAAAGTTAAGACGGATGTTGGGAGCAACTGGCGATTAAAGGTGAGTTCTTTTTTTTTTGTCTTGTTTTTCTTGGCTATTGTGTTCTGTTTTCTTTTTGTGGCGATATTGGATGTCACTGAATGTGTTGTGATTTTGGATTGCAGTTCAGCAACCTGAAAAAGATCCTGAAGGGCATCATGGATTATTACAACGAGGTAATGTTGACTGTTATGACCTCTTCCGAGCTTAACCTTTTGATTTTTCACGAACAGCTTTTATATTTTATTTGTGTACATCATATCATATGCAGCTGCCATAGAAGAATTGTGTGTGTTTTTCTAACACCCGTTAAACTTAAAATCTATAACAAATAATGAATTATTTGCGACAAGATGGTTTGGAGGCGCCACCTCGCCGGCGCCCTCTTGTGGCGCAGCTGGTAGGATGCGAGCAGTTGACGCGCTATGTCAAAGCACGGAGTGGCTACTTCGCATCTATGCCGATTAAAAACGCTTTATTTATTCAAGAAACACTTAAAACGTTTTTGTGAGTGATCTTTCTAATAAAAAAACGGTTCCTTGAAGTTGCTTTTTGTATTAGAAAAACTTAAAAATGTTCAAAAACAAGCCTCGAGCTTCACATTACAGTTTGCGCGACGTGCGTCAGGGCTATTCGCAGCCTTTCTGATACTTGTCTTTTCGGATCTATGGAGGCTGCTCTAGAAAACCGTTTTGCATCCACCAGAGTAAATGACGTGCTGTCTTCTTAGCTCTGTATGCGTGCACAGTTGTGTTGCAAAGTTCCGCACATTTGTTTTAGCTACATTGAGTTCGCCGATACTGACGCTTCTAGCCAAGTGTGACTCAACAGTTTGCTGCCGAGCAAAGGCTCGTCAGCTACTGACGCTTAAGTCCTCCCCAATCGAATATGTGGCAAACAAGTTTGTCACATCACAATTTCCGCTCAAAGAAAAGGAGAAATTTTCATAAACTCCTAAATTATTGGCTATGGCCCAGCAAATTCAGGCAATTGAGTAATTGTTCTATCCTATGTTTACTTAGAATGATTTACAAAAGTGTGTCACGCTGTGTGCATTTGCGTCCGCAAAAATTGAACGTACGAACGGCAGTAATTTATAGCAGGTGTATTCCTCATATTTTGGGATGCTGGGTGTCTCGCAGGTTTCGCGTCGATCGGATGAATTAGCAGGGATTTAGTTGAAACGACTCCGAAAGCCAGCCATCGCTTCTTCCTGTCAGTTATTTTGAGGAAATGCTTGTTTACTGGTTTACTCGGAACTATTAAGAGACCAGCACCAGCACATCGGAACCAACAGGATACACGAAGTCGCTTTCATTGAAGTGTTTACCACACACGTGAAAGGTTCTCGAATTTCACTTTCCTATTTTCAATTTAATGAGACATTCCTTTCTTAGCTTTATTTTGTTTGAATCATAAGAATAAAATACACCCTATTCACCGTGGGAGATGTTGTAGTGGTATAAAGCGTTGGACATTCTATTTTCATCGTCCAGCTTTTCGTGCTGGGGTAGAGAACGGCACACCACCATCCGAGCGCTTTGATACCTCAGCACCAAAAGTGTTTGTTGGCACGGCTGTGCTTGCCATGTGCAGTTTAAAACCTTGGTAAAATGCCCTACTACAAATATCACTTCAGCAAATAAACACGTGTTAAACAGGCTTTGCCACGCGTTACCCACACAGTGCGTGAAGCGAGCTGACGAGCTTAGGGATTCGAGATCTGCGCGGTCTGTCCCAGTCTGTCCAACCCGTGATGTCACAAACAATGATGATGATAGCTGGAGAAGCGCCCCCTGTAGTTTGCACACACCACTAATACGCACGACGTCGTGCATCTTGACCGGGAATAGCTATACGCACAACGCAAAACTTTTTGGGTCTTGTATAAAATTAATTGTCAAAACAGATTGCCGAAGGTGTGGTGTAAACGTGGGGACTGGGTGGGCCCCTCTAATGCACCACCGAAAAGGGTGACTCAAAAGGCCCGAGCTTTCTGCATTGTGCGTACAGCCATTCCCGTTTGAGGTGCACCCCTTTGTACATATAGCATCCTTGTAATGAATTATCGAACTAATTAATGTACTGAAAGAAGCTTGCTTTCAATTAATCAGATTAGTGGCTTCAAAATAAACAAAAAAAGAACACATACACATACGCACAGTCACAAATATTCATATAACCTGATCTGCAGATTGTGTGCAAACTTGATGTTAACATACAATTTTGATTTGAATAGTAGCATACTTGTTGGTAATTTTACTCCAGTAGTAATCTCCATTTTGCCTTTTCTTCATCACATGTTAAATTTTTGTCGCCCAACTTCGGCCAACTTACAATTGTAATGGTAACGCATCTTATTTATGGTAACCCTGTTGTATGTTAGGGGCTTGGACTTCAGCTTCTGGCATTTTGTTTTTGTATTGGAACAGATTTTCACTTTCTCAAAAGGAGGAATGCTTTGGTTGAAAGAAAACTCTCAACGAGGCATCCTCGGTGGCTCCGAGGCGAGAGCGCCGGCCTACGGATCCCCAGGTGGCGGGTTCGAATCCCGACCGAGGTGCCCGCAATATGACGGAGGCTTATTGCGGAGAAGGCGCCGTGTAACCGAGCTTTCGGTTGCACGTCAAAACATCCCCAGGTGGTCGAAATTAATCCTCAGTCCTCCGCTGGGGCGTGCCAGATGCCCTTCGTAGGTTTGGCACGTAAAACCCCCAAATTTGATTTCTCAACGAGGCATCTGTTCATAAATTCTCTCGGTAGTCTCTTTTCAGCATTTTAATGTTTATCAAATACTATTTCATATTACAAAAGAGAGTAAAAAAAAAACCTTTTCTGCAAACTTTTTTTTCTTCCTTCCACTCTGAAAGAATGTTGGCAATCCACTCTGGTTACGGAAGAACATCATGACTAATGTATGGATGGATGGCAGTGGCTAAACTCTTTGTATTTGGTGGTGGTTTGCGCCGCCTAGCCTAGTTAGATGGATAGATGGTATTGGCTGTAGCCTTTGTATCAAGTATAGCCAATGCCATCCAGTGGTGCAAGCTTACACCAGTTGGACCTTGCACCATTGTGGAAGTTGATCACGTTTCTTTACTAGCTCATTGCATAGACAGCTGCGTGAGCTTTGGATCGGTTCTTGGCTGGTTGCTTCCAGGTGTTGTTCCAGCAGATTACAGAATTCCGCTTTCCTGACGTCGGAGCAATTGCGGAGCGCGGAAGTCGGGAGGAGATGGGCCGTCTCCTTCAGCTGATCCTGGGATGCGCGGTCAACTGCTCACGGAAACAGGGTGAGGAGGCATTACACGACATCTCACCTGACACTTTGCACTCGCCTGCATGCTGGCCGTGACAGTGTGGGTCTTGCTGCAGTGTTGCTCGATGCCTCGTAGGATTGCTCTTCTGGCCGCCTGTATCAGTGTTATGCGTTGCATTTCGATTCACAAGGGGTAGAAGTTCACTCCACGCATCATTCTACCTAAAGGGATCCTGGCGGCTGCCATTTTGTATGTTGGTGCATTCTGTGCGTTCTTTTCCTGCTTGATGCAGTGGTAATCTCACGATGCTCGACGGTTACTTTTTGTGAACAGGGAAGCTTTGCACAGTTATTTAGGGGATGAAAATGACGTGGATGTCTTTCAATTTTTTCGCCTCCGACACGAGTTTCCTATCTCCTGTAACCCTTTGGCATCTCGTGAGCTGTGAGCAGGCGTGCGCAGCCAGAGCATCATGCTGGAGGCCGTCCGAAAGAGACGCCCCACACTTCTTGTTCCTGTCGGTGACCACAGCTTAGTCATTCCTGATTTCAACGAGATTGCATGCTCCACGGAGAACTCTAAGAATATACCGCGAGAATAATAGTTATAACACTTTTTGTGTAACTGTCTATACCATGCATAAATCTGCAGCGCACATTTTTGTGTCTTAAAGGGACACTGACACCCCCCAAAAAAATTTTTTTATTTTTTTGCCAGGCGGTTCAATATGGTGTCGGAGGACTACCCAATTAATATTTTGCAACAGAGTAGCGTATTTCTTTAATAAAGCCAAAAGACGCAACTGCTCGAAACCGAAACCGAAACCCGACGGAGGTCGGAGAAGTGGAGAGAAGAGAGTGACTGGCGGAAGTCACGTGGCTACACCCGACCGTGCTTTTTTTTTTTTTTGTTTTTCTCCTCTCCGGTAGCAGACGACACGACATGCGGCGTGCGGGAACTGCTTGCCGTGCCATTCTTTTACAGTTATGTTTGTTCCGCTCGTTGTTATGTACTCCAAGATGAGTTGCTTTGTACATTGAGGAGTTAGAGATGAGTAGCGAGTGCCCGTGGTGAATTTCCATGATCGGCTCCGAAAAGAATAAACCCAAGATGTTGCGTGAAGAGCTGGCTCACATGTCCTGCATCCGAAAAAAAGTGGCATTGTCGAAAGATCAACGGGATCGGGACCAATGGCTGGCTGCAATTCCTGTAGAACATTTACGGGCACCTCGGAAAGCGGACGCTACCTGATTTATATGCTCCTTGCACTTTGTGGAAAGTGATTACATTGAGTTCGCAGGTGTCAAAACGGAAATCCCATACCGTTTAATTCAGCGAAGTATCGTCCACAACATTTGTTTGTTATTTTTTTTGTTTGTTTCTTCAGTGATGATTGTAAAAAAAAGAAAAAGATATGTAAACATCAGAAATTGTTTGCAAAAAAAAAAAAAATCACGGGGGATCGAACTCGGACCTTCGGTGTGTGAAGCGGACGCCTTTCCCACTGAGCTACTGGGGCATCTCGTTTCTGGTGGATCTCTTTCCTTAGTAATAATTCAGCCGGTAAACTGTAAGTTTGAAAGTTTGCTGTCGATTTTTCTTTAGCAAAAGCACTCCCGGGTCGAAGTCGGGAAGCACCACGCTTTGGGGACATTCGCACCTAGTAAAGAAATCGTACGCGTGCATATTCAACTCGAAGTAGACACGTCGTGCTTGACGTTTGCGCGAGCGCTGTCTTCAGCCACGAGAAGGGAGCGACGGCTCGGCGACGTCTTCGTGCAAATCGGCTTGGTGGCCGGGCGTGTTTTACGGGATGAATACCAATTCTTTTGATCAGTCCCAAATTTCTCTTTTAACGGTAGACAGAATTCGCCGGTACCGCGAACGACAGTTCTGAAATAGAGGTCCCACGCCCGTCGTCCGCTGCCATCGCCGTCCCCGCGAGTCCCACGATACGCGAAACGACGAACGCACAGAATGCTTCCGGTTGTCTGTGGAACTTTTTTTTTCAATCAACGTATTTGCAGCTTTTTAGAAGCCACAAAAAATGGGTTTCATATTTTTTTCTATTTTTAATATTGAGTGTGTGCTTTCAGTGACCCACGACTTTGATTAAATTTGGTGGTCGCATCGATACCTTAGAAAATGGCCCGTGACCGCGGAAAAGATAGTGAGCGAGACTCGAACCGGCCAGTTCTTGATCGGCGGTTTTCGGGCGGAAAGAAACCGAATTTCGAGCCGCAAATTCTGTTCTGGGTAGTTGAGCCCTCATATGTCACGTACAACTAACAACCTCGGCGAGCATAAATACCCTGTCAGTGTCCCTTTAAGGCCCATTCACACACTTGCGACCGAGTACGACCGAGAGAGACGAGACTTGTTAAAACCTCTTGAAATTTCTTAGGACGAGAGAACACGCTGGCGCCATCTATGCGGTGACCCTGGAAGTGCACTTCCGAGGTCAAGAAAGGCTCGTTTATAATGTTGACAAAAGTTTTTCGAGCCAAGAAAGAAAGGATAATGCGCGAGAGAAATAGAAATTATGCCGGACCGCCAAGTTTACACCGCTGCCCCATAGATGGCGCCAGCATGTCCTCGCGTTGTAAGAGGTTTGAAGGAACCCAGTTTTAAGAGGTCGCAAGAGTGTGAACGGACCTTTATAGGCTCCAAGTAACAGCTGGTGAGTGACATTGTTTAGTGTCTGAATGAAAACCGCAATGCCGTTGTCGTTTCTTTTTCAGAGTACATTCAAGTCATTATGGGATTGGAAGAAGATCTGCAACATATGGTCATGAAGGCCATTCAGGAGGTTAGTAAGATATAATTATACTGACAGCAGGAAGGATTTTATGGTGTGTCGATAAAACACCGCTATTCTGCACTTTTTTTTCTTTTTTTTTTGTGTGGAGGGACACCATTTATTGCACGTTGTTAATACCACACAAACTTGTAGACTTGCAGCTCGATTCTTTATGAAGTGCTGAACGTGCTTATTCTGCCGCTGGTGTCGCAGCTGATCACCAAGGAAGCTCCGAGCAGCTATACGGGGGACAACTTTGACCTCAATGAGCAGCTCAAAAGAGCGGCTGAGGAGCTGCAGACAGCCAAGGAGGCCAAGGAACAGATCACGCAACGATGTCACGAGCTAGACATGCAGGTTAGTGTTGGTGGCGTGGTATCCAGGCCTTACAAAACCCCTGAAAAGGAAAAAAGTTTTTTTAAACAGTCTGGTTGGGATACGCAAATCAAAAAATAAATTTTGAAAAAAAAAAAAACATTTTTAGAGCATTATTGACGGTGAGAGATTTATTTGACATTCTGTGTGCAAAATCATAATGTCATGGAATGGCCATTTGCTCTTTCGATGTCAACGTGAAGGTGAAGCTGATCCACCTCTTCTCCATGTGCTCGAAATGCCGAGAGAGAACACAAATGGAAAGGAGGTGACTGCCCACTAAATCGTGTCTAGTGCCATCAATATTGCTCTAAAAATGTTTTTTTTTTGTGTGTGTGTGTTTTTTTTTTTGTGTAAAATTAATTTTTTGACACGTGTCCCAACTAAACTAAAAAAAAAAAAAAACTTTTTTTTTTTTCTTTTAAAGGGCTTTTTAAAGAAAGCTATATACCAAGTTTGGGAGTCTTTTTGTGTGTTTCTTTAGCAGCACAACAGAACATATAGAAACATAAAACTTTTAGCTCCTGCTTATAGTAATCAGTTTAACATTTTTGTTTTAGTTAGTTTTCGATAAGAATTAAGGTATGAAACATAAGTCCAGTATTTGATATGTGCCAGTTATAAGGCGAGACACTGGTTCTAAAATGGACTTTTTTTTTTATTGTACAGTTTGTAATGAAAATTGTTGTGTTTACGCATTTTGTCACCCTCTTTTGAAATATGCAATTAGATTTAAGACACCTCTTCTGTTTTAGTTACATAACAACAAAATGAAGCCTACTGAGGTCATTTCTTACTGGGTTTGAGGTCCTTTTTAATAAGAACTTTTTTATAAGTAATAAGATTTTTATATTTTTTGTAGTAATAAGATACTTTTGTAAAAAAGAATTATTCAATCAAATTAGTCTAATTATGTCAAGTACCCTATCTATAAAATATAATAAGGTTGCGTTATATATAATAAAAATTTTCAAGCTCTTTCAGTCATACAATAGCATAGCTTTGCAGTTCACCTCTTTCTGAATTAGGTTCTATAAAGTTTATAGGAATCATTAAAAAAAAAAAGCTCTGAAAACTTTTATAAGGCTGAGCATATCGACAAAAAACATGAAACTGAGTAAATCGCAGTTGAAGTTTGGACAGTGATCGCAGAAACTTGTATGAGGGATCCTAGGCATTAAGTTTCATCAATATGTAGAGTACCGTAGAATACCGTGCATCCGGCCATTCCACATTAAGCACTCATTCCCAAATTTCTAAGATCTGAGAAAATATGTATAGTAGATTGATATGTAAAATTGATGACCGGACAAGCTTCATCCCCGATTTTTTTCGCAATCATCTCTAAATTTTGAGTGGGCGCTTGTCCGGTATTTTACGGTAGTTCTTTCTGAACAAATTGAGATAAAATGGGTTGAAATTCATGGGAACCTTTAAAAGAAATCTGGAAGATAAAAAGAACTACCATACTGCAATGTAAAAATTTTGCAAACCAGTGAACCGATTTAACAAGAGACAACGGGAGGGGCCAGCAATAGTTTGAAGCCCCAAATGCAATTTTGTTTGGCCCTAAAAAGGCCCTTTGGTCCGTGTAGCTCTGGGAAGTGCCTCTATGTAACACTTGAGACTAGTGTAACACCCGCGACTGTGGTGCAGAAAAATTGAGCCCAAGTCAATGAAAAAGACAACATCAAAAGCATTATTTCAACTCAAGGCCAGAAGTCGTACATTGCCTATTGTACAGGAGTCGTTTATTTGCGTTCCTAGCTGTACCCTCTAGACACATTCCTGTCTGGGGAAAAATGCGGTTTCCCTAGTTCCCCGGTCAGACGATACTTGCTGTGCCGAGGAATCTGCTTGCAAAGCGTTGTGCGTGAAAAGCTGTCTGGGTCGTCTGACAACCATTGCCTTGCAGGTGACGATGCTGCAAGAGGAGAAGTCTAGCCTGATGCATGAGAACGAGAAGTTGCTCGACAAGCTGAATCACATGGAGAACCTGGAAGACCCGAGGTGCGCGTCATTTTTTGGCACAGAATGTTTTTGTGGGGCTGGGCTTCGTGAGAAATGCGACAGATTACGCTTGATCGACACACGCACTCATGTCATGTGACACCCTTATGTCACATGACACTGTGACGTCATGGGAGGTGCTAACAACATGTAGTATGACGTCACATGACTTCCGAACTTGATGTGAAGTTCAGTGATATCACGTGACACAGTGACAGCACGTGACATTCTCACGTCATGTGATAATATTTCACACAACACGCAAACTTGACATCAAGTCACGTGATATCATGTCGTGACACTGTGACAGCACATAATGTCATGTGACACCATGACATCATCTGATATTATGACTGCATGACATCCAAGCTTGACGTTAAGTCACATTATATGATGGCATCATGTGACATCACATGATGGAGACTTGACGTCAAGTCGCATGATATCATGACATCATGTGATGTCACATGACACAGACTTGATGTCAAGTAGCATGATATGACATCACGTGACTGATGTCACAGAGTCACGTGAACTTGTGCCGTCGCACGCACACAGCATGTCCCCAGCACTTTTGTAACACATTTTGTGTTTCCGAATTTATCAGATATGATAGTGACATGCTTAAACATTTTTTTTTTCATCAGCGCCCTAAGTTTTGGCGTGACCCACGTGTGACTGGATTTGCTGTATCAAATCTTTGCAGCACGTCAGCGGGCAGGAGATACCAGCAGTCGCAGCTGAAGATTGACAACCTGCAGGCTGAGGTTTTTAAGCTGGAAACAGGTACTGTCCTTAGATTCTTTTTGTAGCTTCGCTTGTCTGGTGAAGCATCTACCTTTAAATACTCTTTCCAAGAAACTATGAGCAAGTGCATTCAGAGGTCATTTTTTAAACATTGGGATAGCAAGACATGTTTCGAGAAAGGTTGTTTTTGTGTATTGCTGCTGTAACAGTTTTTTATACTGTGGTAAGAGTGTTTTTGGTAAGGAAAGTCTTTTTCTAAATACTGTCAGTTGTTTTCTTTAGCTCAATATTTTGTGATAGTGAACAATTTCTGGGAGTCTGGAATTCTGTGGGATGGACAAATGCAAGTCAGTTGATCATTCTTTTACCTTTTGTCTTCTTTTTTAAAATTTTTCAGCAAGGGATGAACTTCGAATCAAGGTGGAATTCCAGGAAAAGGAGATACTAAACCTCCAGGAAAAGGTTAGCACATGTTTCTGCTAAGGACAGGTGAACATCAAAGCTAGCCCCATGGAAGCAGTGTGTGTGAAACAGTAGTTTTTGGTATAATGTTTTAAAGCACATTAAAATAATTTTAAATACAGTAAGCGCTCATTATAATGAAGTCAACGGAATGGCAAAAAAATTCAAAGCAGTAGTTCGATAAAAGCGATAGAGCCAAAGAAACGGTGCCATCATGTCGTTGGCTCATGCAACAGCATGAATGTTGTTCTGTGCCACCATGGAGAGGGCTTCTCTGGTGGTGGTCTTTGAAACCACGCCACACGAGAGCCAATGAGAGACTCGTTCCTCAGTGACGCGCACCAGTCAATGGGAGCATAATCCATCACTTCGCTCCTTTTGGAGAAATTAATTTATCTGCCGTTTCGCGTGGCTTTTTGCGCGGCTTTCAAAGTTGGGTCAAGAGCCTGCTGCGTGCATGCGACGTCACAAGTTCACGTGACTGTGACATCAGAGTCACGTGATGTCATGTCTTGCTACCTGACATCAAGTCTGTGTCATATGACGTCGTGATATCTTGCGACTTGATGTCCAATTTGCGTCATGTGATGTCACGTGATGCCATCATGTAATGACACACTTGCGTAAGCTACTGAGTGCGACTGCAACGGCTTGCGACGTACGGGTTGCCATGGCGACCACTGCGTCAGCTCCAACAAAAGAGGTGTAAAAACCGGTTTTGTTGGAGCCGACGCGGCTGTTGCCCACTGCACGTGCTCTCTGAAAAAAAAAAATATACCTTATAACAAAATGCTGTAGTGGCACTGTCAATGCCAAGAGCTTGTGCCAGGAGACGCACCTTCACGCGCTTTGGAACAAAAGCATTCGGAACTAAATCGAACAAAACGAAAGTGCTCGGAGCAGAACAGTTGTTTAGTGTTCCAAATGCTTTTGTTCACGCACCTTACTGCCCCACGGTGCATGAACGCGACGCCAATGCCCGACGACTTCGCCGTGACGTGTTGCAGCTATTGCTGTGGCTGTACCATGGAATTGCACGGAACTGCCCAATGTTTTTTTACTGTAACAGTTTCCAAGTGGCTTCTTTTTGCCTTAGTTTGCATTTGTCTTGAGGATTCTGTACCAGTAGTTGCTGTACAGTCATGGTTTATGTTGAATGCCGATATGAATGAATCCATTCCTTCGTTCATTTAAACCTTTTGGTTTCAAAATGTTCATTCATACCTTTTGAACTGGGTGGAAACTTGTGCCACCTGGCCGGCATGTTTACAACTTTTTTGTTTTTTTTTGCGATTTGGGGGGGGAGGTTGGATGTTTTGACAATAATTGGGGTTGTCAGTTGGCTACCTTTTTTTTCTCAGAACTTACCTGATAATATTAGTGAGTGCTAGTGATGGTTTATTTTAACGCAGAATGTATTTTATGATTATAGTCCAAACCTCGAGACATGAAGAAAATAAAATGACAAACTAGACGACACAAATTCTCAAACACGTTTTATGAGTCGTTATCTTTGAGAAAATTTCTCTGGGAGCATATCCAACGTTAAGGTTATATACAAAGATTATAAATGAAGTTTGACCCATAGCAGGGCTTGAACCTGGGTTGGTGCTGGGCAGTTGGACACCATAGCCACTGAGGTACTAGCACAGCTTGTCTGAAGCGGTAAATTATCTTACTTGAGTGCAAACGTGCCGGTGAGAGCAGCAGGTTTTGGGAGTAAGTAATAAAAAATAAAAATCAGACAAATCAATAAATGAAAATAAACAAATGATAAATTAATGGATAAAAATATAAAGTGTGGCTTGTGTGGGACATATTCTGTGCTTCTTGGTCTTGGTCAGCATGATCGAGCCTGTTCGTTATAACTAAGAGCTTGTATGCTGAAACCAATGGAGATCTGTTTTGTGGTTTCAGAACGAGGAATTGCATCGCGCTGTGAATGAGGCGCAGTCACTCAAGGACGAACTGGATGTTTTGCGACATACTTCGGACAAAGTTGTGAGTGGGCCATCTTTTTGTGTTTGTTTTCTTTCAGTATTTCAAGCTAAATCTTTTTTAAATTGATGCGGGGGATATGTTAAGGCTCTTGTATAAATTCGAGCTTTGTGAAGAGTTATGTGGAGCAAAGTGACTTGGTACAAGGCCTTTGGTCTTCACTTTAAGTGCCTCAGAGGGTGACGCATAGTAATAGATTTAGCAGATGCGGTAGATGTCTTTGGGACATGGAGGCAATTCTGTCATATTGACAGCCAGTTCAACTGTTGAGCTGAAAAAATTTGAGGTTCCGATCAGTCGAGGAATTATATAGTACTTTTTTTCTTTTGGTGGTCATCTCGTACACTCTTTTCACTTGAAAGACATTGAGAAGACACTGCTGGTAATGCTGAAATCGGCCCACGCTGCAGTGTAAATGCCTCGTTTTGCACGTCTTCCGCCTAGGAACATTACGAAGCGACCATCGAAACTTACAAGAAGAAACTCGGTGAGTTTGTCTTCTCGCGGTCCTGCTGCTGGGGCAAAGGGGTGAACGCTGATTTTTCCTCGCAGAGGATTTGAGTGACCTGAAGCGGCAGGTGAAGCTCCTTGAAGAGAAGAACACCTCCTACATGCAGACCAACATAGAGCTGGAAGAGGTTGGTGGCACACCGTTTTCTCATTGCTAGTCGTTGCTCTCCCGTTTCCTCACGATGAAGCACCGATTGGCTGGGCTTTCTTCGGAAAAACTCGTAGCAAGGGTGTTCCAAGGGGATAGATGTGGAGACCGGATAGAGCTGCACCTGCGCTTTGTGTTGTGTGTCTGTCGGTGTTGCCGTTTTGTATTTTTCTTCAACCTCTACCGACGTCTGTCTCACCTGCATTGTTGCATCCAGTTAGTGTGGTCCAATAATTCTTTCTTTCTGCCTCGCGATTCAGCAGCGTCTGCCAGTCTTGCCAGTTAGTCTCACCTGCCTTTCTGTTTTTTATTTTGCGATTCTTGCACAGTTTTGTTACACTCATTGTGTTGCATAATTTTATGTTACTGTTGCTCCCATCTCTTAGCTTTGTCTTTCAGTTCTGTGTGTCACTTTTGCTAAGTTCCTCCTGTTGGTCTCGTCTGCCAAAGGGTTCAGCAGTCTTGCTCATCGTTGACCTCATCGTTTTAAGTTCAGTCTATGACGTCTTGTTTGTTTGCGTCCGTCTGACGTGCGGTCTGCTTCTGCTGCCGCAGGACGTGAAGAAGATGGCCGCCCTCAAGTCCCAGGTGGACCTGTACAAGAAGCAGACGCAGGAACTCCGGCTGCAGCTGGGTGACGAGACACGGAAGGCCAACCGGGCAGAATTCGAGTCCAAGCGGCTCCAGGAGAAGTTTGTGTCCCTCCAAACCGAGAAAGAGGTAGGCCGTAGGGAACGGTGTGCCCCGTGAGCCGTGTGGGTCGACCAGGAAACACTCTTAGGAGTCCTCTCAATCTAGATCAGGGGATCCTCAAACTTAACTGATAGCCGAGAAACCCCTACCATTCTTGGCATTGATGCTGCCGGGCTCGCTGGAAGCTTGTCTTTTTCTTCCTGCTTCTTCCCGTTCTGTGGGTGCCCATGGACGCCCACAGAAGTCATCTTGAGGTCATGAGTGCTCCATCACTTTGTTGCTTACAATGTAGTGCAGCAGTGCAAAGGCCTCCAGATCTTGGAAACAAGAGTACCTGTACTGGGGAGTGTTCGGCCTGTAGTTATGCATCAACGGATGGCTCGATTCTGATCAAATAATGCTTAAGCTGTGAAAAACGATTTAGTTAGGGGGGCAGGGATTGTTGAAAAACCATTAGGGCAATCTTGGGAACCCGTGAGGGCACTCTGGAGAATCCATGAGGCTTCTCTGAAGATCCCATGAGGGTGATCTAGGGAACCCATAAGTGTGCTCTGGGGAACCCATAATGGCGCTCTGGGGAACCCATGAGATGCTCTGAGTAGCCCATGAGGCGTTCTAAGGAACCCATGAGGGTGTTTTGCATAACCTGTGAGGATGCTCTGGGGAGCTCCTAGGTCTCTTGGAATGTGCCAATTTCATTGTGAGCTCATGCATTACTGACATGCTCAGTACAGGGCCCTAGCATTCGTTGTTGCATGACCTATGAGTAGCAGTAGGTGATTTGCAGTGGTTTGAAGTGCCTAGTGACCCACTAGGAAAGCTTGTCTCCAGTCGAAATGCCAAAGGTTATTAGCTTTTTCTGGCCAAAGAAAGTGTCTTCAGCTGAGGCAAAAGAGACTGGCAGCCCATCAGAGCATATGGCAACACAGTGATATATTAGAGCGCAGCTCTTTGGGGCCCGTTTCCAGCCTGAGCGGCGTCGGCGTAACCGGGGGAGGGGTCACGTGACCCCCCCGAGGTCACGTGACCCCCCCCCCCCCCCCCCCCTCCCCCGAGATCACGTGACCCCCCCGGGGTCACGTGACTACCCGCAGGTGCAGCCTTTAACAGACTAGCTCAATCTAAACATTCCAAACAATTGGCTTTCGATAACAGACATTTGTGACTGGTGACTGGTGCTAAAATATTGTCCTTATCGAGTAGTGTTCTTTTGCAGTTGACGCATGAAAAGTTTCTGTGCACCAAATGGAAGGCATGATGAGTCAAGTTGTTTCGTCATCTTCTATTTCAGCGTCTAATGGCAGAGCGAGATTCTTTGAAGGAAGGTCTTGAGGAGTTGCACTGTCAGCAGTTGCAGAAAGGCAAGTCGGAACTTAGCTTTCCATTCTTAGTTTTGAATACATTTTATTACTATAGAGTTAAGGAGCTTGTGTTGCAGAAAAACCGGCGTCGGTGGCGTGGCGAAAAAAGCAGGCATCGGTGTCGTGCCACAAAAATCCTGATTGGTCTATAAGGTCATGACAACATATCCAGTTGACCTCGTGCGACAATTTTAAACAACCCTCAACGCTAACATGAAATGTGACGTTATGCGGGAGATGAAAGTGATTAAAAAATATGATATGTAATGCTAATTAAAGTTCACTGCATATCTCAAATGATATCAACTCTATAAAAGAGTTTTTGGCGGGATAAAAACCCACGGCCCTTAGGTTGCGAGGCAGACATGCTATTGACTAGGCTACGCAAGGCATGCTTGCACAACTTGGTAATGAACAGGAGTTTGTATGTTTATATTTTTTACTACCGCGTTCCACTCTGAAAGGGAAGATGGGGCACTTATACATTTAAGAAAAAATACTTGAATTGCGTTCATTTGGCCTTTAGAATAAGAGATATCATAATTATATTTCAATGCGACGCCCCGGAGAGCCATAAAACCAATTTCAAAATAGGGCTGAAGCCCCGCCTCCCCTAGCCTTGGGCAGCCAAAAAATCTGTAGATGACGTCACGTACAGCGACTGTCTTTCGCGTTTTCTCGCGTTTAACAATACTTGCGCAGCAAATGGTTTGGGTATTTGGGTTTACGGTGTAAAGATGCACTAGAATTCACTTGTAACTCATTTTTTTCAAGAAGCTTTGTAGCTTCCCTTTAAAGGCAAAGCCCTCAAGTTTTATATCCCTCAAGTTTTTATATGCACATTATGTAACAAACCGAAGCATGAAAAAAAAAAAAATTTTTCACACCACACTAAACAGGTGGTAGTAATATTAGTGCTTATCCAAGCACCTTTAGGACGCATGTTTGCAGCATTTGGAATTAACTTGTTTCTTAATACAGTGTAGACCGCATATAACGTATGTCGCGGGAGTCGCGAAAATCCGCACTATAAGCGATACCGCGCTATAACCAAAACATCAATTTTTCAGGCCAGAATACATGCCATGAGACAACTTACCTTTGTAAAACAATTTATTTTATGTTACACCGATGAAAAATGAAGCTTAGTTTGAGGAAAGTCTTTATTTCACCAGACTAGTACTTTTCTCTCTCAAGTGTGTCACACATTTTGAAAGAAATGAGTGACTTTTGCCTGGCACAGCCTTTTAACGGCGTCGCGGGTTGCGGACGGACGTTGCGAGCGTTCAGGATTGCTAACTTTAATCACTTTTCTCCGGTGATGAAAACGTGTGAAAATTCGCATCCCTTATACGGTACGCGCCAGTAATACCTTCAACTTTAGCACAGGCATGAAATGCTCTAAATAAAAAATCCGGGCGATGTTCGAAAACACAAATGCTTAGAAAGCACCACTGTAGTCGAAGTAAACAAACACAACGACACGGGCGTTTCTGCTGTCTTGAGAGTGCCGCCACGACATCGCCGCACAAGTAGGTGGATCTTCCCTTCTAGTACATGCTGGGTTATCATAGCGACACACAATGAAAATTCACAGTCAAGGATAGCGCTTTTACGCGGAACGATGAGCTTCCACCACGCCGTCTACGGCGACGATCTCCAACGACGCCATGTTTGCGGATAGAAAAAGAGCCGGCCCGCGACTGGCATGCAACGCGCGCGAACACTTCTCTTCGACCTGCGATTGGTCTGTCGTTGCGGTTGTTTCCAACCATAGAGATCATTTTCCAACGCAGCGGAGGCAACGGAGGTATGGTGAGGTATGGTTAGCAGGGACGCATGCACGTGAACGACCCGTGCGTGCGTCCCTCCGTTGCCTATGGCAACTGAAGCCTCTCTCTTCCCTTCTCCCCGCTTCTTCGAGCAATCTCCTTGCCCCGCGAGTGCCGCTTGCGGCTCGCGCCGTTATCTAGTGTTGCACAGGGAAACGTGCTCGCTCCGTCGGTCGGTCGGCGAGCTGTTCCAGAAACCGCACTATAACCGGTATTTCCCTTCGCGCGCCTGCATTTTAAGCGGTATTACATTACATGGAGTTCTATGGGAGGCGAACCGGTAGTTGAAGAAAGTAGCGTTATACCCGGTCCTGCACTATAAGCGGTTACGTTGTAAGTGGTCTATACTGTATGATTTGTGGTATAGTAACATGTTTGGATGGTGGTTCTCCGATAACTCTTGAAGGTGGAAACGAACGTTTAAATTGCATATGTTACCTATATTCACTCGGTGAATAGATTAGATAAATACTCTTCTCGTTTTCTGTGTTTGTTCCGGGTTGCAGAAAGCTCCAACGTCCAGGCAAGCGACCCAAAAGCCGTGGGAACTCTCTCAGATTCGGAGATGCTGGAGACCCTTCCACCAGAAATAAAGTAAGCTAACCGAATATCGGTCCTGATATTTTGTTTTTCGTTTGGTTTTGGAACTTTTTTTTTTGTTGCAAGTTAGGCCGTGAAAACGAGGTGAGTCACCGCCCATCCCCGAGTCATCGCCCTCCGCACATTTTGGGCAAATATCGATTTCCATAAAAACACACTGATGGCCTCCCCAAATACTTCTACGCAGACTCCGCAATTTGTGAACATTCATCCCACTCGAATGACGCAGACATGTACCTTACAGTTAGAGGACGTTTGTGACAAACTAGAACAAAGGAGGAAAAGACACTTCTCTTTGCTTACCCGATTCCTCCCCGATTTACGCGATCCCCAAGTCGTAGTACATGTTTGCGAGAGGAAAGCGACGGAGATATCAGAATGAACCTTTGTTTTGCTTACAAAATAGTTTGTTCAGACAAAAAAGAAACACAGTTGGAAAGATAACACAAGCGCTAACCCATTCAGAGATCGCGAGGTCAGCGAACGCCCCATTTCCTGGAATGTAACCGCGGAGTGTAAAATCAAAGCCCGTCTCTACCGAAGTAAGGTCACCGCGAACCCGCTACTGCTCCCGGAACACCGCGACCGCGGTTGGTAAGGTTGTGCAATGTTTGAAACAAAGCCGACGGGTAAATAAAGATTTGCTGGAACGCCGCACACAGACGCAGAGCGTCTTATTTTGAGCTTTGTGTCCGTGGTGCCGTCCGCGCCACACAGCAACAGGGTCTCAGCCCGCATTGATAGCACGCCGTGAACGGACGCACCCATGTATGCACCAAACAAGAAAATGGCGCAAGAGCCTCTTTCTTGCGATTGACAAGGAGCCCGACTTAGGCCTGACGCCAAAGTGTTTGGCAATGCGATTGCCAGCTTTCTCACTTCCCCAGCGTCGCTCTTCATTGCTTCTTTCGTCTGCTTGCTCGCTCACTCGTTGCGCCTGGTTGGTTTTTCTGTTTTTTTGTAGACCTTTTTTTCTTTTTAGCCAAGAGAACATAGCAGTGTTAGAAACATGCTTTTGTAGAACAAATGTTCATGCTGTATGCCGATCGGCGGTGTTCATCGCGCGTATGCAACCAACGGACTTTCCAATAGTAAAGCATTCTCTCGTGAGCATTTCTTGCATAAAACAATGAAACTAATTCGAGTTCTGAGTCTAATGTATCTCTTGCGCAGCCGTGCTAGATACTTGCAGAAAACTGGGCGTTTATTTAGCTTTTTCTAAACCTTTTGTGCTTACCCACGGGGACATGGCCCACCCCACTTTTTTTTTTTATGAATTTCAGGCTGCAGGCGGGTAGGCGATGGTTCGGGATATTATGGTTGTTGTAGGACAGCAGTCGTACAACTTTAATTGTACAACTTTAGTTGTAGCTTTAGTTGCGAGACACTGGTTGCAAACTTCCGGTTGTTAAACATTGTAAACAAACTGTGGCTACAGCCTTGGAGCTTCATTATGCTCTTGATATTATAAAAGCTTTTGGGAGATAACAAAAGTAGATGGTGTGTCATGAATTGAATTAACTTTGAACTTACGGTAAGAGTAATTGATATTACAAGTTATGACATTGTAATGCTACACAAAAATAAACTTGTCCCGTGGGAAAAAAACAAAAAAAACACCTTTTTTAAGGGTTACAACTCAAAATCGGAGTATTTTCCAAAAGAGTTGGGTACCTTCACCTCTTTCACATCGAAGCGAAGGAATGTTGCTATAAGGCCCAAGTTGACAAAACACTGCAGGATAGCCAGCCAATTATTTTTTTTATTTTCTTCACTCTGTTTTGTCATTGCTCCAAATAAAAATATAAGAGTTTTAGGTTAATTACTTACTGTTTCATTTTACAACAAAAAAAAAAAAAATGGTTTTCAATTTCAGATGATGAACGTTTCTCGTTGCAAGAGGGACTGTGTTTCTGCATTTTCAGGGAAAAGCTGATCCGGCTTCAGCACGAGAACAAGATGCTGAAGCTTCAGCAGAGCAAAAGTGAGGGCCAGCAGCTGACGCTGGTGAAGACGCGGCTGGAATACGCACAGTCCAATATCAACGACCTAGAGACAGAAGTCAGGTCAGTTTCCTGCGGCGGGCACCAGTATCGTGCTCTTCAGGAAGGCTTATATGTATAAAACAAAGGAGTCAGAGAGGTCCTACAGATGGTCCGAATTATGCAGAACGTGGGGTTGAGAGGCTGTTCTAGCACGACATATAATATCTTCCCCCTAAATGTAGCGGAGGGCGGTCTTGGGGTGATACCAACCCCGTAATTGTCATACGGCATCACTTATGTTGTGGTGTGTGACGCTGTCACACAATCCGTTCATGCGACACTGTGACTTCACGTTACCTAGCTACGTGACACTGAGACCTCATGTCTGTGAACATGTGACACCAAGAGGTAATGTCACGTGACTACATAACCCATAGTGGTACTAGAGTAACTGTATAGGAGAGATACACTGTAATAAGAGAAATAAGTCAACACGTCTAACCAACTCGCCCAGCAACTCATTTTGGTACAATAACTATTTAGGGTCCGCTTGCAGAGCCAGAGTGTCTTGTTCGTTTTCCTTGCGCCGCCAACTCCCGATTGGCAGAGAAGCGGTCATGTGCACCAAGGTGGATCTGACCTTCATGAGGGAAAGCGACCTTGCAAGTGCAGAGTTTTGGGCAGAGCATATTTCTCGCTTTTTGTTTGCACAATATACAACCCACACTAAAATCGAACGAACTGGAAGGTTCCTTGACCACTGAACATCATGTGTAGCCACTTGGCACATTATGAACGCATTGTTTTGTAACGTGAGCAGGCGACATGGAGGACGACCGCGTTGCTCGCGTCTGCAGTGCTCACGGAGTGATACGCGTCCTGCACATCCGGCTACCTCAGACCAGACGTTAAAGCTCAGCTACAGCTCGCGAAAGGACAGTGCTTTCGTCGGCTACTGTGTTCTACCGAGGTCTAGAGAGAAACAGGAGACATATGACGGGAAGACGACACACGCGCGGCATGTCACCGCGCTATATCTTCTCTGCTCCGCACGCCGCAGCACGCCGCTTCACAGCCACCCCATCTGCGCCTCCGGGTCTCCTGCAGAAGCACAGTCACTTCCCACAGTGCGGTTTTGGATCCAACATGGCCGCCCTGGGAGCACCATTGCGATACTCTGCTTTGCAAGCAGAGTATATACAGTTACTCTAAGTGGCACCAGCCACGTGATCGTTGCACGCTCGTGTTATGTTTTCGTTACAACTCCTCTACAAACCAGCCATTAAAACGTTCAGTTTTGAAAGATATATTCACAATAGCAGATAGCCTTTTTTTTTAAGAGGGGATTTTTCAGTGTTTCTGGGGCATTGCTGGAGCTGAAGAAGTAAAATTTCTGCCTTGCTTTCTCGTTTGCGGCTGCAGACTGCTCAACCAGCGCAACCTTCAGCTCGAGAGTCAGCTGGAGGACAGTCGGGAGGCCGCGTCGGCTGGTGAAGGGGTGGAGGCGAGGCAGCAGCTGTTCGTGGCTCAACGGCGCTGTAAGGAGCTGGAAAGTCAGCTGCGAGAACGAGAGTCAAGCCTCGAAGCCATGGCCGGTCGGCTTGCAGAGTCCTGTGAGTTCCCTTTGACATGAAACCAACTTAGACCTTTAGCCTGTAGTCTAATTTATTGAATTATTGATTGATTATTTAATTAATTGATTAGGGTGGTGCAGCAATATGACAGACATATTTCTTTGAGGAAACGCTTTACAGTGGAGCTGTTAAGGGCTAGTTTCCCCAGTTTTGTGCCAGTGGACAATGAATGTTGACACAACACTCCAGACAGCTACTGCCATCTGTGAGCGACGGCGGCAACCAGACAACCAGCTTGCCGGATGTCTGGTTGCCGTTCTCGCTCATAGATGGCGGCAACCTTTGCGGCCTTTCCACTCTGGCTTGCCGACTTGCGGCCAGCCATTATTTCATTCCCACCATAGTTCAGCTTCGCTGGTCTTCCTTCTTCACCAGAGTCGAAAGGCTGAAAGTTTTTTTTTCTTTTTTTCATTTGTTTTGCGGATAACATTTGCGTAAGGGGCAGAGATAAAGGGCCTGCCAGAGCCTGTGCCACCTCAACTTCCCAAAGGTACACCCACATAATTTGCGATTATGTGGGTTTACCCAGGGGCGGATGCAGGAATTTCCTGAGGGGGGGTTCAGCTGTTGGTCAGCGTACCCCATGTTTAGGAACCCCCTCCCCCTCTCCCTCGTTTCGCGCCCTAAATTTTACACATGCAGAAATCAAGAGGGGGCTCAGAACATCCGGACCCCCTTTCTAAATCCGCCCCTGGGTGTACCTTTGGGAAGTTTAGCCAGACCTCTTTGCTTCTGCTTAACCTCTAAATGATGTGTTTCTCTTGTTAATTTGGGGTATTTTTTTAGTTTTATGTGTTCTATCATTCCCTCAAGAATAGGAGGGTTGATATCTTCTCTTATTTGTGCTACCAGTAGTTTTGTTCTGAGGTTTGTTTTGACGCTGGCTGTTTTCTGCTCATCAGGCGAGAGGCAGGGCGAGCTCACGGAGCAGCTGGAAAAGAAGGCAGAGGAGACGAGAGTGATGGAGGAGCGCTACCAGAAGTACCTTGAGAAAGCCAAGAATGTGAGTGGGATTGGAACATTATCACTATTAACAGTTTCCAAGAACAACACCGATGCCAGGAGTGCCAAAAGCAAAAATGTTGTTTTATGCGCAGCCCCTCTTTTCAGAAAAGCCTGCGTTTGAAATTATTCATTCCCATTTTTATCGCGGTGGGCTAGGATTTTGTACACTGGTCTTTATGTAGTCAATTACTTCAATCTATGCATTAACCTAGCAAATGATCTGCAGGTATTTTAAGCTTCTCATCCCAGAAATGCAGCCTATCTCCCCCGCAACACCGAGCACGGTACCCCACATCCGCAGGGTCCAGTGCAGATCTCATTTTTGGGAGCAAACACTTCCTAGGATTTCCTAGCTCCTAGCGGACTCCCAAAACCTTGGCTTTTTTAGGTATTCCCTAGGCTTTCCATAGGTAGTAGCGATTAGTCATAGTGTGCGTCCTCTGCAGGAAAGGACACATTCGGTCCCCACTCGTGAAAAGAGTGCAAATAACCATAGATTCAGCTAGCATTGTTGCCTGTCGCTGACGTTGCCTTCGCATGGATTTTTGGCCTCCCTTGTTGCACGGTTCACGTACGCGACGCAGAGAGTTTCGTAAGTCTTTTGTGCGTGGACCCCATTTTCAAAAGACTGGGGATGCCGGGGTTTCAGGTCATCAAGACACTGGACACCCGTAACGTGTCCCCTTCCGGGGCGGAGGTGGTGGCCCTGAAGAACCAGCTTCAGGACAAGGCCAAGCAGATCTCTCAGCTTCAGCAGGAGCTGGAGATGTTCAAGGCACAGTGGGAGAAGGAGGAGCGCCTCGTCAGCACCGTCTTCTACAACTTCGTGAGTCCCTTCCGTCGAGTGCTGGAGATCCCCGTTTCCGACGTTGCATGCCACCCTTTTTCGTGACACCTTGAGCCGTGAACCCTCGAGCCGTGACACCTCGAGCCGTGACACCTCAAGCCGTGAGTACCTTTTGTGACACCTTGATGACCAAAGCATCGTCAATGCTAAAGCTACTCTTCAGCATTGACTACGCCTTGGTCATCTTGGCGATTGCAATCCTTGCCATCGGCCATCCAAAGCTTCGTCTGAAATTGAAGGAAAAGCGCGCCCCCCCCCAGAAGTGTTAGAACAGTCTGCGACGGAGTGAAACAACGTCGTCTGAGCTTCCCGGATGCCGAATTCAATGCTTGGGAGGCCTAATTTTCCAATCGTAACTGTCGCCATTGGCGTCTGCTTTGCACTAGACAACAAGATGGCGGCGCCAACAAAACAATCGGTCAGGGGAGTGTCGACACTTTGAGCAGGGTTTGTTTAGCAAATCCAGCAACTACATCACTCATGGAAATAATGCAAAAAGACGGCTTTACTCAAAGAATATTCCAAACTGTCACAGATTTTTTCAAATTCGAAATATGCGTCAGCTTTTCTCTGGGAGCATTTTCTATGTGGTCCGCAAAGCTGACCTTGCGTTCCTGTGGGTCTTGTGGACGTCGCCAAGGTGTCGCATCTCTTTCTTTGGAATTTCTCTTTGCAGGAGAGAACTTCCAAAGAAAGAGATGCATTTAGTGGGCAAAGTGGAACCGAGCTTTTGCATTTATGCAAAAGCTCGGTTCTACTTTGTTTGCACAAAACGTAAGAACGTCGTCGCCATTTCCAGTCGGCTGACGCGGCCTGTTTTCGTCTGGCGCAGGGCGCCAAGCTGCAGCAGCAGTCGGCGGAGGAGCGCATAGTGCAGATGAGCGGCGGCCAATCTTTCTTGGCGAGACAGCGGCTGGCCACAACCAAACGTCACAACATGCCGGGCGTCCAGGCAAAGTGAGAAGAAACCACACTATTTTATTCGTTTACAAAGAAGCCGCATTGCCATAAAGCGGTGGTTCTCAACCGCCTGCCTTTCGGGGTTCGGGGGAAGCGATGGGGTGAGCCCTTATATTGGGGAGGACGTGGGATAGCAGACGATCACAATAACAAAAGGTCAACTAAAGAAAACTAAATGCATGCAAGCCAACTTTGAAGCTCTGAAACATAAACTAATCAACCCCACTCATTTGGTGCACATGTAAACAGTCAACGTCAATTAAAAAAAAAAAAATTATTGCTCGATTGAGGGCTTTGGGACCCTAAGAAGGCCTGTGGGGACCCCCATTTGAGAACCACTGCCGTAGGGCATTATCGCGGATGTCGAGGAAGCGCAATATTGATGCGCATGTTTCCATTTGCAGCATATTTTTATGGTCACCGAGAGGACTAGATGTGCGGGACTCTTCTTTCGAATGCCGAACATTCAGCACGTGCTTATTGCTGCCTTTGTGCCTTGATTGCTTGTGTGCACTCGAGACTCAAGACGCCGTGGCGTTATCGATAGTAGGCAGCTCGTGCTAAAGTCTGCACAGCCAAAAGAACTCCTCGCTGTTCTTATCTTGTCGACAACTGTATGAGTTTTCACAGCTGCTTCTGTTATAGACTACACTTTATCTCTTTATACGTAGACATTAGAATTGGGTTCCTGATTTAATTAGCGAGAGCGGCTTTGGCTGGGAAATGCTGCGGAGGCCTCTGACCTTCTGGGTGCGGAGCTCACCAGATCGATGGTAGTCAGCCATGGGAAAGTTGGGTGAAACTGAAGAACACCTCTTCTCAAGCATTTCGTGTTTACAGTGAGAAGGGGCTCCTTGTTGCAATTTGTAACAATCTTCACTCGATTTCTGACAGCCATTCTTTCTGGCTGTAACGTAGAAGGCACTAACATCCAGTTTCCGCAACAACTCGTTCAGTAATTTAGGGTAAAACATGCCACTATTAAAGTGATTGAAAGTCTTTCAGGTTACCTGCATTTCGGCCGTCGGGTCGACAAGAAGCGCAATTTTTTTTTATCCGTAAGCATTCATGCTTTTATTTGAGTGAGCACCGAGAGGCAACGATCTCGGACATGGGTTCTGCAAGTTGCATATTCACGAGTCAGCTCATCCTTCGTAATGAAATAATAACAATACTACTCAAAGAGGTAGTGCAACAATTTTCAGGTCAAAAGAATGTGCGGTTTGTATTTTTTATATCGTTTTTCTAGGCACACGTGAGAAAAACCATGCCACCTTGTCGCAAAAGACTGCTATTTCGCTGCGTAATCGCGGAGGAAAAAACAAATTCTTTGCCGATCTGCAGCCACGTGTAATGCTTACGGGAACTGCGCTGAAACGTTTTCTGGGGGACACTTGGAAGCCAACAAAACCTGTCCCCCTCTGCCGCTACACTCGCCATCAGCCCCGTGGCGAATTGTCTTTTGTGTGTCGATTGCTCGCTGCAACCTTCGTTGACGCTTATCCTTTAAAAGTCAACAATCGCGGAGTGAGCGGCTGGGGGACATGAAGAGAAAACCCAAAGGGAAACCACGTGATCCCCCAGAGTACGTTACTCAAAGGACGACGCGAGAGTTGAGAGGCACTTTTACCTTCGATTTGTCTCACTTTTTTTAAACTAGAGCACGTAAAAAAACATGGTTTTCTGTTCTTCGTTCCATAGGCGACACAGATTAATTCCTTAATTGACCAAAGTCCTAAAATTGTTGCACCGCCTCTCCAAGATTCATTGCAGAGTTATTTTACAGCAGTCTTTTGGTTTTCTCGCAGAGAGGACTTCTTTAGGAAACTCGCGTAAGGATTATATTTTTCTGGTCATTCTCATCATGTAGAAGGAGTGAAACCTTAGAGAAAAATTCTTTTTGGTAGATGTATACCTTGGTTTTTACATTTGTGTAGGTTTGTGCTACAGTGTCGCTTAGAAATGCCGCAACAGTACATTGGTTGCTTTCTGTTCCTGAATTGTGCGTTTGCATTTAGACATCCGTTTGAAAGCCGCGGGTCAGAGGTGCTGCAAACCTGTCGTGGTACCGGTTCACGTACGGTTGGAGTTTTTCAGTGTCGATTCCTAGGTTGTTTGGCACGAAAAGGGGCATTTTCTGTTCTTTCAATACCCATCCCAATTTTGTGGTAGAAGTTCTGCGCAAGTTTGGCCCAAAATTCAACCAGTATTGCATCCCAACATTTTTTCACATCCACGCCCAGACAAAGTTTGCGCCACCTTTACCAGAGTCCTGTTAGCATGCTATCGTTTGTTCTTGCATCCACCTATGCCTCCACGCTTGTGTGTAAAAGTACCGCATGAGCTGCATTCGCGTACTTGCAAGTAGCATGCTTAGCATCAGTGCCCGTTCATTTCGTGCTCGTTAAAATCTCCCCATCACCCGCCCCCCTTTTTTTTTTCTGCTTGCAGCGAGTTCTTTGGCTGATACTTGGGAAGCATGACACGCAACAAACCTTGCCTGCCTCCCACACCCGACAACCGTCGCACCGAAACGAAGAACGGAAACGCCTCCTTCCAAAGATTCATTGTTGCCTTGTACCGGGGCGGGTGTCTGTAAAGGAACTACAAACTTTAAAAATGTGCTGCTGAAAGCGATGGCTAGGCATAGCACACTGTCATCTCTCTTGAAGACCTATTTTACCTTTCACAGTACCCTGTTAGCATCTTCAGTTGCAACTCGGAGTCTGTGAAAAATTAAAATTAATGTTTTTACTATCTGTATTCTGTAGCTATAGTGGTGTCGAACTTGGGAAACCAAAGACGATATGCTCCGTTCATTTTTTTTATCCGCATCATGGAACTCTGGGATTCATTTCTTGCTGCCGACACACGCCGAGTCAACAGTTTATGTTTTAAGGGTGTTTCTGCAACGGAACTCAAGAAAAATTATGGTGTGGTATACATGATGAAGACGAAGTGAAGAAACAAACACGACAGGACCAAGCTGTTCTGTCGTCTTTGCTTCGTCGTTTGAGCTGTTTTCATCATGTACGAGGTGGGCCAACTCGCCCAGTTCACTACATTATTGAGCTGTGGTACTTCAAGTCGTCGTCTTTACGGGCGACCCATTTGAAGTGTCGACTTTTTGTTCACGACACCCAGTTTGTATTGTGTGCCTCGACTATTAAATTGGCGCAAGTTAAGAACGGTGCTATGAAACCCTCCCACCTTACAAAATGCGAGCGAAAAACACGACCATTGTTTTTATTTTTTATTGTGAACTTATAGTGAGAGTGGTAGGAGCAATTCGGAATGCTCCTCTTTCCTGAAATACAAATTTATGTTACACTAATTGCACAACCTTCATTGTCCTCGTTTTTCACCGGCCCGTTTTGCTAGAGCCGTTTCTTGCTGTAGATATATTCATGCTATGGGTTGGTTGTTTGTTTCACTACATTGAAGTCTGCATTGGGTGCCTGGTGTTTAGTTTCTCCCAAGTCTTCATCGAACGACTTAAAATAAAGTTTGCATACACAATGTACAGTTTGCATGTCAACGTCTGGAGAGCGCGTTTGTTGGTCAGCTGGCATGTCGTTTTGGGCACAAATGCTCAAAGGGTGCAATAAAAGAAAAGTCTGCTTATAGTATCGTTCGAAAAGTGGCGAGAAGGAAGCTCTGTAGGGGTTCTAAGATCTGCATTTTGTGAGGCTGTGCCCTGAATGTACGCAATATTTTAGACTGCTGGAAAATATTTTATTATTTTTACATTTAATAAATATGTCCGTCTTATCACCTTTTTGTCTGTGTCCAGTTTGTTCATCCAAAAGAACTGCATACCAAAGGTACTACATCTCAAATGTGGAAACGCAACAAGCACTTCAGGTTAATACAGATGGAAAAGCATTCAGCGGATATGTTCACTCTCTCGGCAACATTGAAAACTATTCACGACAGGTACCGAATTGGATGCATTGGTCGTACATATGTTTAACATAAAAAAAATGACAGCTACAAAAAACAAACGAGGACAACAAGAGAAGCACTTGTGACAGCAGTTACCTTACTACCAGCTTGCCCAGTCTAATTTTTTCATCCAGTCATGCATATGCTCTGTGGGAATAGATACGTGCAGACCTGGTTTATAAGTGTTGCAGCAATTACGACGGTAAATACGGTAGCTGTCATTTTAGTCCCCTGCAGGTCGAGACCGACAGGGCATCTCTCTCGAATGCCCAACCCTCAGCGTGCACTTGTTGCCATCCACTGTGCTTTGGCTGCGCACGCACCCTCAACCATGCAGTTTGTGTACAGCAGACACCGTTGCATCAGGTGGTGAAACTAAGAGTAACCATTGCTTGTTCCTGTGCGGCATATCAACCGCGAGATGCATCCTGCTGCATCCTACCTGTAGATGCCCTTAGCCGCCTACATTTCTAATATATGGCCTTTTTCTTCTAGGGGACGAACACACCATTGAAGCGTTGTTCGTCGCATGTTCCAAAGACGTTGCGCCACGCTGGACTCTAGTCCCAAGCAGTGTGTGAAGTATCACCTGCTCTAGTCACTCACTTCAAGATTGAACACACATTCACACCAGTCACACTTACGTAGTCTCTCATTGTCTTGCCTTGGCCACAGTGGTAATCTCACCATGCATGAAATTCATTAGAGGTAACCGGAAAAAATCGGAGCAAAAAGGATTCAGTAATTAGGTTTAGTATGAGATGTGTATTTTATGAAAATTCCCCTTTGATTACCGGAAAATAATGGCAACCTTGCCGAAATGAAACTATTTGAAAAATTAATGGCATTGCCAAAGAATTAGGGTGTGCAATCTTGTACTTTATAGCTTAACACTGCATTGGTTTTTGCTTTCTTTTTTTTCTAGCAAAAATAAGCTGTTCTATAAGCAAATCAATACAGAAAGTGACTTCACATTCCCAAATCAATGGCACCACTAGAGAAACCAGGCAACAATTGGCAATTTGGTTGCAACAGTCTTTGCTCAGAACGTCACTAAACACCATCTTGCTGAACTGTCGCTCTCACTTTCATTATCTCGCCTACTATAGGCTCGCTCGCACAGTTGCGTTTGACATCGTTAAGACTGTTTGCTTTGAGCTGTTGCTATGGTGAACCTTACGACGAGCCAATGGGGAAGCACTGTGCTGTACAACGCAAATGTGAACCCCCGTTTACACTATGATGCATGGGTTGTAGCCTTTGTGCCAAACAACCGGGGAGGAATTTCTGCACATCACTGAAGCTTTTAATTAATTACATACATCAAACTGTATAGTGACAGTCACACAATGTGTGCATTTGTACAACTGTTTCATGCTGTACTGTTGGCTTTGTTTATTAAACGTTTGCCAGCAGACCACATTTGGTTGTGGACTGTCCGTGTGTGTGTGTGCGTTTGTGGAACTTCCGTCACGTCTTGTCAAACCGAGGTAAGACGGGTAATATGAGATTGCCGAAGGAAGAGTCCTGCGGAATGAAAAATCCCACGGAAGTGGAGTGGGCATGTTGAAGCGCCGTCCTCTGCGACGTTGTCAAGGCGTGGGCGTCCGTAGTGTTTGGTGCTGGCTGGAAAAAAAAAATGAATTGTAAGGAAATTGTGTTAAAGCACAATTATATGAAAATTTAGATTGATGTGGCAGTGTCTGCCATTCTATCTGATGTAAGCACTTCTCAACGTCGACTTGTATAAGGTGTGATCAAAAAGTTCCGAAACTGATTTTGTAGCGCAAAAAATGACGGCAGCGCAGTGATGCGTGCGCAGCAGTCAAAGCAATTGACCTTTGTGTCTCGTTATACCAAAGGGCATCACCCTGTGAACATTTCGAGCTGTGCTACACAAGTACTTGTGATCACGTGCACGGGCATGGATGCAATTTCACCAGAGACTGCACACCAGAGTGAGAGCGAACATCATTTCCGAGTCAAACTCGGCAAATATAAAACAGACCTTTGAAATGATTCAGCAAGCTTGTATCAAAAAGCAGTGAATTTTGCTAGGTGTTTTAAGTGGCACTTACACTTCAGGAACGGCAGAACATCGCTGGAAGACAAATAGAGCGACCTTATCCAACCTCTCGACTTCAGTGACGTTTTGAGGCGTAAATGCCACTGAAAACACTGCACATCTTACTGCTTTTTGACATAAGCTTTCAAAATTGTTTCAGAGGTCTCTGTTTCAGATTTGCCGTGTTTGAGGTAAAGTTGACGTTTGCTCTCACTTTGGTTTGCAGTTTATTGAGATCCCCATTATGCTCGTGCATGTGGTCAAACTGGTGTAGCGCAGTTCCAAATGTTCACAAAGCGACGCCCTTTGGTATAACGACACAGGAAGGTCCCTGCCTTCAACTGTTGCACGCGCGTCACTGTACTGCCCTCTCTTTTTACTCTACAAAACCAGTCCCGGATACTTCGAAGCAGTGTATGGTTGCTTTGAAAACTACCGTAGAGCTGAACACTGTTGGTGAATATTGAGAGAGAGAAAGAGATAAGTTCTTTATTATGGAGATGTTGGTATTCTTTAAATGACACCGGCTACTCCATAAGTGAACATTGACTTTACAACAACATTACTGTTGTGTGACAACCAATTCAGTTCCCTTTTTTTAGTTGACGTCATATGAATGCGCCTCCATGTTGGAGCTGCGATTGCACGTTTCCGAACAGTAATGATGCGTATAATCCTGTGGGTTACTGGATATCTGGAATAGCAGGACTACTAGAGACGATGAATTTCAGAGCTGTGCGTTAGATTCAGCATGATATTACTTTGTCGGCAGGTTTGACTTACCGTTGCGGGCAGTACGGCAGGGCTGCAATGTTGAAAGATTTGATTAATTGTAATATGATTAGTACTGGTACTGACTACGATAGCAAAAATCAGAACGCGATGACCAATCGAACCTGGCATTCCCCTGTCCCTGCTTGAGCAAGAGCTGTTTCTTCTGTTGGAGTTCTTCCAAGATTTTTCTGTTTTGGAGTTCTACAGAAAATAAAAAAATTCCACACTAATTATTGTTTAATTAATCTTTTAGGCGATTTCGAGACGAAAAACAGAAATACCTTGGCGAGCTGTCGGAGGCTGGAACGCCATTTTTAAAACTTTCCATCGATTGGTTTGGAAATTGGATCTCATGTTGGCCTTTAGCCATCCGTCTAGCCTTCTCTAAAAGGGCTCATTTTCTGTGCAGTGCATCTGCTTTTCTTTAAAAAACAAGACAACATTTAAGTAAGTTAAAAACTAGTTTGTGGCGTATGTTTCATAATGCTGCAATTATTTCTGCTTTAAAAGTTTAATGACATTCTTTTTCGCGACTGTCTCGATCACTGTGGTCTCGACTGTCTGGCAACGCGCACAGGAATTTGCGCGAAAGTGGGATTTACTCAAGGGATTTACTGGATTTTCGTAGGGAGTTTGCCGTAGGATTTTGAGATGGAATCAGAAAAATCAGCTCCCAACAATGCCGAAAAAGGCGAGAAATTGACCCAGTTTCCCCTCGCTCGAGTCAAGAACATAATGAAGTTGGACCCAGACGTTACCTTGGCGAGCCAGGAAGCTGTTTTTCTCGTCGCAAAAGCCACGGTGGGTTGTGCCTCTGCCCTAGGATCCCGTTCGGTTGTCTTAGTCTCGTTAATTGTGGGGGATTTAATGACTGTCATTTAAGGAATTGTTCGTGGCTACGTTGGCCAAGGAGGCCTACACGTTCACCAGGCACAGCAAAAAGAAGACCATGCAAAAGAAAGATATTGGTACGCTGACGTTTACTGACTTGATGCGAGGAGCTGTAGGGGTTTCGATATCTAACGGTGTTTTCTTGCTGTTCATAGAGGCGTCGGTGGATGCTGTTGATGCGTTCGCATTCCTTGAAGGTTCGTAGGGCAATTTTGGAACATTCGAGCGGAGGCTAACTTTGTCTCTTTCGCGATAACTTGTAATTCAACTATGAACTTTCGTTTTTCAGGTACGCTGGACTGACGTTTGTGATCTGCGAATGTGCTTTTAGAGTGTAAATAAACCAGAAGAAATGTTTATAAACAAATAACATGGTCTTTTTTTTTCTTTTTTTTTTCCCTTAAATTTTTGTTGACAAGTTTTTGAGCGCGCGAACCGCCATTGCGGGTCGGACAAAACTTGTACATTGGAGAAAAGAAGAAACTACCTTTTTGTATATCCTGGGTGTTTTTATTTTACGTAAAAGAACATTTAATATTCGCTTAAAAATGTTTCCGTTGCGAAATAAAAACATCAGCAAACTGAAGCTGAACCGAAAGTTCGTCTGCTACTAGATACTAGGCGACATTTTGAGTAAAACGACGGCGCTTTTCGCGTCCCCGAAAAATCCCAAGTCAATCGCCGCTTTTCGCTGAATCATCGGGAAGAACAGCCCACTTTTTTAAAACTTCAGTGCTTGTCAGGATGAGTATGGCGGTGCAGAGCACCACTGCTTCAACAAGTGGACTCGGACAAACTAATCATCCCGCTACCACCACAAGTGCCACTGAGGAAGACAGTCCTGAGGTATTTGTTTCGTCTCTCCCGTTACACTAATATATATATATGTGTGAATGTGATTTGCACACTATGTTTATATGGCTCAGCAAACATTGGATGGGAATATAACCATCACTGTTTTCAGGCTAATTAACTTTTTAGTTACTCTAATTAGGATATATCTCTATATCACAAAATTTGAAGCGGTCGTATGCCAAGACTTCCATTTTGTAGAATTCGCATAACCCGCCCGTGTTCTGGAATATTCATCCCCGAATTTCGCACCTTTATCCGGCAAATGTAGCGAAGTTCAGCTATAGTGCATACTTTCACATGTTTGCCTGATTGAGTGGAAAAGAAGTCGGAATAAGTAGAAAATTCGTGGACAGATATCTGGGGAGACGAGCTGGTTACGTGAATTCTACAAAATGAAACAGTCCTGGCATATGAATGCCTCAAGGTTTGTAATATAAACATATGCCCTAATTACAGTAATTAAAAAGTTAATTAAAGAATTTTAGTTAATTAGTCTCGTAACAGTAAAGGTTATATTCTCGTCTATTGTCTGCCAAGTCATATAAACGTGCAGTGAAAACCGCATTCGTAAAATTTTTCCCCTCTTTATTTAAAAACTTAGTGCACCTAAAAAAAAAAAGACCCTGTATATATACATATATATATATATTCGCAACTCCAGGCCACTGCTTGCCTTCTCGCGGAAAAACAAAGAACCAGAGGAGCAGGGAAGGCGGCGGTGGCACAAAGACTGGCGGGGACTGTCGGCCTTAGTGCCTTGGTGCTGCTATTGCCGCATGGTTCTAGTCGACGTGTTCGTGCGTAAAGCAGTTTTAATGAAAAAAGTAAGCACGTTAAAATAGGAATTTTTGTGTTCCCTCTCGCAACAGCATTGTACGAAAGGATGGGGATGTCTAATTTCATTAGGGACTTTCGTGTATCGCATACACTGCATATTTCTGGTCTTGTGGTCACCAGCTCAATCTGCTCAAAGTGACAGCAAGGGCTCTTACTAGTAGTGTAGAGCTCTAGCATATGAGCTACGAAATGACTATCCTTTTTCCTAAGTAGGAGAAAACTGGTCGTGCGACGGTATGTTGAGCAATAGACATTGGGAATGGGCTCGCGTTTTAAGGCCGCTCTAAGAAACATGACCATTTGCCCCACGCACTTTCAAAAGACAATACGCGTACTTGCTTCAAAGTCATTACAGAGGCAAATAAAAAAAATGTTCAAAGCATTTTAAGCAGCCAGTTGTTCGTGACGAGGGCTTAGAATGGGCAGTTTTGGCAAGGTGGGTCGCAACATTGCAAAAAACACAGTACGCAGATGTAAAGTATATTAAAATAATTATTTTTGATAGAGCAAAGAATAAGACCGCTAAACACGCTGATGACATTAATAGGCAATTTTACCATAGCATTACCGCAGGCTACTGTGAGCATGACAACTGTCCTGGCGCAAACTTAAAATGAGGCATTAAAACTTTGGTTTGGGCTAGTTGGTCCATGGTAGGTGTAAGGTTTAAAAGCGCAAACAGGCAGGGACAATAGAAAATAACACAAACGACAGGGACAAGGCCCTGTCGTTTGTGTTATTTTCTATTGTCCCTGTTTGTTTGCGCTTTTAAACCTTATACCTGAAAATGAGGCTTCACAGGAGCAACGTGATCTTCCGGTTGCAATGCTGCACCATACGGTAGCCTGCGGTCACGTTATACTAAAGCTTCCTCTCAATAACCACAGCGCGCAGTTTGATCACGCGTTGCTATATACACTAAAGCCGTGACGGTGAGCAGCGAGTTGTGAGCCTGCGACACAAAGATATCAATACTCTGAACGCCGCTCTTCCGAAGCTTGACGGTGACTGTGCACGGTTCACTTTTGAGGGCACTACTGGACAAGCAAAGCAGAAGCACCACAAGTTCTTCATCACCCTCAAAAATATTTTGCCACAAACAGTGACGTCGCAAGTGCCCAAAATGCGCTCGCTTTCCACAAAGCTTCGTACATTGAGGTTTCCGCTACTTTTAAATATCAACATGCTCGTTTTCCTAATGCACATCAACATCTCCGTCACCTGTAATATTCTCCTGCCTTGACAGCTTTGCATCTGTATACCAAAAAATTATTTCTGGCGCACTGGCCAACATTGGCGAGCATGCGCACGGGAAACCCCGGAAAATCTATCCCCTTCTCTTCCACTATCTTGGAACTACCACCCCACCATCTATAGGGCACTGAAGTTACGAATGCAGGGTGGTTAAGATAAATCTAAACTTTTTCTAGATTTTGTCTTTTAGCAATACAGTGAAGCTAACCGGCCGTATTGCACTTCTGCGGCCACATGATTCGACAGCGGACCATCGCATGGTAAACAGTTCGCGACTTGCTCTAAAATGAGCAGGGAATACGATTGACGGGCAGCAATACTTGAATCGCCCTGTGCCGGAAAGTCACCTGAGCAAATCATTGCGTCGTATGGCTACAAGAAGACGCAAGTTTAGAGCATTGCCAAGACGTTCAGATTGTCTCTGCCAGAAAGGCGTTGCAGCAGACCGAGCAAAGCACAAAAAAGGGTCGATGTTCATTTTATCTTGCCTCTGTGTGTTCTCCTGAATATGGTGAATTGTCCGGATTCATCTCAATGGCTTTTTAGACTACCATTGCAGAGTGTACAAAAAAAAAAAGAGAAAATTAACCGAGTTTTTACAGCAAGAATGAACCATGCGTTGCCAAATGCTTATTCTCTGCCCCAATATAATCCTAGAAGTCTGAGCCATATGCCAAAGTTTCAAAACTAAGCATTATCTTGTTCAAAAATTGCAAGCAATTTTTTTTTTTAAATTTTCGACGGGAAAATGACGGTTAACAAAGCCCTTGTATACATGGAGCTAAATGGCAGCAGTGGCCGAATACGGGCAAAGATGGGCCTCATTTCATTGTCCCATTGAAATTTACAGAAAATGACTAACTTTTTAATGAGATAATGGTGAGTTCTCTAATGCGATAATCCTTTAATGGGACAACGATGAGCGGTCGGCAACACATAAATTATTGGGGACACTGTATATCAGAAAGTATTCATAGTCGTAAATTATTACATAGTGGCATTAGAACTTACCTACCAAGTTTCTCATCACCCAAAACAGTGGTAAAGCTTAATTTACTATGTTGCTTTTCAAAAACTTTTAGACAAAATTTCTTTTTAATTGAAAGTGCTTTAAGGAATTCAGAAAACCAGAGAAGCATGATTATTCATATCTACCACCTCTTCATGTGAATGTCGAAGTCGGCTACTGTGATTTGGAAATTGTACTGTTGTCTGTCTTTGGGTGCTGTTACCTAGTGTCATTTGAGGCAGTCCTATGTTCTTCCTGAGGTATTACTTTTTTGTTTTATAGATGCGAGTTGTGTTAAGACATATATTTTGGCTTAGGCTAAATGAACAGACATGCATGCCGCTACACTGAAAGAGACGTAAAGCGAGGTTTGGAGTTGGGCATTTAATGAAATTTTGTAGTAGATACTTCAAATATACTGAGAATGCTCTGTGCATGTCACAAACCGGTCTAGCAAGTACCCTAGTAGCACACTTTGTTCTGTGACTGTCCTTAGGGCGTCCTAACGTTCTGGGGATGTTTTGTAGACATTCGTAAGACATCCCCAAAATGTTACGACATCCTAATGACATTCACAGAACTAAGTGTGCTTCTAGGGTAGGGCAACTATGGCAGTGTGACTCGACAGTGGCTACAAATGATATCTTCCGTGGTTTGATTTTGTTTTATTGCAAAAGCATTAACTGTCACATGGAGCGAGCCGACGTCATCAGCTTTGAAACCACGCCAAACAGCTTTTAATTCCTTCTCCGGTTCATTCGCCGGTTAGCCACAGCACCTTTTACACTGCTTCACTCCCATTGGCTAGCGCGCGTCGACCAGGCTCCCATTCGCCAGACATACAATACCATAAAGTGGTCGGTCGTTGAAACTGACGATTGGCCACCTCATTGCGCTGCGTGTCCGTCAGCACCAGGTCAGCGCCAGTCCACGTACAGCAAGAACGATTTACATGCTTTCACATTTACAACTCATAAGAAGTGCTTAGGTGTACCTAGATCTTTTTGTTTCGATTCTTCGATTTGTGAAAGAAATCCTTGACAGCATGTACTCAAACTCAAAATTCCTGCCAAGGTGTCCTAGATTCTGGAGGCTTTCCAAAAAGCAAAACTAACATTCATTAATATTACGAAACCCTGAAGATAAGTCTATGCAGAGAGAAAGTCGTCTGCTTTTTCTGCAGGAGTTTCAGTGACGTCAGAACACTGTGGAGCTTTGGTTGTTTTGGATTGAAAAGACACTGCATAGACTTCAAAGCTAGATGCATTAAGGTCTACACACACTTTTTTGCGATCAGCCAATAAGAGCTCGGTGTTCTGACATCGTCACAACACCTGCGCAAGCAGCTGACAAACTTGCGCTTCGTATTGTTCCTCAATGAATAAACAAGCACTTTTTCCCAAAAAATTTAGACACCAGCTCTTCCTCTTCAGGTCATTCTGAGCCTGGTTTGGTCTACCGGGCACTTCGGCGCTGCCTACTACGACAGTAGTACGCTGAAAATACACCTTATCGCCGACCAGCTTGACGCGGCTCCAAAACACTCACTGGTATTTTTAGGTAGGTAAAGCTGAATCAAAATGCCATCTCAAAAAGGCAGCTTGCACTCACTAGTGCTTCAGGCATTGACGAAAATAGCTCGTGAATAGTGTCTCTCTTAGCTTGCATTTTGTATTCCCAATGTTCGAATCGGTTTGTAAGCGCTGTGTGGAGACACTTACTTTTGTTCTTTTTTACAATTAAGTGATTTAAAGGAGTAAGTACTGTAAATTGCCTTGAAGGAACTGCTCAAACAGACCTGGACCTCAACCGACAAAGATGAGTTTATTTACGTAAAAATGAAATGCAATTCCAGCCTAAGACCATAATATCCCACGAGATGCCCCACCCCCGAGCGATAGTTTGCCCCCTATTTTTGGCATGATTTGCTACTTTTTCTGAAAAACCGAAAGTCCACTTCTAGTAACTGCAAGGCCCTGGCCAATCGTGACCGGGTTAAAAACGGTATTTAATCACAGCGGGAGATAAACAGACATTGCTGACTGGGAAGGACAGTCATCTTTGGTTCATCGCTCCTTCCTGGGATCGCAAGTTTCGATGGTCGTAAAATCGAAAACTGGCATTTTTTAAACTTTTTTTATGGCATTCCGAAAGTTAGCTCACCCCTTTATTTTCATTCAATCTGCCATTGATTTTAGGTGGACTATTTCTTGGGATATCGCAGTATATGAAAAATATGTTATACCTAGTATGACGAACTTGCGAGCAACAAATTCTTTTATAACCTATTTTGCCAGTTTCAATATTGCCTTTAAAAAAAATAAAAATCTGTCCTTTAAACGTGTCTACTGTAGAACGAAACCCTCAAGAGCTTTGTTCCTTGTACAGTCCTCCAAGAAGTCAAGCCTACCCGTGTGCTCCTTAGTGCCAGATGTGATGACAAACTTGTCCGGGCCATAGTGAACTTCTGTAAGCAGGTTTTCACTAGAGAGCCGCGCCATTGTCGGATTTGTTCCTTGCAACATCCGGTTTTTTCTAAGAGAATCTCTTTGTACCAGTATCCCCATCCGACGATGCCTCGTCCGAAGCCTCCACCCTCAACAAAGATGTTGTTCGCATCCTGCCTTATAAGGACTTTGGTAAGCTGAGTGTCTTCTGGCTAAAAAAAAGTCAAGTCGTATACTTTTTTTTTATTTATTATGAAGTCACTACTTGCTCTAACCTGAAAGAAAGACATCCCAGTAGCCTTAGTAATGTGTCCTACGTTTCGTCAACGGGCTTGGCTTCTTCGTGACTTTTACTTCCTCCGATTTATCGGACAAACCTGCGAGCTACCCAACTATCTATGTATCTATCCATCTGGATAGCTATCCTTGAATTCTGAGCACTTAATTGTGTTAGAGCAGTGTTAGAATTGGCCAGGACATATAACACCCTTGTTCAAACAAGTGACCACCACTGAACTCTATCACTTTCCTCGTCGCTCTGTACGGGCCGCTTTCTGTATTTAATCCGTACATTAATGCCATTAGGGGCATCCAAACCGAAAGTGCTAATGTTCTTAACCACATTCTTTTTTCTTCTATGAATGGAAATAAAACCCACTGTAAAATAGTGAGCAAGTGGTTACCGAAAGTTTGAGATAATCATGAAAAAAACGGGGATGCTCTATCTTTTACGGTACGCCAGAAAATAATTCTCAAGTGAGAATTACCTTGCTCAAGGCACAGTTCAGTTTGAACCCTCGGGAAAATAAAATTGATGCCTGACAATGCTAATTGCAGCTTGCTAATTCCAGTTGGCGCTTCATAAACTGTAAACTTTGCAACAACTCTTGGCAGCGTACGAAACCAGCAGGCACCGTTTGATCCACCTGCCACTACCCAACATCCCAGAGGGACTTCCAGACGAAAATCGTTTCGTCTACATGTCGTCTCTTGTCGACTTCACCGCTGTTTTAATGGTATCGTCCTGTTCAGTCATTCTCGGTAGTATTCATTTGTGTATAACCCGAGAGATTTCCTTTCTCTAAGAAGGCCTATGATTACCAGAGCCAGTTGATTACATGCCTATGGAATATCTCAGCTGTTAACCAGTTAAACGGTAGCAATTCATGCAGGTGAGGGCAGCTGGTGGTCTGCTCAACTTTCTCGACCAGAACAAGCGCAACTGCTTGGACGGTTCTCAGGACTGTCACGTGATTCGGGGGCTGGTCTTGAGTGACTTGTGAGAGGAAATTTTTTATCCTTTGGCATTTTGACACTTCTTATTGGTCTGGTGGAGCAGTCTGGGTGAAGCAATTGCTATGTGCAGATTCTTAAATAACCTTTCAAATAAATTTAAGAATCATGAACTGCACATTGTCTCGTGTGCTCTACCTGCACTGCATGCTGCGTCCATCTACTGTAAACGATAGGTTTTTTCTTAGGCTCGTTTGTTGGATACTGCTGGGCAGTTGGTGATCTGCTTTACTTTGGTTTCAGGAAAGATCGTGTTCGAATGACACGGACAGCTTTTGGGTAACTTTGTTTGATGTCTTTGATCATACGAGTATCAGATTAGGCCCTCACTCAGGTGCATTGGATGCAATGAATCAATCTGGGCATAGCAACATGTATAGAATTTTGCAGGGGCCTCCATATCTTCAAGGAGGAATGGCATCCCTCCGTCTTTAAGTGTGGCATCTCCAAAAAGGAGGGTCTCTCTTTGTTCGGTACGTCCACCACTGCTTGTTGTTGTTCACGACCGTTACTTCAGCGACCTTGATTGATGCGGCTTGGGCCATTTGACATTCAGAGTAACAGTTGTGTACATATATTCATTGTTGTTTAATGTTTTTTTGTTTTTGTTTTAATTGGCCACGAAAACATTGCTGTAAATATATGCCAAAGTTGATATTCGGAACTTCGGATAAGTCGCAAAATGTGCTTACTGTTTGATTCTATCGGAGCACACTTCTACTGTTTAACTACCATAACTTTTTTTTTATTATTCGAAAATTACAGGTAATGATTTTCAAATCCTCCGATTTCTCGCGTCAAGCTTTACTGCTTTACTCCAGTGCCCTGGTGTGAAGCTTCACCACTTCGCACTGGCGTATGGATGTCAAGCTTCACTGTTTTGCTGTGGCGTGCTAGGAGAAACTGCTGACGAATCGGAGCCCCTCCGTCAGCTCGGTTGTCTCGGACGTTTTTCGCACTCCCTTAGGTCAGCTTTCTTTGGCGACAATTAAGGTAATTTTAAAGTACAGTGCTGGGAAACAAAGCCTCAAATTATATTCAAATAAATAAGGTAGCCATATTGCTTTACTTGTCATGTTACACTATGTTTCGCCCAACTCGTCTATTCACTTATAACTTTTTTATGAAGTATGTGAAACGTTTCTCACTTAATACCAACTGCCCCTCTTCATAGATATGCTTTCTAGAAAAGACATCTACGAAGTGTGTGCATTCAATTCACATTTAACGTAACATATTTGTGTTTGGAAATATTAGAATTAGATTTCCGGTCAAATAGCTTATAACTATTATTCAATTCACAGTAAATAAGTTTGCATTCGCACACCTCTCATGTTTACATTATTTCTGCAGAAGCCATTTGTTTTACGTATACTAGTATAGCAACTGCCGCTATAAAAACTTTGGCACGTATCCGAACTTGAAATTGATCGCAGGTCTCTTCAACCAGTGCAAGTCCAAGGTTGGAGAGAAGGAACTCAGGTACAAGGAGTCGTTTAAAATAATTCAAACTTTCGAGTTGGAAACAATACGCTTGTCGCACGCTGTTCTCGCCTGCCAGGCGTCCCGTAGCTTTTCATTGCGGCCAACTCGCAGAATAGAGCGAATGGCGTTGCTTCAACAATTTCTCCGGCCAAATCGGGCTTCGTCGTTGCATCCAACAATTTCTCCGGCCAAATTTTGAAGTGTGCAAAGGTAGAGAAGGCATCGGGCTTCGTCGTTGCATCACAGTTGTATCTCTAGGGCTGGCTCACAGATTTCAATGTGAGAATGATCGACTGTGTTGCAAACACTAGTAACCAGGTTGCAATGCGTTCGAAACGTCTTTTATCTGAATAGACGTGGAAAGCAAATAGAAGGTGTTCCAGGGCTGCCCGGTAGGTGACGCTGACGCGTTATTGTCATCATGAACAGTCACAAGTTGTTGTAACGCAGTCGGTCTGACCAATCTACCTCACTGGGAGCCCCACATAGAATGATTTCGAGGAAGGAGTTTGAGAGGCCCCGCAGAGTACAGGGAGGGTTACTCGAGGCTAATTTAGTTACCATCTCTCCGCAGAAAACTGCTCTGCCGGCCGACGAAGGACGTGGACAAACTACGTTCTCGTCAAGACTCGATTGCCTATTTCTTGACTCCCCAAAACCAGCTGGTCATGGGGTCCCTTCGGCAGTGCCTGTCACACGTGCGGGACCTAACGGTACGTTGCGTTTGTCTCGCGTCCATTGTTTCTATCGCGCGATCGTCGCCACTCCATTATTGTAGACGTCGTTGCAAGGATAGTGGCTGGGCTGATGGCGAAAAGTGGCCTCGGCGAATCCGAGGCAGAGTATGAAGCTGCAGACACTTGTATTTCGGCCTAAAGGCTAAGATGTGGTGTTTTCGAGCTTTGAAACAACTATGTATATGCTTGCCGTCACCTCGAGATAAAGGCAAGCACCTAGTTCGTGCTCTGCGCAAAGTAATTCTTGAAATTTGGTTGGAGCCAATCGGAGCTCGGCATTCTGACGTCACCGTAACCTCCGCAAAAAAAGCGGACAAACTGGCGCTCTGCATTGGGAGTGTGTGACACCTGTGGGGTGCACGCTACTCCACATTGGCAGCCACTTGGCAGTGCCACCAGTGACGGCAATTACGTTACGCCGCAAAAATAAACGCCATTTGCTTCGTTCTATTTTAACGCGTCCGCAGCGTCTTCGCCGCTTCTGCACCTCCTCGTGGCCATGTTTCTCGATCTAGCTCCAGAGTAAAGGTTCAACACCTTGACATTCGAAACCTACCGACGTCCGGCGTTGCTTTGGATGCTTTTTCGCGCCATTCGACACCCAGGAGTCGCTCTGAGCTCGGGTTCGATCCTGCGTTTTGCAGTTGCGAGTGACAACGACGGCAACATACCCCCGCGTTATTTTCATGTATCGGCGCTAGAAGATGCCTTTACGAAGCATCTTCGTGTTCGAAGGTTCCGAAATCGCTATGAACGACGTTCGGCGGTACCAGTGATCGATGAGATCAATGTTACAAGTACTTTTCGTTCTTCTTATTAGATTGCTCTTGCTCGCCGGTGAATCGAGCAGAAGTACTGCGATTAAGATGATTACGTGCTTTTCAACGGCGCACGAAGGGTATCTCCATTATCAATATCCAAGTCTCTCATAAAACAAAAGTTAGAGCCAACCGGGCCCCCAAACATTTTGTACAGCGCCATTCTTTTGTAAGCCAACATTATAATAATAAACTAAGAATGGCCGCTACGCTAGATGCCTGTGCTAGTTCGAAACGAAACTAAACGTTCCGTCTAGGATCCGCACTGTGATGCTGTTGTCTTGTCGCACATTTTCAATAGCTGTAATTTCGTCCTACTTTTGTCCCATCCGCACTCTTCTAGAACATTCTCATGCGAATGTCTGTGGCAGCCATCACTGTGACCCAGTGGAAAACATTCTACAAGGTGAGTGGGACCAGCTCTAGCACGAGTTGCTCGTCGACATCGACTGAAGTGTTCCACCATTGCGTCCCGACCTACCGTCCAAAAACAAACCAGGCGTGCGAAAGCATGATCGCAATCAGGGGCATCTGTCAGTCCAGCCTCACGCCTAGCGACGGGATCGACGTCCTGAAGAAGGCAAGTTCTCGTAACGATCTAATTATTCGTTACTTCATCCAACGTTCGACGAGACGATTCATACTCCAATGCCGTGCAGATGGCCTCTCTCTCCGTCGTCGACCTTCTGAGGGTCGCTTCTCTCGTCGAAAAAATTGTGAGTGCCGTCGAAAGCCAGCTTCCCAATCGCACGACACTCCGACGGCTCTATAGACGGATGCCCGAATCGGAACAGTAATCTTTCCTTCGCACCTACGGGTCATCCGATCGATTAAACTCTCGTTGGCAAATGTAAAGAGGGTTGGATAAGTTTGATAACTCAATGAACGACACCTCAATATGTTAGTTCACACAAAAAAACGTAAGTGTCAAAATGAGCAGTTAAAGCAATCCTTCGCAGAGTTGTTAAAGGGCTTATTCCCGTTTCACAGTGGGCAGCGCCAAAAAGAAAACAAGTAGTTTATTTTGTTTTCATTCAGTGCCCAACCGAAAGAAAGGGAGAGAGAAAATAAGATAAGAAATAAACAATCTTGGTGTTTAGTAAATTGGCTCGGACCGTTTTTCTCGGCAAAGCACGACTTCGAGGGCTCGCAGGCGGCCGGCCGGTTTGTTGTGAACCGAGGGATCGACAGCGTCCTGGACGAAAGTGAGAATCTGTTTACGGCGAGCGTAACTGCGGCTTTTCGGTGATCTGCGCCCGCGTCTGCCCTTTCAGGGAAGCGTATCTACAACGGACTTCCGGACTTGTTGACGCGCATCGCTTACCAGGAGTTGGATCGGCTCGACGACAGAATCCCAGAGTGCCAAGTGGTGTACCTGCCGCAGGTGACGCTTCCGCCCATCGCTACCGCGGGAGGGGAAAAAAAATAAATAAATAAACGACGTGTGGCTTATGGTCCTGTGTAGAATGAAAACGTGCCTCGTGAGAAGAATGAATTACTGGGATGTCCAGCTAATTGTGCAGACCAACCGTGACAAAGCGAAAATTTGTCTTTTCAGATTGGGTACTTGCTGACCCTGTCGCAACAAGACGTCGTCAGCGTAGACCTCCCGGCATTGCAGTTCCTGGTATGATGTAATGATCTGATTTGCAGAGTAGACGATATTCTTTTAGTTACTTCAGTACACGCATAGGAGGATCGAGAAATCATAAAACTTGCCTTGCAGGTTTTATTGCTTCGACGTTCTTATAAATATAAATGTTGTCATGCTCTGCTAGGTAATAAGAGTTGCAGAGTTAGAAGGTGGTGAAAATTTGCTTTAACATAAGCAATATCTAAAACCTAAAAGTTGCTGAGATTGTGAATTCGTAGAAGTATGTTTCATCTCTTTCCTGATGCCTGTCCTGAGCGCACGCATCTTTGGGTCGTTTATTGCAGTTTGCGTGCGACGACAAGAACTACTACAAGAGCGGAACTACGAAAAGTGACCGAAATCATTTCCCACACCTTTCGCTGCATCTCAGAGTTTCCACTCGCAAACTTTACATTGCAGCTTTGGACGGAATCTTGGGAGACACAATGTACGAGATCATCGGTGAGCTCCAGTCTACTGCTTCATTTCATAAAGACTTCGCTTTGTCACCTAAACTGGGGACTATGCGTGGCAACAAAAAATGCATGTTTCGAGCCTTGGCTTTGCATACTCTAACAAAATGTACTTCTGCTCCTTCGAACATGAATTATCAGCCCTCGGAATTATTGGCTTATTAGGAAATGTTAAGGCAAACATTGGATTACTAACAACTGAGGAAACTTGTGAAGCATAACCAGAGTTTGGTTTTAACGCGATACATACTCTTCCATTTCGCAATGAAATTTGCAATCTTTGCGTCTGGATGTTTGCTACTTTGATGGGGGAGGAATTTGTAAATTTGAGTATCTCCTACTCTTTGAATTGAGTGGATTATATTTGTACACATTTCATATATTAGCTCCTAAACTCGGAATGTTTGAAGACTGTTCGACTGTGGTAGACAAAACTGTATCATTTCTACACTGTTTTTATCATCACTGACGTGATTGTTTGTGACTCGTACGATGCAAGTTAGCACAGACCTTCATCTTTCTCAGTTGCCTCATTAAATAAACATTCTTTCTTTTTATGTTTAGTCCAGAGAAAATAAATCTATGCGGAGCGCAAGTTCGTCTGCTTCTTGCGGTGACGTCAGAGCGCCGAGCTCTGACTGGCTCTGATTGGAAGGATATGGAGTAGACCTCGAGGCAGCTAGCATTAAAATCTACCCACTATCCTTCAATTGGAGCCAATCAGAGCTCGGCATCATGACATCACTACAACCCCCGCGCAAGAGCAGACGAACTTGCACTCCGCATACTAATATTTGTCCATCTACCGAGCGAATGGGAAGGGATGAAGCTAACTGTGACTCTACCTTCACATCAGACAGAGAAACCGAGATAATGTTCAAGGTGCAGAAAATAATCTTGGAGGTGGCGGGCACACTCATTGACTCGGTGGCTGTCTGCGGGGAACTGGACGCGTGAGCAACTGTGTTTTTGTGTCTTTGCTTTTTGAGCCCGTAAGCATTATGTTAGTGTATGGCTATAAACACTGAATATATACATATGAGGGTAGCTGAAGTACCGTCTTCACCTTAGCATTGCTACTTATAGTTCAGAGACATTCGAAGGTCACTGGCATGAAGTTTGTCTTCGTACTGAGGGATCGCGCGCCATGCTCAAACTCACCGTATAGTGAGTAAGAACCGTACGAGAAATCCTCCTGCGACAAACTGCATGTTCAGTTAAACGTGCATTTTCTAGGTCAGCTTTGATCGCATTTCTGGGATAGTAGTTGTCACGCCGCATATTTGGAGGTGCCATTTCAGCACACTGTTTCAGCGCACTATTTCAGCACATTGCATGAACATATGTAGACTGACGTTGGGCAGTGTACCTTGTCTCAATGTTTTGTATTCACCATTATTAAGGTTTCTCAAAGAGAAAAGGAAGTGAGGTTGTCATTTTTAGATGTCTACAAAGATGTCTTGACTCGTGCAATAGGTGCGTTGTGCCATGCATTGTTCTGATGTTCCTCAAAAGTTTGCTTACTAGAAAGCTCTGTTTATGGGGCTTATATCAAGTGTTGGTTTCGGTCAACTCTCAGGCTGCTGTCTTTGGCTTTGGTTGCCCATGAGCGTGGCTACGTGAGGCCAAGCTTGAGCACCGATCCCGTCATCCAAATTAATGGAGGGAGGTTAGTAACTTCTACGATGAATCTCGCCATTTCTCGAGTGTGCAGTAAGCCCACCGAATAAGCCTCATCACCCGGCTTCAAAGTCTTCATCATTATAGCCACAATTGTTTGCGGTAGCAGGTCTCAAACTCACGTGGGATCCTCAACCTGTGTCAATGGGTCTGTATGAACAGATTGATATCTGTTTTGCTTGAGCCATTTTGCTCAAAGTAACGAGCATAAGATGGACCCATACTCGCCCTCGGCTTTTTCCTTCTACCTTGTCAAGGCTGGCACAGTTTCTGCAGTGCTCCAACTCTGTCAAACCTAGCTAGGTGTGCAATGCAGCATTGGGGAAGCTACACTAGTTTCGAGGAACAAGCTTGCCTATGGTCACAGGCGAGCTACACACACTTGTTTTGGTTCGAGTCACGTTGCTTTGACTTAACCACGATTGAACACCCAGCTTTTTTTTAGAGCGCAGCTCTTAGATGCCCGTTTCCCGCTTGAGCGGCGTCGGCGTAACCACGCAGTACATTGTGGGACGCGTGACGTCATCGGCGATGTCAGTGATGACGTCATTGGCATCCGCATCGTCACTGATCACGTCATCGGCAGTCACTGTCATCATCACCGATGACGTCGTCATCGTCACGTGACCCTCGTGAGGCGACGGCGCTCGGAGGGAGGAGTAGCAGACAGGATGAGGGAGGAAGGATATACCTTCCCCTCCTCCTCCTCAAATGCTGCGCTCTAATCCTGCGTTACAGGAAGTTGTAAACGGCTTTCATTTTTTTTTAGAGCGCAGCTCTTAGGGGCCCGTTTCCGGCTCGAGCGGCGTCGCCGTCGCCGTAAACAAGGTCATCTCAAGGTCACGCGACTCCCCGAGGTCACGTGACCCCCCCCCCCCCCCAGGTTACCTCAAGGTCACGTGACCCCCAAGGCCACGTGATCCCCCGAGGTCACGTGACCCCCCCCCCCCCTCCCCCGAGATCACGTGACTACCCGCAGGTGACGTGACCCCCCTCAGTACCGTTCCCTACTCCTCCTCAAGAGCTGCGCTCCAATTCGGCGTTACAGGGATTTGTAAACGGCTTTCATTTTTTTGTCTCGGCACTGGCAGGCACCCGTTGCTCGAGGTGACAACCAGTAGCTGCGTTCCCAATTCTTACTCGAGCGGAGGTTCGCACGCGAAGATCAAAGTACTCACGGGGCCGAACAACTGTGGGAAGAGCGTCTACCTGAAAACGGTGCGTCGTGGTTTTCTACTCTTTAAACCAGATTTCCTACAGGAAGCGTAATGGTGGGCAGATAGAGAGTTGCGGCATTTCACGACGAATTGTTTCTTCTTACACATCGAGAGTCGATTGCCGTTTTAAGGCCCGTTCACACGCTTGCATTTTTTTTAGAACCAAGTTCTTGCAGTCTCTTATGACGAGAAAAGGAACTGGCATATGCTGGCGCCATCTATAAGGCGACACTAGAACTGCATTTCACTAGAGGGAAGGTTTTGTGGTATATGCGAGATTGAATGTGTGTACTATCTATGAGGTACGGTCATTTATAACAGTAAAACATTTTTCAAGATAAAAGAAAAAAAAGAATGATGGGCGACAAAAAAGGGGAATACACAGCAACTGGAACTGTTCCACGGCCAGCCGATAGAGCGCGCTAGTTTGTTACTCAAGTGGATTCCGAGATAGTCTGTTCATTGTGATAACTCAATGTACAGGCTATAAAAACCACAAATTACACTCATGGGCAGTTGATTGCCCCCATTAGAGATACATCACCAAAGATCGCGACACGCCCCTTTCTGTGCCTTGTGTACCATATACCATCCCGTAGCACATCCAAAAGTATCAACCGCATACGTTCACCCAAGGTCGTCAAAGCATCTCAATAGATTTGCAACGGCTCCTGTGGAGTATGGCCCGTATCGCCGATAACAGGGCGACGTGCTGTGCCCGTAGGTTGCACTGATCGTCTACATGGCGCACATTGGAAGCTACGTCCCGGCCGAAGCGGCTCTGATCGGCCCGGTGGACAGCATCCGAACGTGCATGTCCGTCGACGAATCCCTTCTGCACGGCCTGTCGTCCTTTGCACTGGACCTTCAACAGGTGACTGTACTCCTTGCTTCCAAATGAAAATTGGAAACAAGATTTATTTAACACAACCTCCCCTTCTTTTTTGTTTTGTTGTTTAAAAAAAGACGAGTTTTTTCTCGACTCATGGAAGGGTAAGCTTAGCTGCACCCCGTTCTCCAACGAATAGGCCCCTTTTCAGAAGGGTGTGCCATCTGGTGGCTGCTAAATTAATTATTCGAGTTCGCCGTTCTTTGAACGTGCATTTTGCGCCTGTGTGAGACACGGGGGCTACGTCTGCCTTTGGTGGAAACCCGGCTAGGCTCGTATCGAGAACGAGCTTTCCACCGGTGTTGGGCGAGCGACTGTCTACGTTGCTCAATAGGGTTTCGAAAAGGGTCTATTGATTGGTCCTTTGCCTTTGTGGCACTGCTGCTAGCTTAAGGATGGTACTGCCACTACGAGAACTGAGAGGAAGAGTAGGACGCTATTATCACAACTGTAAAAACAGAAGAATAAAAAATCATTAGAGCAAATTTATCAACACACCACGAAATGTGGTTCTCCTAGCATGTTTATACTCCATCTCCTTTCTTGTAGTCGAAAGTAAAAACTACTTGTGACGAAAGCATTGACCGTCTATTCTGCACTGACTCAGAAGAGGCGTTTTCTGGGTCCGCTGACAATGAATAGGTACTAGTTTAATTATTTTCACATGATAACTGATGACGGTAACCCCATCACTTGAAAATTAATGTGCTTTCTCCGATTCCGTTCACCTTCCCTGCCTTTAAAGCTCTTTATTGACAGCCGTCTTGGTTTTTACTCATTTGACTGGACAAGCGTCCATATCTAGATTAACAGAGTTTTCAGTGAAAGTGGAATGGGCAGTTCCTTGGTATTTTACGGTATGTGCTTTAGCTTTCTGTTCCATCCCATCAGTTTCTTCAAGTTTTTCCATTTTAGCCACGACTGGTAATTAGAAACGCTGCTTCGTCGATTTTAATAACTGACATTGATGCTCGTGAAGGGGTCCTAGTTTTGTTACACCTAATACTTCTTTGGGATATGGTGCGTGTTATTTTAGGGAGCCGATTAAGTACTGCACGGTCCATCATCTGCTTGTTGGCACTGTATTTTCACTTGAACACGCCAGGCGCGCGACCATAAAGCTCGGGCTCTATTACTTACGCATCGTACAAATAAGTCTGAAGACACCGTTCAAAAGGCGGTCACGGTGGTACACGCGCTTCGTATGCAGCGTGCCAAGCTACTGTTCGAACTGGTTGCCGTCAACATGAAGCTCGAATGTTGTGGCGACTCACACTCAAATCTGTCTGGAGAAGTTTCTACACCAGCTTGCCACATGTCAACAGACCAAAGCATAATTCTTGATTTCGTGATGCTTGGTTGTTTTCATTACATATGTGAATTTTTTTTTTGACAAATGTTACAAAAGTAGGTCATTTACACTTTCAAATAAAACACTCTTCTCGACTAAATTGTTTTGCATGAGAGAAACAAACAAAATGATAGAAAACAAGTAAAATGCAATCACTGCGAAAAAAAAGAAAGAAAAAGGAGCACTCGTACGATCTGCGTGGCCTTAAATCTGTTTTCAGTCAACGTCCTCGTCCGACTCGCAATCGCTGTCTGCGCTCGACGTATCATTTTCGCCGACGTTGACGACAGCGCTGTCCACAACGTCGTCAATGAGGTGGTCCACTTTCATCATATTGTCTTCTTCGAGAACGACGTGACTGCAACAACGGGCCCACGTCTCCGGCGTAACCTTAGTGAACGCTTTGGTCACCAGCGGTTCGAGCTCGTCGATCTTGAAGGTCTTGTTTTCGGAGGCCACGTACCCTTTCACCTGGCTCCAAATCAACTCTATGGGGTTCAGGTGGCTGTGGTAGGGCGGCAGGCGCAAGACCGTGTGGCCGTATTGCGCGGCAATCTGGTCGACGAGGTAGTGGGTGTCCTCGTCGTTCACCGTGGACACAAGCTTCAAGAGCTCTGCCTTGACCAGCCCCTTGCTCCACGAAACGCCTTTCGCAGAAAGCCAGTCCTGCACGTCCTTCATCCGTGTGGCCATTTGGGGAACCTTCTCCGTTTCCAGCGAGTGGTACGGTGCGTCGTCCATCACGATGACGCTGTTGGGAGCAAGGTTTGGAAGAAGCCGCTCCGTGAACCACTTCACGTAGTGAGGGCCGTCCATTTCTCGGGTGATGCGCCCGGTGTGTCTTTTGGCTCGGAATACCTCCGCGGCACCGTCAACAAAACCGCTCTCGCTGCCACAGTGTGTAATGATTAAGCGCTCACCTTTAGCCGCCAGGTTTTTGGGGCCGGTACGATTTGCTTCGCTCGCGCCCGTCGTCGTGTGCGCACAGACCTGGGATTTCATGTGGCCGGTGCTGACCCAGGTTTCGTCCGTGTAGTATATCGATCTCTTCTGTTGGCGGTACTTTTTGATTTGGCGAAGGTACTTTCGACGCCTCCGAATAATGTTGGGACACTCGATCAGATGGGCGCTTCTTGACCGTTTGCAGTACCTGAAGCCGAGCCTCTTTAGCATGCGATGTAGCGTCGCGAGCGATACGCTGGGAAGGTCGCTGGTCTGGTCGATGTACCTCTGCAGCTTCGCGATAGTAGGGGCCTCGTTTCTCAGGTAGAAGCTGTGCACGATTGTTCTAAGCACGCCGAGGTCGAAGTCATCTAGCTTCGTTTCCCGCTCCCCATTTTTTCCGCCTCGTAACATGGTCAGTGGAGCCGTCACGGTGCCATCTTTGTTGTACTCGGCCATCCACTTGAATAGGGCTCGTTCACTTACATTCGTCAACGTCGACGCTCTCTTGACGACGGTCCTCAGGCTCGCTGATTTGCCGCCCTCCTCCAGTAGGGCTCCTAAAACATTCAAAGCGACTTGCTTGGCCTCTTTGGGATAATGTAAAAGCTTGGTGCGGTACCGCGTTGGTGCCTCGGCTGTGTCGGCAGCTGCCATTTTGAGTGGACCGAAACGACCGGAGCCGCCGAAGCAACTGAACCGAAGCACCTCCAGAAAATTTAAAATACTGCGCTCCCAGTGGGATATATATATATATTTATGTTAAATATTTTATTAAAAGTGTCTAAGCTGAAAATAGGGTGCTGAAAACATAAACATCGATTGCGGCAGACCCTGTGAGGGGGAACCGAAACTAACTTTGACGGAGAAGTTTGCCGCTTTCGCTATCTTTCGCTTTCCCACCTTTCCCAGACTTTCCCGCCTTTCCCGTGATACTGTCTACTGAATGGGTAAAAAAAAAAAAAAAAAAATTGTAGCAGTTGTATTTTTTTTTAATCGGGCGGCGACTTGCGCTACCTAGCAACTGGGGTGAACAGGAGGTGAAAGAATAGTTGGCGTACCTCAAAATGACGTCAGGCCGCAGTTCCGAAGAACCAAAGTTGGTTGAGCTGAATCATTTTGGCGCTTCACTGCTGTCACTGTGGGGTGTATTTTAATTATACATGAAGAGAACACGATAGAACCCTGAGGAAGATGTGTTTACCGACAAACATTAATCGGGAATTTTCAATTTATAGTTTTAACGTGAATTATGTGTGGGGAGTCACCGGAAACTTGGCATGCCACGTTTTGACAGTGACTACCTTTTCTGCTCTTCTCTTACTGTCATCAATAGGGTTTCAATTAGCCTATTGTGAAATGATGATTAGTGGTGCATGATTCAAGGTGAATTATAAACCACGCGGGAGCGCTTTTGACCGAGCGTTCTTTGCACAGTCTGATTTGCAATAAGCTAGAAACCTTAATTTTGACCGAATACTTATGTGGCTGCACGATTAAGAATAATGAGATTGAAAATCACTTTTGCGAGGGGAGCTTACTTTGATCTTGCCACCGCAGTCATCAAATTATGGAGACCGACAAGATGTTCCCGTCTTCCCTTTATTCCTATTACAGTAGTAGTTTGCTAAAATATAACTATTATCGTCATTGACAAATTATTTATTTGAACGAGGAATGACCACATACTGAGTATTAAAGGAATGATTATTTTACATCGCCTCCTTCAAGTTACAAAAGAAAAACAATTTTTTTAATTAAAATTTGTTTTAAAAGGTTTAAGGAATAAGTGACTTGTTCCACAAAACATTCAGAAAAGCTGATGTCTGCTTCACTACAACATTGCAAAATTATAACATTACATAAATAAATAAACAACAAAAAAATTTTTCACTCAATTTGTCTTTTTTTTTTTTTTTTAGTTTAAGCAAAATTCGAAACACCCTTATGTAGCAGTAGCTAATTTGCATACACACTGTGGACAGTTTCTACAAAGAACTAGGAGTTTATGGAAGCTACAATAGCAGGGGAGGGGGGGAAAAATCACTAATCCTTGTATATATTAATTTTTCAATTAATGCAGATGTCGCAGATTTATCAAGGACGTGGAGAAAGGTCACTCGTCGTCTTGGACGAGTTTGGGAAGGGAACCAGAAGGGTAAGTACGATGCGTTAACACAACCTACCTTTTGCGCCAAGCATAGTCTCATTCCCATAGAAGGAGACTTTGTTCGAGTTTGCTGTGCTTTTACCTACATACTGAAATATTAGGACCAAGTTAAATGCATGCAAAGCTGGATTCATGCACATTTTCCTTCAGCAAGCTGTTCACAACAACACACACCAATTAAGGGCAGGTTAAGATTGCGTGTGTAATCTTTGTTTTCGTTTGCCGTTCTTTCTTTACCAGGCGAATGGTATCGGGCTTTTGGTGGCCACGATCGAGAGCTTCCTCGAAGACTCCGACCAGTGCCCCCATGTGATCCTGGCAACACACTTTCACCTGCTGCACGACATTTTGCCATCGTCACCCCTGCTGAGTCACCAGGTATCTCCCAGAATTCGTTCACTTATCTAGTCACTTGGTGGTCAACCCTTTCCACCTCTTTAGGTGGCTCATGTTTTGTCTCCAGAACATAAGCTGTTCAAGATAGTCAGTAGACCTCTATGTGCAGGTATGACTTTTGTTTCCACATGGGTGAGGGGACAGAAAATTAAGGTATAGTAAGTAAACATCTGTTTGTGGTTCTCTCAAAATTTTATTCCTACGAGTCCACAGGATACCTTTTGTTGCCTTTTACCAACTCGCGATCCCCAGCCGAAGGTTTAGGAAAATATCAGGCAAAGTATGCCGTGCAGTTATTCCAAACGTGACAGCTTCTTCCATCATAACAAGTTTTAGAAACACCTATGATGACATAATCCCCATGTCTGATCTCGCTTTGACCACCTGCAGAAGTTGCACCCATTCTCCTCATTAGTTTTTAATTGTGAGAACTTTAAAATTACCTTGACCTACAATCTGCAACTTCCGACACGTTCTCAAATATGACATTAATACATCCTCGGCTGCTTCCCGTTTCTACTGAAAAACATACCTTTCTACAGTCCGTCGTTCCCCCTGTTCTCCAGCGTTCCATCTGGTTCCTCCTCCGCGGCCCGTCTTGCTCTTGCCCTGCCTTCTTGAGTTGCAACGGACTATAGTTTAACATTAATGCATATGAAACATGAAATCATGTTTTATTTGACAGCTTCAGGATAGCGACAATGATTGACAAAGTGCCCCTCCCACTGAACCCTGCCCAGACGTTTGCCAGCCTTCACCACCAGGGGGAGATGGTCTACCTGTACCAGCTGATTGAAGGCCACGCCAGAGGAAGCTGCGCCGGATTGGTCGCTTTGTCGGCCAACGTGGCAAGAGACGTCGTCCAGAGGCAGCAACAGGTAGCACAGTCTGCCGACATACCAGCACTTATGTGCCCGAGAGGCACAATACAGCTTCTTTAGGACTGCAGCTCTAAATGGAGCTAAATAGGGAATTGAGCTTTAAGTAGGTAAAAGAGTACCCATGAATATACCCTGTTTCACCTTATGATGGAACACAACAGACAAACATAATGCGTGATTAGGTCCCGCGATACGGGACTTATAACAGGCAGTTGTGAGCATAGCCGAAAATTAATTTTTAATGTCTCCATGGTGCGGTTACGATTTCCACAATCCTGTAATCAAAGCAAACTACACGACTTCCACAGATCGTGAAATCGCGCAGTGCCAACAGCAACATCGGCGTTCTTCGTCTGGAGAGAAAGCAACACGACTGGACGGAGTGAGTAGATCGCTGCACGACCACATACTACGACTTGTCAGCCTCTTTCCCCTGCATCCTCACGTCGCCAGGGTACAAGAGGCAGTCGACATGTTGCTGAGTACCCGCCTGTCCACACCCGACGCAGGCGACGGACTTCTGCAACGACTCTTTATTTGTACGACTCCGACTTGGTAACGTGAGTTGCCCGTGCGAACTAGTCTGAAGTGTACTAAGAGAACCGCTTCCCCAGCTTTCCTTTGTCGTTGTAGCAAGAAGCTGCCACGTTGAAAAGCTACGTTGAGGTTCCAATGCTGACATGCGGTTAAGGCAGTAAAGAAACGTTTCGCAAAAAATGAGCTGAGAGGCAAAATTTTGAATCTGTTTAATTACAGTTGACACTACAATCTCCTCTATGGTGGGGGAAGAAACATGCCTTTCAGACATGCCACTATGGTGACCAACCTCATCGTATGTACAAATCATGAAGAGGAGCTCGCAAATATTGTACCAATTTAACATCATGCTTGCACTGCAAGTGCCAAGGGATGACGCGTGAAATTATACATGTCGTGGATATATCGTACAATTTTCAATAAAAAAACGGACGTCGCGCGGCTTTAAAAAATTTGTCGGCACCAGGAAGCCGTTGTTCGTCAGAACACAATCTTCCCTAAAAATAATTGTACATGAATACACAATTTGGTTCAATGATCGTCACATTCTAAAATAGTCATTGGAAGGTCCTGCTTTTCCCATAAGAAAAGCAGCTGTGATTAAGAATAAAAACACAGCGTGAGAATTACTTGGAGATCTCAAATTTGTCAGCAGGGCTTAAAACCCTGCCTGCACAGAACTGGTCAGAAATAAAAACAAAAAAAGGCTACCCCTCCCTCAAACAAGCCCGAGGCATGAAGCTGCACTAACCCCCCTCACCCAAACGTAAACTTATCTGTGTGCGCACTCCACCACCAGACACAACAGCATCCCACACCACAAGTTTCCAAACACCTGGAGCAGCGTCCGCAATAACCGCCATTTTTTTTACTGCCCCTCCCTCTTCACCACAGGCACCTGCAAGGACCCATCCTGAGGTCGCCGCAAGATTTCCGACCACATCCACGTACCTCGGGCTGTTCGACGGGACCATGAAGCATCTCCGGGGTCGAGGTGAAGGGCAGCACCGTACAACAATTTTTGTTACACTGCAACGACGCTTGTAAAGCAGTGCCACTGACGGAGGCAAACATGCCAGTCCCAGCAAAATGTGGCCAACTCTGCTTCATGGGCAATAGTTTCACTTGACGAGCTCTTTGACTCGACGGTTCGCTTGCGGTCTTCTTGGCGGGATCTAGGGTGATGGGTTCAGTTGACGGGTTTTCAAGGGCGACGGGTCTGGGCGATGCGTCTGTCAAACATCATTTCGCGAGGCCGGCTTGTCTTGCTCCGTCGATTCCCAGTTTGACAAGCACTGCGGTGCGTAGGCCGGAAACAGTGGCATGGGGTGGCCGGCAGCCGTGAAGGGTGCCCTCGGAGGTGGGCCGCAGTGGAACTGCGGGGGCAGCTGCGGTCCTGGGGCGTTCTTCGTCAGCAGGAAGCCTACCGGCTGCTGCGGCGGGTCGACGGCCGGGTTGGGCATTGGGCTGGGGGGCAGGCAAGGGCCGGGGCCGGGTCCTGCTGGGCCGGAAGCCAGGTTCATGGGTGGGTTAGGGGGCTGCACGGCCCAGTGCGGCTCCATGTGCTGCCTTGGAGGGCCGGGGGGACGGTGACGCTAGGTTGGAACGGAAAATGACACCTTTATACAGCCGGGCGGCAAAAGTTGTTCAAGCGGCCGTCCAAGCTGAAGCTCACAGCGTCTTCCCTTATCTCCCTTTGACGGACATCGTAGGTGCGGCCTATACACGGGTAAGTTTAAAATATATTTTTGTCGGCTTTTTTTTTTTTTTTTTTTTTTTTTAAAGTTAAGGGTGCGGCTATTACACGAGTGTGTCCATTATACATATACATGCGCTATCAAACCATTATCATAATTAACCTATACCTTACCCTTCCTCTCACCACAAACGAGGTTGTCCATCATCTCCGCCGATTCACAAGGGGTCCGCGAAACATCAATGTTTGAGAACCACTGCCTTAGACAACGGACCACATGATAGCGTCGTTTGGTGACGTGCATCAAAACTGCACCCTTCTCAAGCAGGATGCTCAGATGGCTGGTTCGAAGGGTCTACAGTGTTCCACAAGGTTGTTACAAAAGCACGACAACACGGGCAGAAGACGAGTCTGACGGTCGAAACAGGTCGACACAAACACACCACGCATCCTGCGTCAATCGGCTTTATGCGAAGTAGTGAGGTGGTTTTGTTCGACTAAGAGTGAACTATTTGGTGCTACACTGTCGAGGCTAGCATAGCTTCCAGACTATTCCGATGTAGTCAAATCCAGCTGCATGAGCGAGGGGCTTCCTCGACAACATGGCACAAAGTAGTCGACGACAGGCATGAGAATTGGCATGCCAGAGGGGCGCACTCACCCACTGGGCGTGCTGGTTGCGCGCCACCTCCTGCTGTTGCTGCTGCTGCTCGTACCGCATGCGGTACATGAGCGCCTGGACGTCCGGGTGGGGCGGCGGCTGGCCGTTGGCCCCCTGCGGGAACGGGGGGGGCCTGGTCGGGGCTTGCCCCCTGAAAGGGGGGGGTCCCGTGGGGGCCCACTGAGGGGGGTAGGGCCCCCCTCTCATCATGTCCTGGAGCGCACGCTGGAGCTGTGCCTGCGCCACGGCGGGGGAGGGCAGTTGCTGAGCCGCGGGAGGCGATCCTGGCAGGTGGCCTGCGGAAAGCAAGAGTTTGGCTGTCTGGGCACGTCGGTGCGCCGACTACCGAGCACCCGTGTACCGGTCAGCGATTGGCGAGGAGATCAAACTACAGGGGGTGCTTTGTTCGGCTTGTGTTCCACAGAGCTCAGTGTTTACCCATCTACATCAGTCGATCGCTGTGTAAGAAACGCACAATTTATGTTCAAAAAGGTCATACAAAAAGTAAGTTGTGGTTCCCCATAATTATTCTCAACTCGTTGTGTTGTCACCCATGGCTACAGTTGTACTATTGGATTTGATTAATTTTGCGATGAGATGGGTACTGACTGGCTGGCAACAGCAATAAGATGGGTACTGGCTGGCTGCCAACAGTGGATGTTTGGAGGTTTTCCAGCAAAGCTGTTTATGGCTAGGGTTCCGTGGATTTTTCATTTGTGTCAACCAAAACTTGCGGGCCCTTCCTTTCTTGTTCTTCCAAGCGCTTGCTTGCCCAGCTTCCTTCTGCTTTCCCGGGGCGACGGTCCCGGGAGCGCAGAAGTGACGGTCTACTTTCTGCTGGGTGGCGGTCCTCTCATGCTTGTCTTGTTTCCTCCGCCTCCTCGTGGCAGCGATAGTTCGTACCTTTGTTAAAAATTGTGTGTCATGTCTTTGTCGTGTGCTGAACAGCTTCGCTGATCATCCATCTTCGCAGAGTGGAATGGCTCACGATTTTTTCGTTTCTCAAATTATCCAAATTTGTCATGCCCTTCAAAGGGGTACAAAAACGAAATTCTGGAGCTTGTTTCTTTGCTTCAGCACGACGTTGGTAGCAGTACGACCTCAGAAACATCAATATTTCGTTGGAAAACTTATTTTAAACTGAATTAAATGACAACCAAAACCACCCGGTTGGTTATGAAGCTTTAATGAAATGTAGGTATGGCATCGGCCTCCAATGGCAGCGCCACTATATGGGAAGTATGCTCACTAGTACAGATTACCCAGGCTTGAAAGTACTACCAAAGGTTTGGTGAAGAAAGCCAGAGCACTGATGACCACCTTGAATTCACCCTGCCAGCCAATCAATTCCACATGGCGCACGCTGTGCTTTACGTGTTTCTCGCAGAGGGAAGCCATGCTGTTGAAGTGACTTAGGTTTACGTTGCAGAGCTGTGTTGGTATCCGCTTTTGTGCGTGGTAGTTTCTGTGCGCCGATGTGAGAATTCAGCGATAGTCTCGCCGTCCATATGCCCCTGCCTGGAAAATCGCGCAAGCCTCATTGGACGAAACAGATAAAAGCAGTGCCGATCGCTTCTATTTGTTTAGTGTTTGCCATTGAGACAAGTCGCGTTCCAAAATCATGGCGATGAGAGCATTTTTTCGTAAAAGGTTTTGTGTAACAATGTGAGAATTTTACAGTCACGGTCCCTGTGCTCTGTGCTTTCGCTTAAAAAATTGTGTCCCGTCGAAATTCCTATGTTGACACTTTCCCTTTGTTCATTTAGTCGTCGCCCTTGTGACAAGGAATGTCGAAAATTGTCGTAGTGTATGCATTTCTTCGCAGTGGCGTCACAACAGTGCAGGTCGCACCACTATCGTTGCAATATGCTGCACGAAATACTTGAGTGATGCCACCACCGTGCCGCCTCGCCGGACTCTTGTCTGCTTCCCTGCTCGCTTTAATAAATGAAGGATACCAACTAATACAATGCCCCTTCAAAGCGATATTTATTTATCTGCGAAGCTGGTGCCCTCGCTGAGCTTGGTCGTTGTAAATCGGGTAAGCTGCGATTGCCTCGTCCTACCAAGGTGACGCATGATCTTGCCTCAAACTTAGACAACACGAGGTAGGAAATCTACCAGCATCTCACCTCGTGCGAGATAGCTGAGGTACCTCGCGATGTCGCCCCGTTCAAGGAGCAGCGAGCTTGTGCCCGAAACCGATGTTGCCGATGCCGGCATATCGGCCAAGTCGCAGAGCAGACAACGCACTACGTGTTGTAACGCTTGCGACTCCGCTGGCACCGCAGTCTCCTGGTGATATATGTTGGGCACTCTAAGCAAGGTGGTAATGCATTGACACCGTCAACCCTCATAACTATGGTACGCTTGGCCATAGGGAGGCCCATGGCATTTAGAATGAAAAAGACAGACGGACAGAAAAAATACAAACATGCAATTGTCATTAGCAGATAGAGTTGATCATGTTTAACTTATTTCTGAACATGACAGGTATATTTGACGTTTCGATTCGTTACTCCGTTAAAGTAGTGATTTTTTTTTTCTTCTTAGGTTTGAGAACAGCTTTGTTTTAAGGGGGGACATGGCATCGGAATTAGAAATTTTCAGAAAATTGTTTTTTTTAAAAATGATGTGTTTATGCTTATTAACTTCCAAAGAATGGTTTCAGAGACACTCATTTATAAATATGCAGGATTTATCTCAGAATAAAATATTTTCGACATGTCGGCAGCCCTCCGAGTCAGTTGGGAGCAAGTTTTTTGCGTTTTTTATTTAGCGTTGCTTCATGCTCGTTTAACCTAGCCAAAACATCTCAGCCTCATTGGAAGTGCCATTTACTCTAGATTTATCCCATAGAAGCTTTCGAAGTTTACAAGTATCAATGGCCAGGAGGACCCGATACGTCCAAATAGAAAAAATTCAGAAAATTTGGTATGAGCAATATTATTGGTTGAGACCCGAAACAGGGTTTACAAGTGGCCCAACCGGTGATGTGATATTGTGTCATCTTCCGTAACACCCTTTCACAGTATCTTCCACTTCAGGCCATATTCCTGCTTTGCTGTTCTTCCTTAGTATGATTTGCCTCTTAGTTCTTGCCAGTTTATCTGTCAGGAAATGCCTGCTACAAACGTTAGCTAGCCAACAAATGACACAAACTGGTAGCTATTGCCAGGGGAACAGGGAAGTCTCGAAGAGGAAGGTGCTAACAATGCGCCAGGTGAATTTTGCCTACCTCGGACTCGCAGAAAAGAAAGAAACCTAAAGTCGAAACTTCAAATGCATTTTTCTCAGTTTCACTTTTTAGCAGGAAATGTGGTACGAGGAAATGTATCGTTTGACATTTTGAAAGTGTAAAGATTTCATTCAGTGGTGTCCTTGACTGAAATTTCCTGAGGAACAAAATAAGGTACTCATAATCTGAAAAAGCTAAATTCTTCATGAAAAAAACAATATTTTACAACTCAGAAATTTGTTAAAATCGTTTGTTCTTTTTGGGTGTTATTGTTTTCCTCTAGAATTGCATTTTCTACAATTACTTTTACCTTAACTTGCACTATGGGTATTCTACTTCACAATAAACCAAACATTTTGTGGATTGTAATTATTATTTTTCTTGAATACATTTCCTAATAAAGTAACTTTTTTCTGGAGCTTGTTAAGCATAGTATGTTGTAGAATTGGCCTATAAGACTGAAACTTTAGATGTTACCAATCCTAATGGGGTTCAATTCACCCTGAAAGTTTGAATCAATTTGATACAATGGTTTAAAAGTTGACCCTCCCAGGCCCATGTCCCCCCTTAACGTGAAAGCATTAGCTGGAGCGAGCCGACGTCCCATGAAGCGAGCCGACGTCATCACTTTGAAGCGCCGTTCACACTCTTGCGACCGAGAGAGACCAGACTGGTTTTTAAGCCTTTTGCGACTTATTAGGACCGGATGCGCTGCAGCGGAGCTGGTCCTAAGAGATCGCAAGAGGCTTAAAAACCAGTCTCCTCTCTCTCGGTCTTACTCGGTCGCCAGAGTGTGGACGGGCCTTGAGGTGCGAAAACGGCACCTAGTTTCCCCGATCCCAAAGGTCCCATCGGCTGGCGCGCGGCAATGAGGCTCCGATTGGCCGCTGCACGCATCACTTTCAACGACCGCCGCCAGATGGCGCTGCGTGTCCGTGCCGCCTAAAGCCCCTCGATATATTTTCGTTTGTCTTTGCAAGTAGCGCCAAATGCGCGAGCGAACGGGGCCCAGGTCTCGAGCGGCCCTTGGAAGCAAATGGCGGCGCAGCACTGAAATGAGTGGCCCTTGGAAGCGAATGGCGGCGAAGCACACGCTCGTGGCACCTGTCTTGCGCATTTCCACAACAATGGTTGGCGGTACTTGTAAAAACACCTTTATCAAGGGGCTTTAGTGCCGCCAGCACGCTGATAAAATTAATCGCCGCAACTCCATGCCCACTACGGGCCCCCACCGGTTAATACGGACGCATTGGCACGCGCTTGGAGGCTTCTGCTTGTCTCGCCGCCAACCAACATGCCGTCGCCTCCATCGTCGGCGGTGCTTCTGCTCGTCTCAACGCGTGGCGCCGCCTTTATCATCCACATCGTCCGACATTCATGCTTTCGCATTCACAACTCATAAGAAGGGCTTAGGTGTCTTCCTACTTTTTTTTTCTTGATGGCCTCAGTAGTAAGTCACTGTTTCCAAGGAGATACAAATAAAAAAAATTAATAAGAAAAATGTTTTTTTTTTCTCTCACCCTTTCTCCTCGTGCACGTGTATGTATACGTGGCTTTGGCTCGTTGAGAGAAAAGGCTCCAGACTTGCAGATTCACCAAAAATGTCGTGACTGCACTAACCACTAGCCAGCACCACTCACTGAAGTCTAGACAGTTCAGTACAGTCTGTAACAACCATAATTGGAAATTTCCGGAACAGCTCAACCGTAGGAAAAGATGGCTATTTCGAGTAGAAATTCAATGATCTCGGCTATGAGAGACGGTTCCAGTTATCACTGTCGAGAAAGATGGGCTCCCTTATGTAAGTGTGCAATGAAGGTGCTTGCAGATAAGTAAAATTCGCCACTTGTTGCACCGCGCTGCTAACCCTAGGAACTGGCACTGATCCAAAGGTCTGCCTGGCGATCATCTTCATCACCTGGTGATACAGAAACGCATTGGCTTGGGAGGGGAAATCTGTTTTGTTTTTGGGCTAGGTGGTGCAAGCTACTGTCCATCACAAAGGACACAGCCGTTATCATCCATCCATGGCTTTTTACAGCGGAGCTGTTAAGGGTTAGTTTCCCCAGGATCGTGTCCGGTACCAAACAAACGTCGACACCCATGGCCGACACAACACTCTAGTTGCCGCCGTCACTCGTAGATGGCGGTAGCTGTCCAGAGTGTTGTGTTTGCGGTTGTCTGCTTGCAACTGTCGCTCACAGACCGCGGCAGCATTTCTTCGGAGGAAGAAGAGCGGGAACGGAACGAGCGGCGATGTGCGCAGCAGCGCGAATGCTTTCGCAACCGCCGCAGGGCCGCTATCGCCTAAAGTTACACTGCGTCGAGCGCTTTAGCTTCCCTTGAGAAAGGGCAGATCGCTTGCCTGGAAAGCTACCGCCGAGAACAGAAGCTACAGCTCCGCTGCTTTTCCTTCTGCACCAGAGTGGAAAGGCTGAAAGTTTTTTTCTAATATTTTGCATAAAGATTTCCAAAGTTCAAGTCTGCTAGCAAAATTTGTCTGATTGATGCAACCACCAAGAGAGGAAGTCAAGCAAGAGCAAGGGTGCAGACAATGTTTTCATGTCGAACATGGTAGTACCCGCTTGTTAAATGTCCTTCATAATTGTTACTTCGTTACTAATAAACCAACAAAAAAAAATTATTGTCGGGGCTTATTCGAATCCGTCGACAGCTGCTGCCATCTCTCTAAAGTCATCCACATGTCTCATTTGCAGGCGGCAGACATAGCAGTTCATTCCTTAAAACTTTGATGCACAAAATGCACCAAGTTCAGCCAACCCCGTTCAAAATATTAGGTCAATACATTAAGGAAGGGCTAACGATCCATTCAACCTATAATGTGCACTTGTTACCAGCCCCAAAGTAAGCTTTTGTCTTCATATCTTTCAGTATGCATCTTTTCCTAAAAATTAAGTATTAAACTCTTCCTGAAACTTCCGACATGTGTAGTGGCAAGTTCGTACAAGCTATTATACAAACCGTTGACTATACAACCAAAACAATAGGTAGCAAATCAAACTTTGCTTATTAACTGCAAAGGTGCCACATCTACGTAGAAGACGAATGCCAGCTCCTGAAATGTGGAGCGGAGAGATCAATACACACCAATGATTGATAGATAAATGAAGCTATTTATGGTTCAAACATTGCAAAGTCTTGCCTTCTGTTCAATACATGTGGGTGATGAACGATGCCTTACATCACACAAACAATGCAAGCATACACAAACTATGCCACATAACAATCCATGAAAGAGGTTAGGCACAGATGTAAGAAAACAGTCAACGCTTTATATACATAAAGTCCGCGATGTAATGAGTCCCTAATGCAGCATGTCATTAATGAAACAATGGGCACACAAACTTCGGCTAACAACGTACAAATGCACTTCCCGACACCTAGGTTCGCTATACAAAACCGACTGCTTTACTCGTCTGCATTCGCAAGCCCTAGACTTACTTTATTTACACACAGCGAAAAGCATGCAGGGAGACACCTGAATAATTCGGACGAAAGTCAGCCCTGCACTTTCAAGGTGATGCGCAACTCGGGAGAAAGCTGCAACCTCGGTGGCGCAACGGCCTTGCGGGAACGGTTTCCCTTTCGTTGCTTGGGACGATGTCGAACAGACTCACTTTCCACGGTTGCACTGTGTTGAGGCTCTTCGGGGCCCCGGTTCCGCCCTTGATGCGACTGCAAGGGCCGTGCCTTCCGCTGCTGCTGTTGTTGCAGTTGCTGCTGCTGCTGTGGAGGTTGCCTCTGGTAGGGTCGGCTACGACCGAAAAGGTGGGGTCTTAAAAAAGGGCAGGGGCAACCAGACACAACACGTCTCTAGCAAGCTTTTAAGATGAACTAATATAATTTACTCCTTCCCCAAACTCTCGTGGCAAAGGTAACGTGTGATGCATTGTTGAAAAGTGGACCATAAGGTACACGTCTTGCACTTCCCAGCCTTGACCCTGCTATTTCGCATGTGAAAGCTACTCTACCGTAATGTCCTAAGACATTGCCCACCCCACTTTTCGGGCGAATATCGATTTCCAAAATAACACAGTGATCACCCACCCTACAAATACCCCAACGCGGACTCCGCAAACATTCAACCTACCCAAATGACGCGGCCGCGGACCTTACGGTTGCAGGACGGCCGTGACGAAGTATGAAACATACTTTCACAGAACAAGCATTCGCGCTGTATGCCGATCGGAGGTGTTCATCGTGCGTATGGAAGCAACGGACCTTGCTATAGTCGAACATTCTTTTGTGAGCATTTCTTGCATAAAACAATGAAACTAATTCGAGTTTGTGCAGCCGCACAATATATGTACAAAAAGTTTGGCACTCTGTCTACCTTTCCCTTATTTTTATACCTCACTTTTTTTTATGAATCTCTGGCGGCAGGGGGTGTGCGACGACTCGGGACATAACGGTAATGTGGATTGTACAGGGGTTATATGGTCCCTCCGTCAGGATAAGTCTGATAATTCACTGCAATTTTTTAAGCAACATTTTAACTGGTAAAATGAAACGCATGGTTCCCTTAGGAACTTTCCGAGTGTCACTGAGAATTTGTAGACCAGAAAATACGGCATACAAAAACGCCGGATGTATAGAGCAAGCTGGCTCACCTTTGGTAGGCACCATCCTGGGGCTGGCGCCAGTTGTCCTGCGGGGCACGACCCCTCCCAGCGGCGAAGTCCCTCGATCTCTCCAAGAGGGAGCCACCGCCCTGCACCCGGTCGTTCTGGCTGCCGTTGTTGTTCGCACCGCGGCGGCGTGGGCAGTCCTTGACCCGGTGGCCGATCTTGGAGCACAGCCGGCAACCCCGGTCGTTGGGGGGCTGCCCGTCCACGAGCTGGCGTCGGTCAAAGAAGTAGCCCTGCGCAAAAATAGGGTACAGGGTGTCCCAAAAATAATTTGCGGAGCTTTTTTAAAGGGGGATGGGACGAAAGAATGGTCGATTTTTCCACAAATTACATTCCTGAAATCGTTTCAGCCTCCCCACAAAACATGATTGCTAAATTTCATCCCTAGCTATTTTAACATTAGTGGATTAAAGACTGGGTCGGGGTTTATATCCCTAGTCATTAATGCGGGATGAGGGTTACGAATTTTTTTTCTTATTTTTCTGCACATCTCACTTAAATTCAGTAAGCAAGTGTATTTCTTAATACTCACACTCAAACTGCAATTAGATTTCAAATATATTTTTTAAACGAAAATACAGTGCTATTTGCTTACAACGATACCACATCTAACGATATACTGCTTTTAATGATCAGTTTCAAGAGTTTCTAGACTAGAAACAGCCAGTTTCTTGTTAGATACAATGATAATCGGTTATAATGATTGAATTTTCGAGTTTTTTTTGTTATTGTTATGAATGGATTGTGCAAATTATATAGTTCTAATTCGCATTATATAATCCTAATTAGGTCATTTCTTAACAAGCCGCTAAAGTGATCTCTGTAAAGAGCTGCATTTAGACTACATATGAAAATCTCCAAGGGTCCACCATACATACCTACTAAAGCTCATAAGTATTATAAAATTATAAATTATATTATTATAAATAACAATTGTGAAAAACCAATAAATGGGACAATAATTACCTCAAGTTCCAGCTAATTACCTTTTTTCTATTGAAATTGTAAGAAAAAAAAAGTTTAGGATGCAGTTTAATTACTAATAAGAGCAGTACCAGAACATTTGTAAGGCTCGACTTAACAAGAAAAGGCAAAACTAAGAAAAAAACCATCAGCCATTCCATTCTCTGAAGGTGGATGACCAGCGAAGCTGTTTACCACACGACACAGACGTGACACAAAATTTTGAGCCATGATACAAACACATTTATTGTCTCGATCGGTGGTCACCATGATGAGCCCGAGGAAACTAGACACACGCGACCGGACCGCCGCCCCAAGAGAGCGGAAGGAAAGGAAACTAGGCACGCAAGCACTTGGAACGACGACAAAGAGAAGGCGGTGCAAGGGTAAACATGGCCAACGCGGGTCGGAAAGCTTGTGAGAAATCTTAATTATCTACCTGAGAGTATATTGAACTTTAAAATTGTGCCTATTGATCACTTATCTACTGAAAATGCATATCTAAGTGACGAGACGTATAAGTAGTTTGCATATTAATTTTGCATCAAATTTGGGACTCGAGTTTTTGTTGACGCACACGAAAAATCCACGGAACCCTAGCCATAAACAGCTTCGCTGTAAAATCGCTTTCAAGAACCCTCATCGCCCACATGAAGTGGCAAAGGTCCCTCCCAAAACGGATCCACCATAGAAGCATCCTTAATGTGACGGGAGACGGAGACTCACGATGTAGCTGTCGTAGGCGGCGGGCGGCTTGCGGAACGGGGTCCCGAACAGGGCCCTGCCCTTGATCAAGGCCTTCATGATGAAGGCGTTCACTGAAAAGTCACGACAAATATGGCAGTGAGGGCACAGGCCCTTAGAATGAAGGCATTCGGTGCAGCACACATCCGTAATAACTCACACTCGTTCTCTGCTTGTTCGTTAGAAAGGAGGTACACGCTACACAATATGAGCATTTGTATCCCCGGGTGATTGATTCTCAAAAGGAACTCACTCTTCCGGGAGACGCCGCTGCCAAGGTTGTGGTCCAGTTCAAAGGGGTCTGAAATGTAAGTGCACGACGATCAACAAAACAATTACTATTAGGTCATCATCTAGTCAATCCCCGACACACCCCAAGCAGCAAACAAGCTGAAGCTCGACAAGAGACGGTGCGAAGCGGCAAACGCTTCCTCTTTCTAGAGGGCATTGACTAAGCCCTCTGAAGTGGAGCGGGGCATCTAGTTTGTGTCGAAAGACGACACGTCACGAGGTGACGACTCACCCTCGATGGCGATGCAGCGCGAGGTCCAGGACTTCTGGAGGCGGGTGATTCGCTTGCGCTGCCGGATGCAGACGACGTCCGCCCGGAAGTCGAACACCTCCGTGTAGAAGCGGAGCAGCCCCAGCCAGAGCTCCCCGACCGACTCGTTGTTCTGGCCGAACTCGCTCCACACCGACTGCTGCAGACGAACGTGCGTCACTCGCCACGACATCTAGCCGATCGCAAGGTTACCCCACGGTGGCGGGAAACCCGCCGGAACTCACTGTTGCAGCGGGTTTACCTCCACCGGAGCGGCAGCGTCGGAGCGGCTTTGCCGCAGGATCGACGTCGGTTTGCAAGGTTGTGCGACAGAAAGCAAGAAAGCTGCTTCGAAATGAGACCAAGATGCCAGGAGTCGGATAAACAGATCTAAGGGGGGACACGGGGATTTAAAACCAAAAAATCGCAAAAAGGTTGACTTTGGGGAAAACCACTTTTTTGGATTGTATATTCCTTAAAGGGAAACTGAATCCCAATTCGGATTTCGCAAAGTAAGGTCGTAGAAGCGTTGCACGAGACGCTACGAACTCCGAAACATCACTCATTCATCGACATTTCAAACGGATGGCCATACTTCTGGAAGAAAAGGAGGGTGCGATCAAGCGAGGGCTACGACATCAATGTCCTCCTGGAAAATTTCAGATGACGAAAAGCGGTCTCCCTTCTCTCCTCCTCGCTTTGGTTCACCAGCTCGACGGGATATAGCGAGGAGGAGAGGGATTGAGATTTGTGACGTGACTTGTTTCGTGGGCCTTATCGGCCGTGTTCAATTGCGCACTTCTTTTCCAAAAATATGGCACACCTTTAGCGATATCGCTGTATAAGTGATGTTCTTGGGTTTTGCAGCGTCCCACCTATCCATCCAGCCTTGTTTTGTGAGCTAGAAATTTCGGTTCAGTATCACTTTAAACTACCTTGTCCGTAATTTTCGACAGCTAACTCACTGAGAAAATATTTTTGAGGTCCCGGCAACTTCTCAATCGCGCTGAAGACACAAAAACGAGCTGGGCTTTGAGCGATTCCCGCTTGCTTTCAACTTAGCCGAAAGCCGCCATCGCGGTTCTTTTCTGAAGCGGAGGTTTGACGAAAGCCCGGCGGTGTCGTTTGTTTTTTCGGTGCGAAAGAGAGTGGAAGAAGGAGAGGGAGAGCGTGACACGTGCAAGCCTCCCATTGATCTGAAGCACTGACGTCAGCATGCGTTAACCTCTCTCTCTCTCTCTCCAGCACTGACAAACCGACAGACACCGCCGGGCTTTTGTCAAAATCGAGCAATTTCGTTTTAACAAAATATATACCAAAAAAAAAAATTTTTTTTTTAGGCAATTTGGTTGGGACATTTAAATTGATTTAACGGGGAAAAAAAAATTTCAGAGCAATACTGACGACGCGAGAGGCAATTTAGTCGGCAGTCACCTCCTTTCCACTTGTTTCCTCTCTCAGCATTTTGGGCGCATGGAGGAGAGGTGGAGCGACTTTGCCTTCACAACCGAGATGGTCATTCTGGAATGACCCGCGACGTCGTGGATTTTGCATGCAGAATGTCAAATAAATCTCATGCTGTCAATATTGCTCTAAATCTTTTTTTCTTTTTCGCATGGAATTAATTTTTTGTTACGCGTATTCCTTCCAGATTGTATAAAATTTTTTTTTTTTTTTTCTTTTGAGGGGCTTTTTATATTGGTGCATGTGCCAAGATGAACACCATTTGGTCGCTTGATCATCATTTTCGTGACTGCGGCACAAAAAACATTTTATTCTGTTTATTTATGTGGCGTTTCGAGCTGCAATATGTAATTGCATAACAAATATGCTCTTTTTTAATCAACCTTCACAGTCAGGCAACAAATCTGACCAAGAGTGCAGTTTCCCGAGAATCACACTTTCGCAAGATTGGATGGTGAAAGTGCATATGCTATTCAAACTTCATTTGAAATTCAAACCACAAACAAAAGATGCTCATACTTTTAAGTGATATAGTACCACGACAGAAGGTCCAAGGGCTTACCAGGTGGTCGATGTCATCAAAGAACCAGGCGTTCCATCCTTCAATGATCAGTTCTGGCTTCTTCTCCCCTTCGGGATAGAGCTGCACAGAGACGTCACGTCAATTAGACATCAAAGGAGACTCCGCAAAAGCAGAACATGCACAACTAACCTTATTATGAACTCCAGATTATCTATTGCACACACACTGTTTTTATTATATATGCAAGCATTAGATGTCCGGCACGTTAACATCACGAGTGCAACTTGCAATCGTTACGATTCACAAATGCAACTTCCCAAGCTTTCAGTACGGTGTCTGGAAGCTTGGAAAACATTGTTTTTGCTCTGTCACGAACTGTTTAAACATCTGTGGAGGATGTAAAAGTGTTTCCTGCGATTTCTTATAAAACTCCACATCACTGGCAACAATTACTTTGAGCAACAAGGTGGTTCGAGTATCGGTACTTTGAAGTGCAGCCTACGCAGTAGCCCTAGAGTGGAGTAGTGACGACGGAACAAGCATCACCCACCTCTTGCAGGACTGGGATCACGGGTGGCTTGCACTGCTGCAGGTAGTACAGCACCATCAGGATGTACGCGTACGAGGACAGGCTGCCCCGCGACGCATCCCCGATGTCGCACGTCTGTCGACGGAAACGAGACACCCTCGATATTCATTTTCACGTGGCACCCCAACGCGTCAAACACCCACCGCCCAAACGTCCCCGTACACAAAATGCATCCACGACGTGCAGCGACGTCAAATTAACGAGGATGCCTCCGTTCCCCCCACAAAGCATCCGCAGCGCGAGTTGTCCATAACAGCGTGACATTGTGCGGCACAGCGACATCGTGTTTTGGCCGCGCCGCCGCAACCAATGACGTGAATGCATGTAACCGAGAGTTCCAATTGCAGGACCGCAGCAACCACGTCACTCATAGTGGTGTTTCGCTAAATTTAACGGCATGTCAGACAACCCCGACACCAGTTCCGATAGAGTGCATTCTGGACTAAAAGCACTACGTGCCCTTTCCCGCACCAGTCGTCACGAGAACCTCCCCCCGTTGCCACTGACGTTCGCTCGCCGCACGGGCTCACCTTTGCAAAGTGCTTGAGCGTGTAGCCCAGCACACGCACCCTCTTGTCGATGTCGCTGTAGACCTTGAGCAGTCTAGTGTTGTGCTGAGCCTGTAACGTATCGGAAGACAGAGTGTGTGAAAAGAGTGAAAGGCCATGTGCCACACGTTGGCTGGTTCAGAGTCGAGTTTAATCGAGTGCACTGCAACGCACTCAACTCCCCCCCACGAGGTCCACAAGCTTGTGTGGCCTACGATACCGGCAAGATTTAACTACCATATTTATTCAAATATAAGTCAACCTTTTCTTTTTATCGGAAATGCCAAACATGAAAGATTGACCTATAATCGTGACCAGAAAATTTCAACCTACATTCGTAACCATATAAAGGTATTGACCTAGGTATATTCGTGGTCAACTCATATTCGAGTAAATACGGTGACCCCGCCGTGGCTTGGCTCACCAGGGTGTTGTATAGGCTGATGTCGCCCTCCAGCCGGCTGGGCCGGTGGTAGAACTTGACAATGGGCACCTTGGCCGTGGTGATGGGAACGATCCTGTCCAGGTCTGGGTGCGCTCGCAGCTTTTTAGCCAGCTCGGGAATCATCTTGCTGTGGCAGAGTTCCTGCGGAAACGTCGAGGCACCACGTTCGAAACCAGAGCATGCAACAACTGTCCACAATGGACTGGAACCTTTCAAAGGGAGGGCGAAAATGAGAAACAACACTGACGGGGTTCAAGACTCCCTGAAGATGAAAATGAAAAACGACTGACAAGGTTCGAACTTTCTAGAGAAACGAAAATGCAAAATGACTCGCAGGGGTCGAGACTGGTACTTCTGCCAAGGAGCCACGTGCGCCACCAACTATGCAATACTTGGGCACGGTGACAGTGTGCCTCATAATGTCATGTCACGCAATCTGGTCCCAAGATTTAATAAAGTCGGTCAAGATTGAGGCACTACAACTTCGCAGCGCGAGCCGCGTGACAGTGGTGATGAGTGACATGGCACGACCCAGCGCACATCACACAATTCGTCGTGGCACCAGCCGTCTGAGCCATAGCAGCATCCTGCTAAATGTGGCGGGACATTAGCCCGCAACGTAGCTGATGAAGTCACGCGACGGCTACGGCGACGTAAACGCAAATGCCAAAGGCATCACAAAATTTGTGAAGACGAACAGCCTTCCTTGCGACTTGGAAGATAACAGAAACTCTGGACGAAAGGTGTTCACTGGGAAAGTGATCACCCACCTTGCCATCCCTGCTGCTATCGAAGGTCAGACATATGTCGAGATCGCTCCTCGCCAAGCCAAAGCCATTGCAGGAAGAGCCGTAGAGTGTCAGCCTGGCATCTGCAAATTTGACCAGATTGTCGAGCCACATGTAACATCAATATACTTCACTGTAATATGCAGGGTGAGAATATCTTTAAAGGTCTACACTTCACAATGCTAAGAGACATTTCCTGCCTTTTTCTACCCCATTCACCTTTTGTTCCAAATAAAAAAGATGTACCAAAGCAACAGTGTGGTATTACCATACTCTATGTATATGATACGTGTTTGATGCAAGCAGGCATTTCTAAAGGTGTGCTGTGTATGAACAAAATACGGTACGTCTTTGTGGATGCAAAGGTAATGTACGCACCCGAGTACAGCTCTCGGATCAGGCTCTCCAGCTCGTGAAGGAGCATGTTGCGGTCCTTCTCTTCATGTGGGCGCGGCAAACACTCGCCTGCAAAGAGCGAGTCAATGTCATGAGCATGTTTCATGGTGAGCAGCAAAGCCGGAGCCACAAGCATGCACGGAGCCTTAAACAACGCTAAAACTGTACGAGGTATTCATAAAAATGAGACTTCTGATGTCTGCTGCGTCAATCTGGCTTGCACCATTTGCTTCCGCAATTTCTCGTGGTTTCAGCTTCACAAAGAGCAGGCACCAATAAATACAGACTTTTAATGAAATGTATTTAACTGTAATTATGGTGCCAAGGGCCTATTTATTACACCAGACCTCGACGAAGATAATTCCTTCACTTGGACTTGACTGTCAAAACAGAGTTGGCATTCCACATGCTTGCACTGTCTTTCACCACTCTTTCGTACAGTCTACAGCTTGTGACTGGAAACATCTCTGCTCCACATTACATTTAAAAGTGCCCTAGACTACGTCATCACCAAACCAATGCTTATTGTACTTCCCATATGTTACATTTTGGCAGCAATCTGTGTTCTGGCCCCTTCGCCCTTTTGTTTTGTTATCAACTTTTTTTTTTTTTTTTTTTGGTAATGCTGCGGCATAGCTTTGCGGTAATGCCTCCGCTTGGCACGCAGCAGACCCAGGTTAGAGGGTTTGGCAACGTCGATGACGGACACCCTACGCCCTACTATGCCGACTACAACATCAACGACAACTACAACAACGAACATCCTTTCCAGTGGTGGGAAAAACCCACCACGACGGCTATCGCTGTAAAACTCACGCATCACATCCACGCAGACGTCGTTGAGGATCATGATGTGGCCTCGCGTCATGGGGGGAAGCTCCACCAGTTGCGGCAGGATCTGATCTGGACAGTTCTGTAAAAGCAACGCAAGCAATGTGCTCGTCGTCCCCACGGGCTCACGCGAGCATGTTACACGCGCCAATTCCTCAAGATAAACCATACACAAGCACGCCTGAGCTTTCCAGAACATGACCTCGATTTGTGCGTGTCAATGACAGAAAGTTTGAAGGATTTAAATAATGCACCGTGACATGTGATGGTACCGTGGAAAAGCTAGTTTCATGCAACGACACAAGCTGCTGGCTATAGAGACAGATATCATGTATGGAGCTTTTTATGACTTGTGATTCAGTTTGAATTAAATTTACGTACCATATTTGCCATTACAATCTGACCACAAATATGTACTTGGATTTCATGTAATCTAATTAGTCTTGTTAATATTAAAAATTTCATAGGCAAAAATTTTATTTGATTATTAGAAGGATTAAGAGAAACTGAAATAAGAAAATAAACATATATCAATAAACTAAAAGGTATTTGGAATTCAATAAGGCATAAATGAAAGCTCCATGATGCTTTTTAAACTTTTAGGACACTTAAACTTTCCAGTTTTCAAATGATTTATGGCAGGATGCCTAAAAGGTCCCTAAAAAAAAAGCCTGATACCCTATTTAATATATTTGTACCCCTTATTGCATATGTCAAACATCCACAGACCCATTTACTTTGTTTCCAAGACAATATTTCAAGAGAGACTTATTTAACAAAGATCCTTCAGGACAAGATAAACGCCTGCCAATCATCAAAAAATTCAATTTCAAAAATGTTTTCTTATTATATTTTTGCCTCAAAGAGCAGTCTCCCCTTAAGTGATCCTACGACTGGTACCAGATGCATTTTCCGTTCAAACTGTTGTTCAGTGCACACAAATTGAACATTTTATCACGTCGTATCATGCATGCCATTCCCTGACTGAGGTTGTGTGTTTTCATTTAGATAATAAGAGAATGATACGGGCTTCCAGAAGATAATGTTACTCACCTCTTGCAGATGCCCTTTCTTCATGCAAAAGGTGCAGATCATGGGAGGCTCCTGCAACAATGAAAAGAATCTGTAGCGAGACTGCATCCCTAAATTCCCTACATTCTCCCAGCTCTCCCCCAGAAGGACTAGCAAGGCTCCCTAGAAAAGTGCTTAGTAAATTCCCTGAAAGTTTTTCATTTGTACATTCCCTGAAAATTCTGCGGAGGTATGTTCCCTGAAAATTCTGCGGAGGTACGGTCCCTGGAAATTTTGCGTCGGTATATCCTCTGACGATTCTGCGTCGATATGTTTTCTGAAAATACTGCGTGAAGGCATTCTCTGAAAGTACTGAATGAATGCATTCCCCGAAAAACAGCATCAGTACGCTCCCTGAAAAATCTGCGTCGGTACATTCCCTGAAAATTCAGCGTCAGTGTATTCTCTAAAAATTCTGCATCAGTATTATACGCACGGAAATCCGCATCTAACACGGTCCTCACCTGAGAAGACTAGCAGTCCTTACGAGCTTCATAATATTGGACTTTCCTTAAGCCCAAGAGTTTCAATGATGAAACCAGCAAACCACAGTCGACTCTCAATAACCTGATGCTCCCACCTCACATCTCTAGTTCCTATGCGCTGGTGTTGCGACGCATAAAGCACAAAAACCTGTAACAAAGTAAAGTAAGCTCCCATATCGGTTCTGAACTCGGACCTTCCAAGCTTTCAGATTCAAGACTACAAACAGACTAACACCTAAATGCATAAGGGTTCCTGCAGAAAAATTGCTGTCCAAGAAAAATAACTACGATCCTCAGAACTTTTTCTGCAAAATATGAGTCAACGAAAACCGGTACCTGTTCCGCACCTTAGGAACCTGAAGGATTTACTTTCAGTATTAGGTAGTTAGTGGAGGCATGCGATTAATGATATTCCAGCCCAAATCAAATTTGAATTGGATAGTGCCGAATGATGACCTAAAAAGTCCACCATTTGAATACCCATACTTTTAGTGTGCAATATGCAAAAACTAAATAGAAAACATACATAAATATGTGAAAGAAGGCCTATGCATTATGGTTGCAGAATTCAGAAATAGGTTCGCAACTTGAAAAGAGAAGTCAGGTATGCAAAACTTAAAAACAAAACTAAAAAAAAAAAAAAAAAAATTGGAATTTTGGCTGGGAGGTTGTCATCCGCGAATGACTTACGGTCTTTACTTTTATCCTTCCCCAACCTATAACCTTCCTCACCCGCCCGTTTGAGAGGGTCTCGAGGGTGAACTGGTAGTCAAAGTCCTCTTTCGACAGCCTCGACAACTTGTCGATGTTCTGCTGGGTCATCGGGGGGCCGGGCCGGACAAACTCTGAGGCTCCGGCCGTCGTGGAGGCCTCCTTCCGCTTGTGGGGCTTTGCGGAGGGGGTCTTGGACCCGTGCTCCGAGTTGCCCTCGTCGTCCAAAGTCTGCAGGCGCAAAGTACCAAACAAACATACTTCAAGTTAAAGCAAGTAAACAGGTGAGCTGGTTAAGGATGGACATGGTAGCCATGAATTGAGGGGACAAAAAAAGTTTGGAGCTCCATTCTCTTTTAGAGCGCAGCTTTTAGGCGCCCGTTTCCGGATTGAGCGGTGTCGCCGCCGCCGTCATCGTAACCGCGCATTGCATTATGGGACGTTTCTCATAATGACGTCAGACGTGACGTTACGTGTGATGTCGCGAGGGTAAAATTTTCCAGCTAAATCTGGCGTGAAATTTTTCCGCTAAATTTAGCACGAAAAGTTTTAGTGAAATTTATCGTGACAACACACGTGAATGAATGTGATGTCACTTGAAGGTTAGCGGAAAAAATTTCCCCGAGCGAGCAAACTGACGTCACGTGGCCTCAAAACAAATTCAGTTTCCCCACTAAATGCAGTGAGTAATTTTCGCTACATTTAGCAGGAAAATGTTGTTAAATTTTCCGCTCAATTTAGTGAAAACATTTCACCTGCTAAACTTAGCGGGGAAATTTTTGCTAAATTTAACAGGAAATTAAACGAAAATTTCCTATTCTCTCCCTTCGTTCCCTCCCTCCTCCACCTCAAGAGCTGCGCTCTAATTAGACATTACATCTTTGTCCCTTCACTCCAGGGTTACCATGTCGGACATACTCCGTCAGGTACTAACATACATAACTAAGTGCTAACGGCGCTGGGGTTAGACCCGATTTTCTGGCGTACCAATTTTTTTTAATCTGATGTACTTAACTAGGTAATTACCAACTTAACACACCTGGTTAAGTTTTAACACGATTAGGATCAACCTAATGTACTTATCTAAACACCAACCTAGCATACTCAAATAGGTACAAACTTAACATACTCAACAAAGTCCCCATCTAAAACACTTTGTTAAATGCTAACATATTTAGGCATCAACCTAATGTACTAACATACTTAGCTAAGTGTTAACCTCACATACTCAAAAAAGTACTAACCTCACAGTCAACCAATTACCAACTAAACACTGAACTAAGTAGAAAACTCACATACTCAACTACTAGGCACCAACCTGACCAGGATTTGCAGACTTCAAAGAAAACAATTCAAGGATTTTCAAAGACTTTTAAGGGCAACTTTTTTAAATGCGCTGCGAAAATTCTTTATTGCACGATACCTAGGAAAGGCACTTTTTTCCAAAGAGGTGGCAGTAAAGGGTTCAGTAGAGTTACTCCAGCTTTTCCTTGATTTCCTGATTGATTTTTAGAAGATCTCACATTTTCGTTTTCGCTGTTTTCCTTAGGCTGTTTGACTTGACAATGTAGGTGATGGCACCGGTTGCCTCTACATGCTTGGTGTCTATAGTTACTAGTTGCACATCCCAGGCATCGTGCACAACTCACCATATGTAGCATAAAACAGAAGCAAAACAAGCAAACCAGGAGTAGCTAGCAAACACCACGCGAGAGAACAAGGCAAACGAGGGGCACGATGGCAATATGATAGACGGGCAAGACCGGATCCGGAACCACCGGGACTGCTACCATTGTGGCCAGGTGCTTAACGGGCATCCGCTAAATGTGTCTAAATGTGCCATATAAGAAAATGTCCTTGTTGAAATTTAAGAATTTATGTTAAAATACACATGAACAAAAACTTTCAGCTTTCCTACTCTGGTGAAGAAGGAAGACCAGAGGAGCTGCACTATGGTGGAACAACTTCAAGGACGACTTCTTGGACGACCTCAAGGACAATGCCTAAAGGACGACCTCAAGGACGACTTCTAGGACGACCTCAAGGACAATGCCTAGGACGACCTCAGGGACGATGTCTAATACGACCTCAAGGACAACCTCAAGGGCGACTTCTAGGACGACCTTGAGGAAAGCCTCCAGGACGACCTCAAGGACAACCTCTTGAAGGACCTCAAGTACGACCTCAGGGACGACGTCTAGGACGACCTCAAGGACGACTTCTAAGACGACCTCAAGGATGACTTCTAGGATGACCTTGAGGACAACCTCTCGGACGACCTCAAGGACAATGTCTAGGACGGCCTCAAGAACGACGTCTAGGACAACCTCAAGGGCAACTTCTAGGACAACCTCAAGGATGACACCTAGAGGACATTGTCCTCTAGGCATCGTCCTTGAGGACGACATCTAGGACACACCTAGAGAAATCCTGTCTTTCCACTCTGGTGAAAAACAGAGTGGAAAGGCTGGAAAGGTTGCCACCATCTATGAGCGACAGCAACAACCAGACAACCGGCAAGCCGGTTATCTGGTTGCTGCCGTCACTCATAGATGGCGGTAGCTGCCCACAGTTGCGTGTTGATTTATTTGTCCACGGACACGAAACCGGGGCAACTAGCCCTAAACAGCTCTGCTGTAAAAATATTTATATATTAATTATTCCAAAAAATTAATTAAATATTGCAGAAAGAAAAAACAAATCTGACTATCATTCGGAAATTCAAGGGCTTTCAAGCACCGCTAGAAATTCCAGGGCTTTCAAGGTCTGGAAAAATGCAGTTTTCAAATTCAAGGGTTTTCAGGGTTTTCAAGCACCCGAGCAAACCCTACTAACGTACTTATGCAAGTACCAACCTAACGTACTTCGTTAAAAAGCAGTCACTAAATGCTAAGTTAGAATTAGGTTTGAGTAACTGTAACCAAGTGTGCTTGTAAAAAAAGTGAAAGCCGTTTACAACTCCCTGTAATGCCGAATCGGAGCGCAGCTCTTGAGGAGGTGGAGGGAAGGGTACTGAGGGGAGGGAAGACCCCTCCTTCTCCTCCCCTCATTCTTTAATATGCTCCGGGGGGGGGTCACCTGACCTCGGGGGGGGGGGGGGGGGGGGGGGGCCGTGACCTAGGGGAGGGGGGCCACGTGACCTTGAGGTGACCTAGGGGGGTCACGTGACCCCCCTAATTACGCCGACGGCGACGCCGCTCAAGCCGGAAACGGGCGCCTAAGAGCTGCGCTCTAAAAGGCAACAACAGTAGCAACTTAATTACTATAAAGAGCAACTTTTACAGCTCTGCACTGCACCTTACCTACATCAAAAGCCAGAGACATAATGACAAGAAGCAGAGAGATGACCCATCACCATCGCCGCAACAGGCAAGATGCGCAGTGGTGACGGCCGAGCAGATGCAAGTGCTTGCTTAGCAGTATTCCACAAGCTATCATGACACAAATTCAAGCAAGGATCAATAAAATCGAAATGCGAGCTCGACGCTACCATGTTGGCGATGACTTTGACGGCATCCGTGATGGGCACATCAGGATCGTGCTCGTCCGTGTCCGGCGCCGCGTCCGAGGAACACGAACTGGCGTCGTCGACATCTTCGTCCTCCTCTTCTTCCTCGTCGTCCGTGGTCTTGGTTCCACCAGGCTCCTTGTCGGCCACCTTGGGCTGCGGCAGAATGAACGTCGGCGCAGCTCCAACAACGTCGGCTTTCGCACCTCCGAACAATTATAGCTCTCAGAACCGAGACCGAAACAGAATCAAGAGATTATCGCTTTGGTGCCTGGAACATGCCCGTGACTGAATCTGTCTGCCACCACATCCCGCCCGTGTTTCGAAAGTGCTCCCGAAATGGCGACAAATGACAGTGCGGAAGTTGGCACGCCAAGTGGACGGATGTCCCGATCTGGGCGTTTGGTGCCACAAGTCCTGGCACAACGTATGAGTGAACACAAGCATCACCGTCGTTGCAAAGTCCGGCATCTGCCACACCCACCACTGTCACTGTGACACCGTGACAAATCTTTGACATCATCGGGCAAAAATCGAGGGAGAATTTTTCAGCAAGAGGCAGTCAGAGACGTGTTCTAGGCACCACGGCCCACAAGACGTAGTGGTGACACGGGCCGCATCTATTCAGCAACTATCAAAAGGCAAAAACTACAGTTAGAGAACAACAGACACACTCATAGAACAGCCAGCAGCCAAGACGGGAGCTGACCACCTCTTTTGGAGGGTCGGCACAGGGCTGGGAGCCGACAGCACCCCGAAAAAGGCTGTCAGCTCCCGAGCTTGTCTCAACCTTGAAGAAAACGCGGGCAAGCCCAGAGTGGTAGAGGAGAGAGGGGTTTACCTTGGACTCTTCCTGGTCTGAATCGGAGTCCGACCCAAACTCTGAGTTGTCGGTGCACCGGGGCTGCGCATACACGTTTGGACGGATCAGGTCAATCGCCCCAGTGACCTGTGGCTCGTGGAAGTAGATGGCAGACTCGCGAAGCGCCCGCTTGAGGAACAGGTTCATCTCTTCACTTGGGATGGAGCGGGCCAGGTTCCGCTTGCTCGAGTAAGGGTCTGTGTCCAAGACAAGACAAAAAATGGCATTTTATGTTCCTTTATCCGGGCCTGCTAATAGCAACGTGCCTTCCCAGTGGAGTATCACAAGACTGATGGCAAAAAAACACGCACACACACACTTAACTTTCTAACATTACACATGCATACACACCAAGTTCGGAGAAACCAAATCCGGGAGAACTTCTAAGCATGGGGGGGGGTAGTGTTTTTCAAGAAGGAATACAGGCGAGCCCGGTTATATCACACTCAGGTATTTCAAATTACTTTTTATATCAAACAGTCCAAACATCCCCTTGAAAATCACATGTAATAGTTGTGGGGATTCCTGTCTCTCCCTTCCCCGATGGCTGTGATAACGGCCGCAGGTCGGAACGCTTGGCCGCCTTCGCCGTAAGCTCCGACCTGTTCGTGAAGCGGAAAGTCCCGTCTTGGGGGGGGGGGGGCCCTCCCCTCACTCTCTTTCAAGGGGACCGATTTCCGTTCCCCCGCTCGGATGCGGATCACTGCTGACAGGCAAGGAGGTTTTTCCTCTTGTTTTCCCGCTTTCGGGAAAGGGAATTGTCCGGTGACCGCAAAAGAGATAAAACGTGTGTTGGCGACTTGTCCCATGCTACCCCGATCCTGCCTCTCCGGAAGCCCGCGTCTGGCAGGTAAGGACCTTTTGTTACCTTGCCGGCACGGGGGGCATTTTGCATGGGGACATTGTTAGGGTTGTGCGAATATTCGAAATTTCGAATAATAATTCCGAATAATACACTATTCGATATTCGCTTCGAGAAGAAATGCACTATTCGCGCTTTTCGAAGTGTTGATTGCGGCGGATTGGCCCCGTTGAATGCGCTTCTTGCCAAGCACCGGTGCGCTGCAAAGAAGCAATATTCGCGGAAGCGAGCTCCGCGGGTGTTGCTTCTCTGCAGCGCACCGGTGCTTGGTGAGAAGCGCACTGAACGGAGTAACACGCCGCGAAAAACACTTGGAAAAGTATGAATATCGTAATAGCGTGCTTGGAAGTAAATCATACCTTCAAAGCGGAATGACTGAATGTGTAAATAAATTAAAACTTTGTGAATGTGTACATCTACATTGCAGTAAAACTGTTATGCAAGAGTGTACTATGTTAGGCAGGGATGCCCTTACAACCTGCGTTCATCATGCTCGATTAATTCTTTTTTAACTCGAGATTAATGAAAGAACATTTTATATAGCAAGATTTGTAAATTAACACCATTGGGTATACTTGGCCGTCTCTACATGATTCATTTTATGTCAAATCCGTCGTTTACTTGCCACCTGAAGACACCAGACCTTCTGAAGTCACAGTTCATAAATATAGATAGATGAAACTTAGCTCATAAATGCACGAGTGGAACAACCTTCACAAGTTTAGCTGGGTTTTTGTCTAAGCATTATGCAATTGTAGTGAAAGGCGTGGAAAAACTATTCGATATTCGAATCGAAAATATTCGGCCAAAGCCACTATTCGCTTCGAATTCGATTCGAACTCAAAATCCACTATTCGCACAAGACTAGACATTGTAGTTCTTTTAGAAAAGTGTTCTAATAAATGCTCTTGGACTCTGCCCTTACTTTGGTATGTGTCTTCTCTTCCACTATATTTGAGAGAGTGATACAAGGTAGATGATCATTGGCACCGACGGAGGTAATTTATCAAACCGACCTGCGGTAATGTCGCCCTAAACGTCGTCTATATTACCGCGGAGATGTGGGGACCGCGCTACTAGGTTTGACGTCTCCTTTGCGATCGTCGCCGCTGCTTAGATAACCCTTTGGTTACTCTATCAGTACCTGTGTTGGTACCGATCATCCCACATAGTATAGGAGCGTTGTTTTTTTGTATCCAACTCCCATGGCTAAACACCTAGCATAGCGAAGGAAGCCGTGCCGCCCCGCGCTTTTCTCGTGATCTGAATGCCCGGTGGCAAGCACATTGCTTGCGTTGCGTGACTGGCAGACCGCCAAGCCAGAAAACACGAGAGCAGTTGTGAAAAAAAAAAAGACAATAAACCGTAAAAAAAAAAAGGTTAAGGATGGCAAAAGCAAGGAAAAGGGAATGCATGCGCATGTAGGCAAGTAGACAGCAACGGTTGTGCAATTGCACTTTGAACGTTTTATCTTTGTTTACCTTTTTCTTTTGCTGTTATTGCTTTGCCTCCTGCCGGAATTTAGTGAGCTTTCTTTTTTGTTGCTGGCTTAACTTTTCCTACGCATCAAGACATTTCTTTTATGTGTCTTGCTTTTCCATTTTTCCTTGAGTATTTTTCAAATTATTTTCGTGTTTTGGCGCTTAGGCTGTATGGAGGTCCTGGCCAGGTGCGTGTGTAAGCACACCGGTGTTTCCGGTCTCCACCAACTACGCTCTACTGTACTTAGAGGCTCTTGGATACTCTATGTCGTAAGCTCCCATTTGCTGCGACCTTCGGTATTAGCAGAGACGCCAGGAAATTTCAACTCTACCTTAATTTAACATATTTTTGTATATCTAATTATTGATATATCAAACTATTTTGCGATCCCCTTTGAATTCAATATATCTGGGTTCGACTGTATTGACAACAAATTTCATTGCAGCAGTCTGTTGCGACAGCAAAATCTCCCTGTTTAGGTGCGGAGAGGGGGGTTATTTGCATTTTCCGGTAGATTTTTCTCTCAATCGTACAGCTGTACAAACTGAAAGGAAAAGTAGAAAAAAAAAAAAAGAAACATCAAAGTCTTGCAGAGCACGAAGGCCACATGACTCCACTGGAGTCACTAGACAAAAAACAGCAAGCCCCAGAATGCAGTCCCCAACAATTCCGCTGACAATGAAGTCAGCGAAGTTCGACAAAAGCAGCGAGTCTTGGCACACTCAGCAAATGCGGTGCCTCACCTTCGATGGCAATGTAGCGCTTGTTCCACTTCTTCTCGGAGATGAGGACCGGCTTGAGACGGCGGATGCAGACGACATGCTTCTCGAGTCGGAACTCTGCTGCATAGAAGCGGAGCAGCTCGCACCAGAGGTCGCCCAAGCTCCGGTTGTTTGTGGACTTCCACTTCCACTCCTGCACATGCAGCATTAAACGGAGCAACTGGTTGAAACTTTGACAAATGACTTCTTTTCGCCAAAAAATATTTATCAGTGACTGAGTTTTCTTTGCAAGGCAGTAGTATAAAAAAAGATTCCATGTGCAGGTTTTTGCTTAATTATTTAAAAGGAGCACATACAGTGCTTGCAAGCTCTGCAGGCTTAGAAGCATCGGACAGAAATCGGTGACAACTCTTTGCAGAAGTGCTCAATAAGATCACCGGCGAAATTTCAGCTAGCTTCGATAAGGAAGCAATTCCGCATCAACACAAACGAAGGCAACTCACCGAGTCCTTCAAGCACAGGTGGGGCTCCGAGTCGCTACCGCCCGTCAGCTGCAAGAATGGGTCGACAAGAAAAAACATATTTAGCATAAAGACCAGCACAGCAAATGTGAGAAGGTCACCTACCAACCCTAAAAAAGTCAAAGCAGCAACGATCATTGAGGCTTTACTAATTTAAAAGCAAGAGTTTCACAAAACATAAACACAAAATCATACCCGTCAAGTTTGGAGAAACCATACCCGGGAGGTTTTCTAAGCCAGGGAATAGAGTTTTTAAAAAAATAAAAACGCTATCATTGCTGCCCTCTGTAGCGACACTGCAGAAGGGGGATTATTGAATGGAAAGCGCCGAATAAACAAGGACCAAGAAGGGGACAGAGACGAAGCGCACTCACAACTGAAGGTTTATTGAAAACAACATTGACTATTAATACCGTCTATCAGGGTGTTGGCTCAAAAAGAAAAACTCTTTATCAGTTAAGTGCAGTGACGGCGCACTAAGGGGGATTAATTTGCATTTTCCAAATTTCCTCGTCATTCGCGCAACCGTACAAAATGGTAAAATATTGGGAGCCTCCCGTCTAATATGAAAGACTTGGCAAGTAGGTAGCATATAACGATGTACTACTCATTATCCCCTTTAAGATGGAGTGGGGCCACCTGGCGGCTCTAATGATCATGTGACCGCTTCTGCGCTTCGTTGGTAGCATGTAGGTTGAGGTGTATCACTCACAATTAAAGTTTTATTCATTAATTTTAACGAGTGTTTAGGATTGCTTTTGACCTAATTCTTTTGTTGTAGTTCTCGTCAAAATTAAACTCAAACAGCGTCACAACAGTTGCGTTGCGGCCTACAAATCAGGACCCAGCGACCCAGTTTCGTGTCGTCGTACTGACCACGACCAAACCTGTTGTCATCGTGGCTTCGGAGGCTTGTCAAGTGACCAAACAGGTAGATTCTAAGACGGCATGGCAAACAAATTACTTTATAAAGTGAAATCATTTGAGACATGTGGCAACCTTTAATTCGCACGACGTGTCATGTTTTAATCGCTCGCATTCCACGCGTGACGTCACATTTCACGACAGCATTGGGGGTCGTACGAAATTTTGGCGCAAGGTCACGTGGCTGTGACGTCATGACCCTATCGACCAATCAGGATTTCCTCATCCCACGGACACCGGCTTTTCTGGGGCACGAGCTCCTTATCGCGTTAAAAAGGGAGAGATTGTTATCCCTGACCTCGTGCAGGACAGGAACAACCGGAGGCTTGCACTGTTGCAGGAAGTAGATGACCATGATGGGATAGGCGTGGGGTGGCAGCGTGCCTCTCTCCTGCCTGTCCAACTTGCACACCTGGAAAACCACAGGACGGAACGTGTCGGTCCTACCGCGGCGGAAGGAGACGTCGGCAACGACGTCGTTCCTAGTGGCCCGAAAGACGCGCGGCCAACTATGGGTGTAAAAACAGGAAGAAAGAGAAGGACACGAGAGAGCGTGTGGACGTCGGAACGCAGAGCTCCAGTTGGAATGATCGGGGGGGGGAAGACGCAAAGCTAGAAAAGCTAGCAAACCCAAGATTGAAGCCTAAGCTTCAGTCGTCACTTGTAGCACGTCCGGCGAGTTTGGAATTGCACTCACGTGTCCCCAGTAGCGGAAAATGACGCCGAGCGACTGCACCCTGGGATCCAGAGAGGCGTAGTCTGCCAACAGTCTCGAGGTCTTGATGGAGTTGGAGTTGTTCAAGCTGATCTCACACTTGAGGTCCGTCGGACCGTCCACGAAGCGAAATCTGGGCACTTTCGCCAGGAAATCGCGTTCCGGGGACGAGAAGTTGTCTGGATGTGAAAACACAGAAAGAGAGCCCGTTCAGAAGCACTCACATGGACACTACCCGCTTGGGTGCAGTGTCTAGAATGCATCTTTAACTGCTGGTGTCTTCTACCGCAGGGTTGGATTGGGGTTTTATGGCGCAAGGGCTGCAGAGGCCAAAGAGCCTTCTACCGCGGGATTATTTTCCAGGAGGGTATGTTACTTCCGGTTGGCTATTGTTTTTGGTCGTTTTCAACGACCCCCTGCATTATGCGCATACTTCAAAAAGTCTCGCCACCGAGGACTAACTGCATTACCTCGCGAAAGTTGCTTATACGAGATCGATACGCCTTCCCGATCCCTCGGGAGATCGGAAGAGCGTTTGTGCCTCAAAGAAATGACAAATTTGCAAAGGTATCGTGGGCGCATCTTCAGGAACACCAATAAGACTTGCCTCGCTCCTTTACCTGAAAACTGCTTAAAACCCACAAAATCCCTTAATGCGTTCCAACTACTTCGGGAACGGAGAAGCATAGGCGATGGGCACCCACCTCCCCCAAGTGCCGCAGATATGCGCCGAGCCTTCCCGCAGGGGTGGCCGAGCCAAGTCTTGGATTTTTGCAGACAATCTTACTAAAGTTTTTATTTCACTTTTAGTCTCAGTAGTGCACAAAAGCAATTCTAGAGTTTTGACTCGCTTGCTTTTTATTCAGGCTTCTCTCCCAGAGCATATGCAGATTGCATTTGTACGCGCCGTAATGGCCAATCGTTGTACGGAGATGGTCGGTTGTGTCGCCGCATTCTCGCATTTATCCATCTGCCGGCAGCACATCCAAGTAGCTAGCACCGTCTGCCAATGCAGTCGCCCTGCGATCACTCAGGCTCGGCGGCATCCCTCGTCTCGAGATAATCTAAATAACTTCACTCGTGGCATTTTGATTGTGCTGGTACGCTTCGGTAACTTAAAAGGCACGTTTCACAATTTACCACTTTTCTGTACAGAGTGTGCTCTGAAGTGTACGTTGCGCACTTTATAACGCTTTCCACGGGGACACCAGCCCTCAAACACATTCCGTGTTGAAAGAGAAGGGATGCGGAGATCAGAATGCAACTCACCCTCGTCTTGGGTGATCTTGTCCGAAAGCTCCACGAGGAGCTCGGCCACCTCGGTTTTGCCGGTCGAGGACAGGTCCAGGTTCACTTCGCTATCGTACAGGCCGAAACCGTTGACCGAGGATCCATGGAGGGTCAGCTTGATGTCTGCATAATGAACACGGATGGTCAATCGAAAAAATTGTGCCGACGGTCACACGACACGATGCGAATGGACATTATGAGCTTGTGCAACATTTATTTCATACTGTGTCGTGATTGACTGGAATCTCCGGTGACATTCTCTTCCGCGTGATACTTTATGTTCACGCACAGCGTGATCTTGACATCAAATGCATTCCATCCTGGCACCCAGGGTGAGACGATCAGTGCCTCAACAATGACGACGTTCTCTCATGGGCGTGTTTACAACCTCAATGGAATACCCATCGAGACTGTGGCTCACAATTGTTATAAAATAAACAGCCAAAAGTCAGGAGACTGATTACAGCTAACAGTTACATGATAACCCTTTCCTGACCATGGAGAAAATATGCGTTTTGTGTAGTTTTTGTTCCATTCATTCGTTTAAGAAACTTTGATTTACAAGATAATGTCACGCGTAAAAATAAAGCTAAATAAAAGGCGTTTGGATTATGCAAATTTCCATGCAGACTAATTCGCCGAATGCAATAGTTTTTATAATAATTGGGTGCCAACAAAGTGAAGATATGGCGATAGTTCGAAGGAAAAAAGTGCAAAAACAAATCTGAATTATATGAAACGTTTCTCATTTTTGCAACAAAATAACTAAACAAAAACTATAATTTTACCTCAAAAACAGTTTCGATCAACCAAAGATCAAGTCAATCCTCATCACTGATATGCCATTGGGCTAACCAGTTTCCCAATAGGGTGAAGCAGGGGTCATTAAAACCGAAATATGATGATTGCGCTTCATAGTCAGACACACTGCTGCTATCCGAGTCTGACAAAGCGACAAATGATTCGCAAGAACTGCCGCGCTTGCGAGCGCGTGCCACACCTGTGGAAGAGCTTACGGCAGTCACGATCGGCGACGTGTCGTGGGCTTCACGCTCTGCTTAAAAATCGCAGAAAGAGAAACGCAGAAACTAAAACTGCAGTCTTTAAACTACTTACGAGGTGGTGCGGGGAACGCGATAGCTCCACGGGAGTTTTGAAATGGGCCTCCGCGTTTATCGATCACGGGTGATCGACTCCCCGTGGGCGCGGCCAGGAGAGTTACGTGCACTGTAGTTACGGTTCTCACCGGGCAGGGTTTCTCGAAGAGAGGCCTCCAGTTTCTCGGCAAATGCTTTTCTCAGCTCCACCTTCTCCTTGGTCAGCCCGAATCCGCTCACACTTTGAAGCAGGGAGTCGATGGCCTTGACTTGGACTTTCACAGGATGAGGGATGTTCTTGACGTCCATCCGCATCTCGCTCACCTGCAAAACGGTGGCAATCGAAATCCTCAAAAAATCACTCGTAACTTTTGAATGATACAATGGTTTCTTCCGAAACTTGCTCATTTGGTTTGAACCGGTAGCGCCACATTCAGGAGGAGGACGAGCGTTTGGTGATGCAGTTTATTGTTGCGGCGAAAACAAAACATTATACATTTCTTTGGGGGGGGACACCCTGTACAAATAGAACTAACCGCTCGAACGACCTCAGCTCGTCGTAGCCAAACGAACCCACCTAACCTTTTGTTAGCTTTCTTCTTTCTCCGCTCTTCTGTCTTGATATCGGGACGAGCGATGTAAGCACTTGCGATTTGCAGCGTTCCGCTCCGGTCTTTACGCCAGTTCGTAAAAACTGGAGCTAAACGGGCCCCCGCCCATCTATTACTGACGCACCTGTCTATAAAGTGCAGCAACATGCTATCAAGTGTTTGCACACGCGTTGCCACGAAGAGCGACACACTATGTGATGCTCAAAAACGTGGAATTTCGAAGCACTTACCGACAGCCTGAGTTGGTGCTGCTCTTGCTCCAGGTGTTTCTCGACGTACCAGTTGTCGTCGAAGTGCCGGTGGCACAAGTGGCAGTAGAAGATGGCCCTCGGAAACCGCTTGGACCTCTGCACGGGATGGCAGCGAGACGTCATTTGCCGTTTTAACACAGAAAATGCTTTAGCAAACACCGTAACATTGATTGCCCCTTTACATTTAGTGGGAAAGCTTTTGTTACGTGACCTATATTTTCCCGCTAGATTTAACTTGGAAGATTGTTTTAATTGACCACTTCCTGCAACTCTAAGCCACGTCACGTCAACTTCCCCAAATAAATTTCCCCGTTAGCGGGAAAACTGATGTCGTGTGACAATGTCACGTGATGTAATTTTTCATGCTAAATATGGCAAGAAAACGAATGTCACTGACCTCTCAATCTCCCAGGGAATTTTGGCAGAGTAACTAACATAGCATGACCACGTCACGTGACCCCAAGTAACGTGATGTTCAGTCACGTTATGTCAATTTTTCCCACTAAATTTAGATGGGAAATTCATGGGACATGACTCTCAACCCTCTCTGTGCTCCACAGCCCTGGTCAGCGTGATTAAACTTGCGCAACTTTCAAATATTACTCATTTCAGAGTCCGGCAAAACAAGTTTGCTACGAGCCTTCGGGCAAAAAGGCTAAGTCCCATTGAGTTGCGTCTCTGCCTAAGTGCCTGCCTGCTTCGGCACCTTCAACACTTTAAAGAGGTTGTCGCACACTTATTTGTACCACTGTTTTTCTTTAGGGTTCCCAACAATAATTTTGAAGCAATGGGAAGATATTGCATTGAGCTGCTTCAGCGTCAAGCAGCACATCCCTTCCGAAGTGATGTTCAGTCAAAATACATAATAAAAAAGAAGAGACGACTGTAACCTTTTCGAGTGACATTACAACATGAACTTCGTTTATATGACGTCACTTCCGTCTAATGAAAGGCAATAGAAGTGGGGGAAGGACTTGTACCTTCTTTAGAGGCAGCACACAGTGGCTTTTGAAAGTATTCAGGAATATGCTCTCAGTTGCCTCCTCAGCAAGGCGGTCCGGGTTCTTGAGATTTCTTCTGCCTGCATCGGAAGCCAGAGAAAGATATTTGGCAGACACTTTCGATAGTTTGGACTTATAACTACATAGGAACTATTCACTGGCGGTCATATCTGTGTGCGTAGTTGCCAAGCGCAATGTGACGGCAAGTTTCCGCACCGTTAAGATTGCCGGTCTTAGCATTCAACGTATTAATGTGGGATCCTTCTGAGCGTGCACTCTAAACGTCGCCCTCAAATATGCCATCCAGTGTATGCCCCCCAAGAGCGCAGTGAACACCACCTTCCAAGATTTGAAGCTGGACGCTTCAGAACATAGTAAAACAGCAATCTTTCCAGCATCATTCAGATTAAAATGATGAAACTCAGGCCACTCAGGTCATGAACAAGCGTCATGATTGATGTCATGAACGAGCCACACGGTGGACGTGTTACATATCTTGGGATACACGGGGTGATTTCGAAATGCAGGCCAAATCACTCCTGCAAAAACCATGCACTGCACAGAAGAAAGGTTGATGCTGAAGTGGTCTGTGCGAAAAGGCCCATTAAGAAACATTATTAGCAACGTATGAGACTTTACGGGGTATTAAGGCACACAATCGTGGAGGCTGGTTCACACATTACGACTGATTACGACCAGCGAATCCAAAAACCGGCACTTAAGCCTCTCGTGACTGCTCGTACAACCGGAAACGTAGCAGCGTAGCCACTAATAAGCAGTCACAAGAGGGTTAAAACCGGTCTTTTAGCGTCTCCGGTCAAAAGCAGTTGCAAGTGCATGAACCAGGCTCTCAAGCTAGCCTCACTACACACAGTTTCACACGGGAAGCATCCCCCCTCATCGTCTTACCAAACAATGCCCCTGACCCGCCCAGCAGAACCTCGGGTCTCCCCAGCAGACGCCTTTCCAGGTCTTGCAGGAACATGACGTCCCGGCCTCGGCGGGGACCCTGCGCCCCCGGCATCATGGGGACGCCGTCGTTCCCCGCAAACCTCTGCGTCCCCTTCCCCGCATTGGCGCTGTTGTTAAGGGTGCGGTGCGACGGCACGAGGATTCGGTGGTCCTGCCGCGGCTTCCGGTCTGGCTTCGGCATCGTGGGCGAAGCGGACGCCGGAACATCCGCTTGCGGTCCCGCGGAACTTGGGGTCGGGAGCAGCGGACCCTCCGGTCCCCCCGCATCTTGGTTCTCCCGTCGTTCCCTCCGTGCGGGCGGCGGGTTCCGTTTACGGTCTCGGCGTGCCGGCGGCTTCTGCTGTTGCCGCCGCTGACGGGGCGCGTGGTCCGATTCCGCAGCGGAGCTTTCGCCGAGCGCCGTGAAAGTGAAAGGAGTGCCGAGGCCGACCTTGGCGTCGGAGAGCGGAGTCGACGACGACTGGCTGTTGGGCGAGAGCAGGATGCGGTTGAGGTCCCGCTCGATTTCCAGACACCGCTCGCGCTCTGATAGCGCCGCCATCTTGTGGCTGCGAGGTAGAGGAGGAAATGGTTTTGGGTGTGTTGGTAACGTTCGGGCCTTGCGGAAACAAGGCATAAAAACGAATAGTGCAACATTGCTTCGTTGGATTAGGTTCGCCGACATGCTGCTAGCAGCGAATGATGGAAAACAGCACAAAGAACCTAAGAGCAGGTATTAGATGGTCCTGGTGTTTTGCGATGCTTTTTCTTTTATCATTTCAAACATGCATGACCCCAGCTACAAGCAATGATACACGTAACTGCTAGACAATGACACAAGTAATGAATGCAGCATCTGTATATTTGGGGTCTTTTGTAATAATTTCACCCTACATCCAAGCTCAGGGTAGTCTTTCTTGACGGAGGTGGCATATTATTTAAAAACAAACGAGAAATCACACTACCCGAAATTAGAATGACTTTTAATGATGCGGCACTAAAAATGAAGAGGCAGTTTCTGCACTCGCGAAATAGCTAGGTTAAGATTTGTTGCTGCCATGCTTTCTGTGCTTGACACTTCTTTGCGGTTATTATGCAGGCACCAACTTTTACACACATTTCGGGAGTGAAAAAGATTAGGCAAGGACACTGAAAAATCGTTTTTTTTTTTGGTCAAGTAAAAACAAGCTAACCAGCTCACAGCAAAACCAGGCTGACCAGCTAAATCACCAGGTTTTGGGATGCACCAAACAAGAAAGTGAACCCCAAACCCAGATCGCATCTAGTAATGTAGCAGCCGCCTATGTCCGAAGCTAAACAACTTCGAGATCAGTAACCGGACCGTGCCAGGTTATCCCCCCCAAAAAATTCAAAAATTACGTTTTTTTTCTCTGCTTTCCGTTATAAGAGGACATTTCCGCAACTTCGAACAATGCGATCCCGCGGAAACCAAGAGGCGATTACATTCGACGGTACATCGCGAGGCGAGTCCAAGATGACAGCTAGCGTCCTAAGCAACCGAGATCTGTGACGCCCACGTCGAGATTGGCTTACTTTGTTGGATTATCAGCCACACGACCGATAGAGATACCCCAGCTGGAGATGCAAGCGCATTTTCGTAAGCCTAGAGCGTGCACGGTTAGCTGGGCCGATTGCGTCTCAAACGCGACGTGGAAGCCGGCGAGAGTTGCTACACTGTAAATAAAGGGCCAACTATTCTGCGTCGTTCCGAAAAGAAGAAAAAGAAAACAAAAAGGGGGCCAAACAAAACTCCCGGTTTTGCAACAATCGACGCTTTTAAAATGGCGATCGCAGCCCGTGCATTGAAGCGAACGCTCGACGGCTTTGCAGCGAGCTGCAGCCGGGCATGGCTACATACCTGTAAGCGGTAAAGTTTTTGTGTCGAATCGGATTCCCGAACTGGCGATAGGAATTTTACGATAAAGTCATACATCCGCCATGTTGCAACAACACGCACATTGTTGATTGACTGGGACAACAAAGTGCTCCAAAGTCCTACCCCTATTTTATTTTTTGTGCGTGAAAGGTCTCTTCTTTTTTCTTAAAGCTGCACGCCATAAAGGTAATGGTAAATTAAAATTATATTAAAAATAAAGAGGCAATGACTTGTTACTTGGTCTTGTACAAAAGTCACGTGACGCGCCAGCGTTTTCTTTTCTTTTCTTTTTTTTTTTGAATGCGGAGCGCAAGTTTGTTTGCTCCTACCACTTCCTACACAGGGGTTGCGATGACGTCAAATTGCTAAACTCCTATTTGCTAATGGACCTCTTGGCGAATATCAGAGCCGTATATGTGCTGCCACCTAGGCACGCGACTGGGTTTGAGGCTAAGTGGCGAGAAAATAACGCGCGCGCGAGGCCTCTCCCAGCCGTTTCGGACCCAAAACGTCAGATACATCCTGTTCACCCTGTGACCTAGAAACGGCTCCCCCAAATTTGCCGTTGTCCCCATCGTGCGTAATCTTTTCCCGCAAAGTCGACACAACGAAACCATCGTCCCTCTCTGCTCGGCCAGAAGGAAGAGAGAGAGGGTACTGGAACCATTTGCTCGAACCGATGTTTCTACAAAAAGTCCATTGGTTTACCCACTATCCTTTCAATCGGACCCAATCCATGGTCATAAAAACCCGCAACTCAGGAACACAGGAGGGGGCGAACACAACACAAAGTCTCAATGTGAGACTTTGTGCTGTGTTCGTCCCCTTCTGTGTTCCTGAATCCTGAGTCTCGGGTTTTTATTACCACAAGTTCTTGTGAGTGCGAAATTTCAGACTCCACATTGTGTGAAGTCAGCGGAGTCCACAGGGTGTTAACTTTTCCCCAACACCATCAATGACGTGCGGACTAAGCAGCGAAAAAGAGCTGCACGCCGTCAGCGAGTCTACCATTTTTTTTTTTTTTTTTAATTACTGGTGAGAGGATATCTGGACCAGTGATTCTCAAATGGGGTTCCGCTAAGCCATTTTTGGGGTCCGCGAAGCTGAAATTTGTGCCAGTTGGTTCATGTTCAGAATATAAGGCGCCAAAAACGACAGGACAAAGAGGAGAGTAAACCAAGACGAGGCGCACTCGCAAAAAGTTTATTTATGAAAAAACACATAATATGCTGTCAGAAACGCCTATTCATCACATCAATCGATAAGAATGCCTCTGATAAAATCAAACTCTTTCCCTGAGAGGGCAAGGGAAGGTTCACTAACGCGTTCGTCTCCCTTTGCCCTAATCTCAAACGCCTCGTGCACTTCTCGGCATATTCTTTCTTCTTTATATTTAACTTACTTACGAATGCTCCTCGAGCTAGTAATTATATTACGAGCCCAAATCGACTGCCGACGCAATGCTCGGGTCCGACCGCACGCCGGTACGATGCTCATCCAGATCGAAACGGGCAGGGGTGGGGATTGTCTTGGCCAGCGGCGTAAAGAGGTATTCACACGAGGGAGAAATCCCTGGGATTTCTCCCTCGTGTGAATACCGTGTGAGTGTCCTTGTCGCATGTATGTTGGGCAGACTGTCCTATGCCCAACATACATGCGACGGGAGAAGTGCCAACTTCAGATCTAAAAACTGCAAACCACCCTCCACCGGGTTCTCACTTGTGAAACTCAAGCCCGAGGCGCTTATAGTGACGACGAAAGTAATCCCTGGAGAAGGGAAACAAGAGGGACAAAGGACAAATATAAATCTCCAGGGTTTACTTTAGTGTTTACTTTCGTCATTCTTGTCCAGCTCGCTTGCCCCTTTGCATTTAATTGCATTATAAATTTAAGCGCTTATAGTCTCGGGAATCTCCAACATGTCTGACACATAATCCGCCTTTTTCTGACTCCACTTTTAGGAAGGTTTTCCTTGTGAGCTTGCTAAAGAAGTTTCGTGGAAGAGAGAAGAGAGGGGCAAGCCAGATAAGAGACCAGTGGTGATACCGTATATACATAACGTTAGCCATAACATCAAAAAGGCGGGGGAAAAGCATGGCATTTCGGTTCTCCTTTCAGCTCCACAGAAATTTAGCAAGCTATGTGGAAGGGTGAAACAGGGTGACACACGGGTAGATATCTGTCAGAAAAAGCACGCAACAAAATACGTAGGATGCAAAGTGGGGGCTGTGTACAGAATTCCTCTGTCTTGTGGGCAGTCGGGGCAATGCGTGAACGAAAGACTGAGGGAACATGCCCTGTCATTGTGGTCAGCCCCCTCTGGAAATCTCGCGGTGCATTGCAATAGGTGTGAGTGTTTATCCTATTTAGACAACACCATGATCTTGGCACGAAACAAAAATAGAAAGACAAAAAAGATAACAAAAGCGTTTTTTTTTTTTTTTTTTTTTTTTTTTTTTTTTTTTTTATTTCCGAGTGTGACGATAAGAGACGTATAAGAGTATACGAAATGTGATAAGCGGCGGTTGGAACTGAATCGGATGTGTGTGTTGCTGGTTTCGCGGTACGTGTGCTTTTCCAACATTAAAGGAGTCATGAAACGCTTTTTCAACTTTTTCCTGTTTAGCTTTCCTCCTCAACTCATAAATCACGCATTGTACCAAACAGTTCAAGAAGTCGGAAAGGGGGGAGTCCCCTCTTGCTCGGAATCTCGCTTTTGTAGCCCGGACACAGCCATTGTCCCCCTAGAAGATTAGCCCGTCGCCCAAAATTCCGACTAGTTGCTTTCCCCACCCCGTTCACCCCGAAGCTGACAGTGCTGTGGAAGCTACGTGCTCGTTGGGCCAGCCACACATTTTCCACGTGATCACGCCCTCTCGCGCATACCGACCCGCAGAGAATGAGGTCAGGTGATGAAAAGGAGGCGGCTGATTGGTCCGGCAAGCGCGTAGCTTCCACCGCAATGTCAGCTTAGGGTAAAGGGAAGTGAGGTCCGGTGTCGTGTGACGTGCGCTTGGGCCCTGTGACGCGCTGCGGGGTCCGCGGATGTATCACAGTGAAAAGGCGGAGAGTTTACGAAGGGAAGGAGATATGAAATAGTCCGCTATGTTTTGCAAATTTTTGTAGCGAAAGTCAGGCTTCTGACTTTCTACCTTTTTTCTTTTGGCCCACTGAACGATGTGCTATTAGTAAAATCCCAATAAAAATTGATTTACTCCAGCCCAAAATTCGTTTCATGGGTCCTTTAAACCAGTTGCAAGTAGCGCTCTGTGGTGTGTGGCTCTCCTACTCGTCCGTCGTTTTTAGAGTACTTAATCCCTATGCACAAAAGAGGATGCTGATAAGGGGGAGAGCTCACTCTTCCCCTCCTCTCTGATGGTCATCGGAGCGCTCTTTGAGTAACGTCACGTGCAAGCTGGAAATACAATAGCTGCGTCGAGTCAGGACGGAAATTCCAGATCTCGGCAGGCTTACAAGTGTGATAGACGAGTGAAAAAAGTCGACATAAGACGCGTCCATTCGATAGCGTTCATGAAATGGAACCTCTTCAACTGTGCAAACGACTTAATTTTTGGCGAAATTCGCGACCTTGAAAATATCGCGAAAAATCGATCACGCTAAAAAGCGGATAGCTAGGGAGAAATTCGAAAAACACGCGCCGGTAAGATTATCGTAAGATCGAACATGTCTGAAAGACATATCCGGTTTTGAGGGCAGAGTGGCAAATTAAGAAGCAAAAAAGAACGGTATTTTATGAAGAAAGTTTGTCGTCCCAGGGACAGTGCAACGGGTCTATGCACTTCTAGAGCAGGACAAAGGCCACCGTGCTGGTTTCCAGTTATAAAAGCTGTTCTGAACGAATAGTGTTCAGGAGTTTGGCTATTTCAAATGTTTTTTAGACTTGTTTGCAGGATTTGTCGTGGGACACTTATTAGCCCACCTAATCGCAAGGTCAATTGGGAGCACTGACTTTCATTGTACAGTACGTTTTTGTTCGGAAATATTTATCTTCATTTTCAATTTTGAAAAATGGAAGACACAAAAGAACTAAAAAAAAAAAAAAGCTTTTTGAATTTTACGAAAAGTAAACCCCGAAAACACGGAATCCTACCTATAACACAACTCTAAATGGCGTACTGTTGTACCCGCAAAGTATATTCCCGAAACTTGCACAAAACTCGCGACATATTGAACCCGCGAAAATAGAGTCGTTTACAGTATCAGGCTTACCGGGCCTACGGAGAAAATGTGGAGTCCTTGCAGATGTCAAGAACTGCGATGTCCGCCATCCCGGTTGAGACTCAGACGCAAGCTCCGCGCAGACGAACCACTTTGTGAAACGAACTTTCAAGATTGAATAGAAGCGGGTGTCTAACGCTGAAGAACTGGAAAGCTATATCACTCTCTCAAATGAGAAGACAGGACGATCCCCGAAAAGGTAAAGGCTTAAAATGGAATCCTGCGGTTTGGCCAATCACACATCTGTACTGTGTCAAGCGGCCTATTGCCTTCTCGCGGTGCAACAGGACGATTGGCTGGTGGTGAAAGGTCGGTGAATTTTGCTATCGGCATATAGCTTTCCGCATTGTTATGGATGGAGGTCTTCACAGATTGTCAAACTAGCCTGAATCTAAACTGTTATGACAACAAGAAAGGGGGGGGGGGGGGGGGAGGGGCAGAAAAGAACGGAAACAGAGAAGACGGAAGTAATTCCTAGAAGAAAGGGTACAAGGAGAAGAGGAGAAGATGTCAACCTTTTCCAGGTTGATTTGTCCAGCATGCAGCGTGTGTTGCCATGGCAAGGAGAAGGGGGAAGGGAAGAAGTCCTCTTCCTCTGACCTTGAGAGCAATACCGACGTCCAGGTGCATTTTGCTGGGGGTAGAGAATCATAGGGAGTAGAGCCTTCAGGCGAGCTGGTTGAGTATAGACATTATTGTAGAGGACATCGCAGTAGAATTTCATCTCCGATAGAAACTTTTCCAGAATCCAGATGGCACTGGTGAGGAACCTTTCCACTCATCTGCTTACGCGATATAGGGCTATTTCCAACTAAAAATAAAGAAAAACCTCGTCTTTTTGTTCTGGTTATC